CCCGTATCTCCGAAACTACTGGACGGATCCGGAAAATTCAAACGGCGTTCGATAGCCCTGTCAAATTTGCCGAGGGAAACCAAATTTCATTGACCTCGGGGTCACCGATGACGTCACAGGTCAGGTCAAAGATAAAATGTTTCACCGTTCACGGGGCTTCTAGGGAAAGCGCTATAACACAGAGTAAAAGGCATTTTGTCGAAAATCAGCCATAAGGCGTCAGTTGTCTAGTACATATGTTGCTATTAGAGGTCACTGGTCATACCAGGTCAGGTCACAGGTCAGGTCACCAAAGGTCACCAAGGGTCACCACATGAGCCCAACTTTACTAATGTTATGCGATGCATGTTTTATGGCCAGTTTTTCATTTCCAACTCAATGGTGTTGGTTTTAAGACCATCAGGTACGGTTTAGGTCACTTTCTGGTGGAGGTCAGGTCAAGGTCAGGTCAAAAAAGGTCAAATTTCAAAGTTGATATTTTTGCATAAAATGGGTATCGATTCGATGCAGCTCGTCACGGGGAGTCTAATGGTGGTCTTTGTTTTGCGCTACGAGTTCTAGAATTACTAAAAATTGAGTTTGAAAAATTGACGTCATCAATTTTGAACAGTTTTTTCGCTATAACTTGGCCAAAAAAAGAGGTATCGATCTCAAATTTGGTATGTAGGTAGAAGGCGGTAGGGGCTATCACATATATTCCGGTTTTTTCGAAATTCAAAAAACTTTTTGGATTTTTCGGCTATTATATTCAAAAAATCTATTTTTTGATTTTTGGGGGTCAAAATCCAAAAAATTCGAAAAAACCGAAATAGCAGTTTTGTAGCCCTTTTAATTCTACACCTATTATGTCTGAAACATTTTTCTATATCTCTAAAGCTGTAGGCCTGACAGCTCTTCCCGCGAAACCTTTTTTTGGGTCGAAAATGGCAAAAATGACGTCACTCTGACGTCATTAGCGGCCAACCTATCATAGCTTTTTGAAAAAATTTTGGTCACCATGTGCGCTAGCTACTCCCGAGAGGGTACCGAAAGTTTGGTGACGATCGGCGCAGCGGTTCTCGAGATATATCGAAAAAACTAAAGGGGGGGCAAAAAAATGCCCCCCCCCCACCGCCTGGAAGGTTAAGGGCCTACATCGGCGGCTCTGAGAGTCCCCACGCCGACGCCTCTGAGGGCCACGTACCAGTGACTCTGAGGGCCTCTTAGCAGCCTCCGAGTGTCCTTGCCAGCCTATGACGGGCCACTTTCCACTTGCAGGCCATTTTGCAGGGCCACACACATGCCAATGATTGCCCCACCAGTGTCTCTAAGCCCTAAGACCCCGCAACGGCGCCTGTGAGGACCCAACACCAGCGCATCTGACGGCCTTTCACTGGCACCTCTGAACGCGCCACACGCCGGTGACTCTGAGGAGCTCGCTCGCTTCGCTCGCTCGTAAAATACCATGTAAATTAGGCATTAGTGTACATTAGGCACACTCCTCGGGCATAAATGATACTTTTGCTTGCCAATTTTCCACATTTTCTCATGCAAAGACCGTTTTAAAGAGACCCGTCTGCCAGTGAGACTGGACCCACCGTGCCTCCCTCCTCCCATCGAAAGGTCCTGGGTACATCTTTGCCTGAGCTGACCCCGGGCGCCCGGGTGACTCGCGGGCCCGGGGTCAGGTGACCAGCAGGTGACCCCCTCTTGGGCGAAATTCTGGGTACGTGTACGACATGCATCGTACATAGTCCTGTTGATTTGATTCATTGGTTAAGCATTAAATATAAGTTATAAGCTGGATCTCTAGTCTGTGATCCCGCATCGTATCAGATATGATGACATTTCATGTCGATGTGCCTAAAAAATATGCGAATATACGTGAAAAAGGAGTGCTGCTCCCGCTCCTACACATCCGGGCCAAACAGTGACCGGCCCCTGCTTCTAGCCACCCGGGGCCGGTCGGCCGGCCGGCAGTCAGTCGCTGCCCGGGACTGATTTCTGAGGGACCTGCAAAAATGTTTACGTAATAAATTAGATGATTAGGTATAGCTTCAAACCAACGGAAATATAGCCCCGTGGGCCGTATTTTTTTTTGGGGGGGGCCCTTCGGCATGGGGGAGCCCAGTTCGAAGGTCGTGCCCCCCCCCCCCCATTCAAAAATCCTGTGTGCGCGCCTGTATACGTGGACTAGTTGGTTTTGGAAACGATTTTATAAAAAAAAAAAATTGTCTGCATGTCTGTCATCTGTTGTGAATTTTGGTCCAGAGGCCAGTTTTACTTACAGAAAAATAGCCGCCTGCCGGAATTTTTTGCCAGACCGCTTCACGTACGTACGTAAACGCGTTGGGCATGTAAGTGGATAGGGCTTTACCGTACCACTTTACGCTTCATATGTGAAGCGGTCTTTAGACAAAAAAAAAAAATCCGGCAGGCGGCTATTTTTCTGTTGGTAAAGCTGGCCTCAGGTGAGATTTTAATGGGACGAGTTCTATTTGGAAAAAGGGCAAATCACATTTTGGCCGCCCCTAGGCCAGACCAAGGCAGTATATACCGGCCAGACCAAGGCGGCCAGACTATCAGCCCGGCTGCCCCCCCCCCCCCCCCACCTTCTTGGATCCGCCCGCCAGTGATCCACCCGATATACCTAAATCGTACAGCCTACCTAGTACAGTCGTGTACAGTCTGTCTTAAAAGTACCGCGCAAAGTGACGGTGGATCCATCGAGCCTGACTGAGCAAGGGCCTGCTAAATTTGGGTCACTGAAGCAACTGACATCCTTATCCATTCCCTAGGTCAATTGGTCGGTGACTTTTAAATTAAAACAGGCCCTTTCTCGGTCAGGCTTGATGGATCCACCGCCACTTTGCGCGGTACTTTTAAGACATACTGTACAGGTTGATGGTCCCCTACTCTTTATCCACCGGGTTCCTATGGCTCAGCATTGGCAGCAGCCGCCTGGTACCGGTAGACTGTGCCGCATGACCCGAGAGTGAAGCGGCACAGTCTACCCACGCCGTTTGACATCGGCTCGGGTCGCCGGGTGGAGCGCTTTGTAGACCAGCTGTCGCGTCAGACCAGCGCGGGGGGGAGGGGCTCGTCTCGGTGGTTGGCGTGGGCTGGCGAGTGGTGTGGGGCGTGTTGGTGGACCATGGGGGCTGGGCGGGTGTGTGTGGTCACTTGCTGCATTGCACATTTTGCGTCGCTTTAACAATTGCATCCCTGTTTTTGCTAAGCACAATGCACGGAAGACACAGCGAATATAATATACTTGTGCATTGTGCAAAACCTGATTTGGCACGGTATCGAGGCAACCATAGGTCTCGTGCCACATACATATATGCATGATATTTAGGCAATACGCTTATGAAAATGGTAGATTGATCAGATTGATCCTGGATGTCAATTCGTATGCTAAATGTCGACATGTATTAAATGAACGAATGAATGAATCAATCAATCAATCGACACTCGACATGTAGATGTAAAACCGTATAAATGGCTCGCAACCACTAAAATCAAACCAGATCCTAACTCGGAAAAGTAGCCGGAGCCCCTATGAGGCTCGAACCGGGACTCCACGTTGAAAGTTTTGCCAATGATCCACCATCATGACCAAGCTAGAGCGACCGGCACCCGAAACCACAAAAACATTCATTGACTTTGCTGCCGACCTTCCGGCCCGCCGCCCGCCCGGCCAGACTTTGCCCCGGCCGTGGCCACCATCCGGTGTAGCTCAGCGTAGGAGTGCTAGACTGTCAAACCGACCGGTAGTGAGAGGCCCGGTTCGAGACGCTTCGCGTGATGGATGTTTATTTCTGTGTCCGAGGCTATGCGATTAGTCCACTTTTCAGAAAGATTATTTGGTGACAGGTCTGTTTTCTTTCTTTGCTGCAATTCATGAGGAGACCGTATGGACCCTTACCTGTCCTTTCGCACCCCACTTGGGAGATGGGTGTTTGAACCCCCCTGGGTTTTGTGATGTCTCTAAAGCGAATTTTTGGAGGGTGGATTACGATCGGTTCTATGCGACAAGTGACCACACACACCCAGCCCCAGGTCCGCTCACTCCCTCCCCACATCACCCCCGCCCCACACCACACTCCAGCCCGCCTCATCCACCGAGCCGAGCCAAATAGACAGGCCTGACCCTTACCCCCCCCCCCCCCTCCCCCAGCTGGTGTAACGCAGCGTCCGGTCAAATCGCTCTACCAGGCGACCCGAGCCGGTGTCATACAGTGTGGGTAGGCTGTGCCGCTTCACTCTCGGGTCATGCGGCACAGCCTACCGGTACCAGGCGGCTGCTGCCAATGCTGAGCCATAGGAACCCGGTGGATAGAGTGGCGGACCATCAACCTGTACACGACTGTACCTGATCAGGATCTATATTCAGTAACGATCACCACCGCACAATGGCGAGCACGATCCGTCACGAATGTCAACACTCGCACAAAGCTCAGCGCCGCACACAGCTGCCGCAAAAATGCTGCACGACCCCTCGGCTCAGAACGGCCGCCGGTGCCGTGGGCGGGGCACTACAACACCGCAGTCAGCGCGGCCGGTCGTAATGTGGACGGTGGACGGATCAGGCGCGGCCGGCCCGGGCGCAGAGCACGTGCCACTGGTCCGCTCTGCCTCTGCCGCCCCCCCCCCCCCCTCCCCAGTCCCCGCCCGCTGTCCCGACTCCACTTGACATAAAACACAAATAATCAGACCGACGGTCTCATGCGAGCAGTCCGGCTATGGATGCCGGGTGGATACAACTCGAACTGCAAGGATTCGGCCAGCTTTCTCCTCTCGAGAGGATGCGCAATACGTCAGCTTGTCATCAGATGCTCGGTCAAGGCTGCTTTAGACGGTGAGGGGTCCCCCCTCGAGTGGGCGAATCTGTCACAGCCACCCGCCAAATCAGCTGAGAAACCTTGAAAGGGCACCCGACGTTACGAACGTCATACACTCAAGGACATTAAAAGGTGAGACCCTGGGCTTTAATAATTTCAAAATGGACCAATCACAGCGTAGCTAACAACTCGGCCGCTATCATCGCCCAGCTGCGCCGCGCGCGCTGATTGGTCGGCCGGCGGCCCCAGTTTGAAAACCCGGGAATTTAAATCTAACGGCCGCCGGACGAGGAAGGAGTCGGACGGGCTGTATTTGCTTGTGGAAATCGGGTTGATATTGGAGTATTTCGTGTGATAAAAAGTGAAAAACGCCTGGAATACTTCAACAACATCTGAAGTAAGTGTTGAAACGTATTAAACGTGTTTGATTGTCTGGAAAACTTGTAAATCGCCGATTGATAAATCGCCCTTCTGCTGCGATTATAAAATGTCAAAAATACGTTACTGGCTGTAGCATCTGATAAATGAGTATGCATTATTTTGTTATTTTTAGGTAATTCTCTGTTTCGAAATGATCAGAATTTCTAATTCATTTGAAGCTTGCCCTTGTTCAAGCAGTGATTTTTGAACAAAGTACCAAGTATTGTTATGGTGTTATGTGGTTTTGTTGAGCATGCAAGTTCTATTTTGTGGGTTAATTGAAATATGCTTACTTGCTAGGAATAAATATTGTTGAGACAAAATGGAATATTGGAGGACATTAAGATCACAAATATAGCAGACAGATTTAGACCACAACCAATTCACCTCATCATTGTTTGAGATAGGCCTCGAGTTTCACCCTTTTGGAACATTAATTTTTTGATAATGATTTGCTTAACAATTTTACAATAATATCTAAACAGCTCAGTTTCATGGAGGACCGTTCTATGATCTATCAGGCATCTTGTGTTTTTCATTTTAACTGAAACTGCAAGAGCACAAATTTATTGTTATGCTGCATATTATTACCGTGAACCCAGCAGCAGCAATAAGTTACCCTAGCAAAAGCCTCATGCTTGTGCTTCAGTATTTTTCTGACATATACAAATTTATTTTGCAATTTAAATTTCATAGGTTTTGATAAGTTCATTGACAGTTGCTCTCATGAAATAGTTCAAGTTACTTCAATTGGCATATTTCATCACAATCCAATACTTAAAGCTGATCTGTTGAGTGCCCTTTCAAGTGTGAGCTTTTGTAATCAATTTTTGCTTTATGAAGTTGAAATTAAATTAACACACCTAAAATCAAGGGTCAAATCAATTGATTGCATTACAGAGTGTGGCTGTAAAACTGCCTTTATTTCGACAAAATACCTGGCCTCCTCAACTTTTTGATAGTGGGCATTTAATGTGTCACTTTAAGGTATCAGCCTAAAGCCCAAAAACCTTTAGCACTGGCAATAAACCACAGTGGCACCTCAAACATGAAGCCATATTATTTTGTGATTGGGTGGTCAAAGTAAGTGACAATTTGGCCTTAGGAAACAAAAAGCATGTAATTTGAAACATTGATGTGAGTTCCATAAAGTGATAAAAAGACTTACCTGCTTCTAGACCAATTAAGTTATGACGTTTTGGTTTCTCACAAGTGGAGAAATCATGTTTGGCGAGGATTGCACCATTTCCACATAGCTTGAAACTGTAAAATTTAAAATGAACAATAATTATTTCAGCCACCGACAATTCAAAACAAATCCACACGCTCACCAGCACCCACACTCCTCGCTTGACTCCTCGCATACTAACCAACTCAACTGCCTTCCGCTGCTCCGCTTGGAAGATGTAAATGTGTCGATAGATTGAATTACTTATCACCAAATTTCGGTTGAACAAACTTTTTTGAAAGATCACCAGATAATCCGTTGTCACATCCCAGTTTATTTTTGTCGCTGATTGCTGTCTGGTCAGTAACATGTGGAGATGAATCTTCAACCTTCGAATGCAGACTATTGCCATTTTTTAAATCGGATTTTCCATGTGTAAAAAATGTGTCATGTTATCGTAAGTTTGTCGGTTTATGGACTGCACTGAATGGCGAAGGCCCGCGGCGTTGACCGTATCTTCGTTTGCGTGCCATTGTCGGGTTCAGAATTCTGACGGGGCTCTTTGTCAAGCCTTTTGTCATAAAATACCCACCCTCCCATTATATTCACGCAAGCATATACGATTATGCTTCGTTACGTGTATGTAGTCACTTTTCCTGCTCATACATGCGCATTTGCTGCAAGCTATGACACCAAATAACTGCACCGATGCCGCGCCCAGGGACCCCGCTCATGATCCCCCTGTGTCGCCAGGCGGTGCCGCTATGGATCCGCTGCCGATGTGGTCGACCGCGGACTCGGAGATGGGCTCGCCGGCTGCCGCCGAGCACGACCACACCGAGCTGGACAGCATCTCGCCGTCACTGATCGTCTCCAGCCTGTCGGAGATCCACGCCAACTACCTGCTGGACGACCTCAACCTGCCCGACGACTACCCGCTGGATGAGTGCGGCGGCGCGCGCACCGGCACCCTGGCGCTCGACTTTGTGCCGCCGACGCCAGCCATGGAGCGGCAGCACTCGCACGGACAGTACCCGTGCACCTTCTCGGCCGAGGAGTGTCCGCTGAACCCGTTCAGCGAGGACCCTGTGTTCGGTGACGACCCGCTGCTGATGACGCCGGAGACGGCGGTGACGCTGCGCTCGGCGGCGGCGGCGGCGCGGCCGCGCGCCTCCTCCCCGGACACCCCTAGCCGGCCGGTGGGTCGCCGTCCGCTGCGCTGTGTCACCAAGCCGGCCGCCGGCGGAGACAGCTACCGCGAGCCGCCGCCCTACCCGGGCCTGACGCAGCAGGAGCGCACCGACCACACGGCCTTTTACAGCGTGTCGCCGGCGCGGCGCGGGCTCGGCCTGGCCGACCGCTCCGTGCCGCGCCTCAAGGTGGTGCGCCGCGTCACGTCGCCGGCCGTGACGCGTCACACGGGCGTCACGTACGCGGCGCCGTCACCGCCCCCTGCCCCGACGTCGGCGCCGGCGGCACCGCGCCGACAGGGCCGCCAGCAGTCGCAGCAGTCGACCACGGGTCAGACCGACAGCAAGCACACCAAGCCCAGCCTGTCGTACGTGAACCTCATCACGCTGGCGCTGCTCAACAGCGAGACGGGCAGTCTGCGCTGTAACGAGATCTACGACTTCTTGCAGTAAGTAGAGCTGAGCGGCTCTATGTGGACCGATTTGACTGTTATGGGCAAATGTGAGGTAGACACTGGTACGTGATTTGGGGAATGGCTGGTGTTCCTCGCGTTTCATAAGTTTGTGTTGGGTTGGAGTGAGCACCGGGCTGCTTCACGATCTGTCGTACTGACTCGCCCCGTTGCTCTGCAGGAGGATGTTCCCGTATTTTCGGGAAGTGAGCTCTAAGACCTGGAAGAATGATACGAGGCACGCTCTAAGCTCCAACCAGTCTTCCAGCAACTTCTGCAAGGCGCCGGAATGCAAGGATACTTCAGGTGAGCTGATGCCGATGTCGTTTGGCTCTTGTGGTCGGTGATGTATTCTATCCCCGGTGTTGGTTGCTCTACCCTGCTGCCACCTACCTTAGCAGTGCGCCTGTGATCATCTGCACGGTAACGTCATCTGTCGGCACTCGCATTTTGAGGGGCCGTGTGTGCTGCTGTGGAGGGAAGGCCGCCTATTGCGGCCTTATCGCTCATTACCAGGCGGTGCTAAATTTTAAGTTAAATTCGCCAGTCCAACTCCTTATTGTATTTCTTATGTATCACACCGTCAAAGCTTCTGTTCTGTTGAAGAAGTAGAAAGTTCGTCACGGACTGCCGGAGTTAGTGTGGCTTGGTGACTGAAGTATTCCAATGTTGATTCCAGGCACTGCTGCGAATAGGGGAGCTTTATGGATGGCCAAGCCGGAAAAGGTGCAATTTCTACATGAGCATCTGTCTAAGACATACTGCAAGTTTGCAGACAATATCAAAGAGTCCATGGAGAATCCAGGTAAGCTGAGCGGCGGTGAACTCTCCCTGCCAGTTACCTCATCCGAATAATTCCGCAGGTGATGTCACGAATTCATTTTACGATTAAGAAGTGTTATTTGAATAAAAGAATCAAACGATTAAGCTAAGCTAAAAGATGTCAATTCATTGATAAAGATAGTGTTTTCTTCGAGAGTCGTATTGTAATAACGTACCTACTAATCATATTACGTTACTAGGATTGTTTTGCCAAATGAGGCGTGTCCCTCCGCACCAGAACCCCGCCCCCTCCCGTTAGTCCGTCGTCTGGTGCTGTTCGTACTCCGTGTGCCCCTGTACTGACGGCTCGTCCCTCCCATTTCCCTCCAGAGCTGTACGGGGAGCTGCTGCGCGGCATGGCGTTCTACTCTGGCCTGGAGCCGGGCTCGCCGTGCGACCAGTCCCCCACGGTGGGCAGCACCACCGACTCACCGGACGAGGCCTGAGCGGCCACCCAGCTGCCGTGCAATCGACCCATGGCGCGGCCGACGCGCCGCCGCACACCGCTAGTCCTGTTACGGTATTATCGTTTATTGCCGCAGCCGTCCCTAGTCGCGCGCCGTCTGTGCCGCGCGCGCGTGCGCCACTCTGAAGCAGGGTATTGAGTGCGGCGCCGGTGGCGGGCCGGCCGGCCGGCCAGCCCGCCGGCCCGGGCGCGCAGCTTCGCCGCTCGCTGTTCTCGCGTGTCTTCATGCACATCGTAGCCTTCTTAGCGTACAAAACCTGGCTGTGAAGGTTTTCGTATATTTTTTCCGAAGGCTTTTTTAAACGTATACAATCGCGTCCTTTTACATAATGATAAGGATAATACTCTTGCACTGTATATAATCATGAATTCATTCATCGACCATTTGGGTTTGGAGCTGTGCCTTTCTCTTTTAACTTTTGATACTGTTTGTTTCTCACTATCAAAGCCCATTTTGGCTGCTACTGAGAGCACTTTGGTACGAGTTTTCAGGCGCCCCTTTGTTGGATGTGTATGCAGATGCGCAGCGTAATGTTTTGTACTTGTAGGGAGCGGTTGTAATGTTGTAATGTCACTGTGTAACATGTGCCTGTGTCAATCATTTGTGTAGAGTAGACACAAAACGAATGAATAAATAGTGAAGCATCCTATTGTCTTTTAATTGGAGTACGATTGTGGCACCATGCTGGACTGGATGCTCCACCGATAAATGACTAGTGCACTTTCTATTTTCTCCGCTGGCACCATAAGTTACACGAGCTTATGGCCGTTGAAGAATCTGCATCAGAGTATGGAGATTGGTGCAGTGTGACTGTGCACTTGTGATTTCTAACCGACGGCTCGGAAATATTAATGACGTGTGAAGCCTCGTGCGGAGTGAGGGCGGATACGAGGGGGAGGCGGCGTCGTGGATCCGATGGAGGGTAATACCGTCACGGTAGAGTCGTGAGGCTGGTGAGACGCTGCTCCCCGGGCTGGCAGTAGTCGGCGGATGTCAGTGGTGCTGTGATCAGTGAGTAGTGACTACCATGGCAGCGGCTGCGGCCGGGCCGCGACCCTGTACCTCCTGGCTGAGCCTGGTGGAGGGGATGGCTGCTCCGCCCCCTCCAGTACCGCGCCGCCGTCGACGGAGGGTGGCCCGTGTCTCCACGAGGCGACTGCGCGCGGCCGGCCGGCCGGTGGTGCGCCGGGTCAGCACCAAACTGCTCAGCTCCGGCGCCCCGGGCCGGGGGCGCTCCCGAGTGCCGCTGCTGGCCGGCGCCCGGGGCCGACCGGCCCTCCCGCCGCCGCCGCCCTCCAGGACCGGCACGCCGCTACGGCTGGTGAGTAACCGGCACAAGTAAGGGCCATGCATCCATCCTTCAACTCATGAGTCTGTGAGTTCAACGTCAAAGTACAAGCTAGTGCGGAATAAGTTGGAACGTTCACTCGTGTAGTAGGAGCTGGTAAGATTTCATTAGTGGGCATCAGGCGTTTGAAAAATAAATGCGTGGTCGGAATACAGTCACGGGAATGTAGGAAATGCTTGGAAATTTCGGTAGCCTGGCTTTGAATTCTTAGCCGGTAATATACGTGTATTCTGCATTCTGTAACCGAGCGCGGGCTCCCGCCGATTGTCAAGTCACGGAACAGTGTCACGTTTCAACGCTAAAAGGAAAATCGACCGCTGTCATGCATTAGTGGCCGTCTCCTTTCAGTTTCACCTGACATGGACCCGCGGTGGTGCAGGTGATGCCCCGTTGCATATGTACGGTTTGCACGGGCGCCATCTATGTGCATTGGGCACTCGTCCGCGGTCTGCACCTGGCTCAGAAGTCAGAGCCCGCTGTGCTACGCTACGCCACCTACATGTAGTGGAGAGGGTGCTCTGGCGCGCCCTCTAGGTAGAGCAGTAGTGACTCAATGGTACGGTACCTTGACTGTAGGTGGCGTAGCGCTGGGTATTTTTAGTCGACTGATAGTTTTGACAGACTACTATGAACGTCAAACCCCTTGAGACCCCACTTTTTTGCGATAATTTTTAAATGCGTCAACTTTCGTTGACAATATTCTGGCAATGTATGTTTCAGAACCTGCCGAAACTTTTATTACTAAGGTATTTTGACGCCAAACGATTATGGAAGGTACTTCTCATTCACTCGTAATGCTAAGGTCAATTCAGGCCCGAGCAGAGGCTTGCGCTCGGCCACACTCGAGCCCCGCCACCAGCGCCATCTGCCCTAAATGCCATCTGCCAGCGCCCGCTACCGCTACCAACTACCGCCCACCATCAAGCCTGGATGGAGCGCGAGACGCGAGTGACCGGTCGCCGGGCAAGGAGCGCCAGAGGGGTAGGGCGGAGCTTAGCGCTGACGTCATTACGTGGCTCCGCCTCATGAGCGCGTAGCCTCTACCCAAACAGCAGATTCGTTCCGTGAAATTTAACATTACGAGTGAATGAGAAGTACCTTTCATAATCGTTTGGCGTCAAAATACCTTAGTAATAAAAGTTTCGGCAGGTTCTGAAACACACATTGCCAGAATATTGTCAACGAGAGTTGACGCATTTAAAAATTATCGCAAAAAAAGTGGGGTCTCAAGGGGTTTGACGTCCATAGTAGAGGTGAGCTAAGAAATGAGACGAGCATCCATTCATCCAACTCTAGGACAACTGCCAAACGGGTTTCACTTCTGACACTCAAAAAGTAATGAACAATCGGACCGCCAAGCTAAAAGACGCGAAAGATTTTAGCGATGTGTCGATTTTCAGCGCCCGTTAAGGTTTTTCTCGAGCCTGATTATAATATGATTAGGTATATTCCTAAAGATATACATCATTTTCCGTACTTGCGGAAATTTCACACCAGTGCCATTCTAGGTCAGGTCACGACAAGTGAATACGCCTGAAGAACTAAGTAAAAGCTCGCCATAGCACTGTAACATCGACTCAACAATTATTTTATTTATTTCGAAACTTTTGACCTTTAGGGTAATGCATAAATGTATGTATGTCTATGATTTCTATTTTAGCATTGCTTAGCAAGCAAATGTCAATGCTGAATTGCACCAGGGGTCTCCATTTCATACATCTATAATGATAAAGACCTTAGGTTAAAGGTCTTAGAAGGTCAGCAGCAGTTTTTTATGCTAAACGTTTTAACATCTTGCATACGTCCAGCGTGGTTCAGCTCAATGAAGCGGATCTACCGATTCCCAACACCACTTTTTCGGTCAAGTCATGGCTTTGACCTTCGGTCTAATCTAATCTGAGAATACCCCAGCGAAAGAGCTCTCGAATAGCTATCGTTTTTTCCCGTGATGTTGTTTTATTAGTTCACGAGCTCTTAACCCGCGCTCCGTACGTAGGCTATCGGTGGACCCTACTACCCGTAAGGGGGAGGGGCGTTTCACTTTCGGCCCCCCCCTAAGATCTCGGAAAGTTACCGGCCGATTCTCAAAATTCAAAAGGCGTTGGATAGCCCTACCACGGAATTACCTTGTGACCCAATTTCATTGACCTCGGTCCGACCGATCACGTCAAAGGTCACTGGTCAGGTCAAAGATCGCATTTTCACCGTTAACAGGTATTTCAAGAAATGTGTTTTAAAATCGAGTGCAAGTCATGTTAGTGAAAATCATCGATGGAGAATTGTTCGTCAAGCATATATTTTGCTATTTGAGGTCACTGACACCAGGTCAGGTCACAGAGGTCAGGTCACCGAGGGTCACAGTATGAAAGTGTCGTATGAGACATGTCTTATGGTCCATTTTACATGACAAACGCGATTATGTGGGCTAGGGAACCTTTGGGGCCAGTTTAGGTTATGTTCTGGTAAAGGTCAGGTCAAATTAGGTCAAATTTCAAAGTTGATATTTTTGCATAAAATGGGTATATCAATTCTGGATTCGATTTAGCTCGTCACGGAGAGTCTAATGATGGTCTTTGTTTTGTGCTACGTGGTCTAGAATTGCTAAAGATTAGGTTTGAAAATTTGACGTCATCAATTTGCAACAGTTTTTTCGTCCTAATCTGGAAAAAAAGAGGCATCAATCTGAAATTTGGTATGTGGCTAGAAGACGGTTATAGGGACTAGCATATATACCTATTCCTTTTTTCAAAATTCGGCACATTTTTATATTTTTTTGGCTAAGATATTCAAAAAATTACTTTTTTGATTTTTTAGGGCCAAATCCAGAAATTTCACAAATCCAAGATAGCAGTTCTATAGCCCTGTTGATTTTAGCCCTTGACAATCTGATCATTTTTCTGTATCTTTAAAGCTGTAGGCCTGACAGCTCTGCCCGCGAAACCTTTTCTGGGGTTGAAAAAGGCAGAACATGACGTCATTATGACGTCATTTTGGCCAACCTATCATAGCCTCTAGAAAACGTTTTAGTCACGATGTGTAAAGTTGATGCCCGGATGGTTCTGAAAGCTTAGCGGCGATATCTGCAGCCGTTTAGGAGATATCTACGGAAAGGGACAAGGGGAGCCGTTTCGCCCCCCACCCCCTCTCCTACGGGGCGCGTGTTAATGGTCTAAAGTAATGTGACCAAGCGCCATTTTCGACACTTGACATTTCCGTTTGTCAAGCTGAGTGGAGCCGATTGACAAACAATCTAAAAAAACGTCTGGAAACAAAATACTAATTAATTATCCCGTTGACATGTGATCGGTAGGTTATAAAATTGGTATTACCCCTAGGCAGGTCACTCCTGCTGGACGTATGTACATGAGGATGAGGCACGTAAGATCTTGGATTCACTTCACATGCCTAGTTGTTCGTAATACTGTTTAGTGTATACCTATAGTATTCTGTATACTGTATATGGTAAAAATATAGTATCAATTGTTTTAGGTTCCGAGGCAATGGTCAGCACTCAGCACTTTCAGCTGACTGATGAGGCACACGCTATTTGTTTCCGATATGAGATTTGTAAGGTTATCGAGGTCTGTTTAAATTGCACGACCGATCTTTGACCAACATTGCCACACACGCTACGCATAACCGTCCGGTATGATAGAACCCTATCTTTTTATAGAATAGAACCCTCCCGCCACCCGCAGAACACGGGCTAATTTAGGTTAACGTTGGCTGAGCGTGCATATCGTTTTCACATTAAACCTTTGGAATGCAACGAAAGGATTACCATTCCTCAAACAATAAAAGTTTATAGACTAAAGCTTGATCAATGTGCCATTCGATTCGGTCGCGCGAAGTGGGATTAATTAGCTTTGTAAGTCTTCGCAGGCGATTGTGCACGTAGGGGATAGGAATAGAGCAGGGTAAGAACAAACATTTTTACTTATCTGCGAGGCATTCACGTCGAAGCCAGTAGGGATATCCGATTAACACATGGGGTTACAGACCTGCAGCGAATGGGAATCACGATCTTCTATAAATGAGCATTATTAATCAATTTAAAAAGCGGTGTCACGAACAGTGTGAATTGAACAATTAATTTGGAGGTTCGTCCCCGCCACTTCTGATAACATTTTAATAAATGTACCCAAAAGCGTTGATATGTGTTATGCGTCCTGCGTGCACCCAATTGGGCATTTAAACCTTTGATGCTCCCGCACTAGGGGGAAATGCTCCTGCAACGGGAAAATTTCACGATGACGTCAGGGTTCCCAGCCAATGAGCGGTCGCGCTGAGTGGGCGGCGGCGGCGGCGGCGGCGGCGGGCTCTGCCGCCCCAGTCGCTGGGGGAGAGCCGGCACGAGGGGCGGTGCGGTGAGCAGCGCGTCTGTGAGTGGCGCGGTGAGAGTGAGACGCCGCCTGTGACATACAAACGGTGTGCGGACGGCACACATCACACGGAGCTGCTGTCGGCACCAGCGCGACTCCGGTCAGTTGACGCGATTTTCGGTCGGTACTTACCTATACAAACTATACATAACACGCAATCTCCGTTATTTCGTCGTTCTTTTATATATTCACTGTTAAATGCTCATTTGTTGTATCTTGAAATGTGTGGAAGTATGACATCTTATCCAAATTGTGGTGCTCTGGCGGATATGTGCAATTTACTGGTGTACATATATTTTTCCATTGCTCCTCGGAACCGTATGATTTTACCACCGTTGATGGAAGCCGGAGCAACAATATCACAATTTACGGTAAACATGCCTGAATTCAACAACAAGTTACAACAGATATCTGTCGTGTGCTATAAAACTGGTCAACGTTTGCTGGCTTAGATTAATTTCTGGATACGTAATCAATCAAAATGCACGCGGATTACCTGTAGGATACAAGCAAAAAGACAAACAGCTTAAAATAAATATCCTTTATTCACTGCGGCCAGGAAACGATTTGAGTGCAATATGCAGCCCCTAACGTCTCAAAAGAACATTCCTGAGCATAACCAGCCCGAATTGTTCATTTTCTTTGCCGTATAGGTCTGATACATGCATGGATATAAATCGCTGATCGCACAGGATTTTATTATATCGTCCGAATGCTAAGGTTGCTAGGATCATGTCCATGTGTTGGCGAGCTGGAGCGACTGTTTCACGCACACAAAAGCGAGCATGACAAAAGGCACTTTCAGTATTGTTCGAGATCATGCACCTTGACGTGCTCTAACGTTGCATGCTATGTTGCAAACGTTTTGCTTCTTTCTTGTCTACACTTCCGCAAAACTTGAGCACGACAGTTTTTATCGGCTATCTCTGGAGTCCCAGTTTCCGCATTTCATTATATCTATCCAATTTTAAGTACCTAAGTGACGAAGCTTTACTTCAATGCTCTATTCGCAATATATCATCCATCTATCTATCTATGGGTGCAATACCTTCGCCATTGTGTTCTGTTGCATTCTTTTGTTTCCTTCTTTTCCTATCGGTAATCAGCTGGCTTAGACACTGACCAAAATAAGCCACTCCCAGTCACAGCAAATTACATTCTGCGCGGATGGATTCGTGTGCTCCGTCCGTTGGCCCTGTCCTGAAGCGACAGATGTTCAGGTATCCCGTCTGTCGGCGCCGGCAGCGAGAGAGGACCTGACCCAGATTACAATCTCACCGCGGTTCACGTCGCTCAGCAGAAGCGCACGTCTGCTGGCGTGAAGAGCACTGCACCACACTCCTAACGCCCTTTCCTGCTTTTCAAGTACCTACCGTCTATGATGAAATAGTATATGCTAATGCAATGCTCTAGCGAGGAACATCTTGATATATAAAGTTAGAATTTCCAATGAATTTTTTTTCCGCGATAGTTCATTGAAATTGTAATAAAAAGCAAATATTATATTGTTTGCTTAACAATATAAAAAGTTCATTCCAAACGGTCAAAGAAAAAAGTTCATTTGAAATTCTAACTGCATATGTATACCTACCGTCTACTACCACGCCCTTTGATCGACCGATAGGCTCGGCGGTAGTCGCTGTTGTGACCTCTCCATCCGCTTTATCAGGCCGTCTCGTCAGTCCTATACCGCCTAATCTTCCTGCAATCTCTCCATCCGATCTTCTCAACGATAAACAATAAACACTTCACTACCGCAGCTCTATCATCTATATCACCCCAAATGACCCGCCCTCTTCTCCTCTTTCATCTAACGCTGAAGAGCTGTTGTCTGATTCTGCGGTCTTTGTCCCATCTCCCCGCGGTCATTGACCATCTCTACTCTCCAGTCACTCTACTACCATCCCCCTCTAGCCCAGCTGACTCCGATCACTCCTTTCTGCGCGGTCTGGCGGACGGCGCTGACGTATCGCTCGCGTCCGGCCATACTTTCTCTGCCCGGCGGCGGCAGCGGTTACGGCGGCCCTGTCCGCCCCCGCGCGACCGTCCGGCAAACGCTCGTAGTTTGGGGGAGCCACTCCGCCCCAATCTGCATGGTACTCCTGGGCGTGGCAGGCAAGTGTGCCCGGTGAGATAACTGAGCACAAACGGCTCCGCTATAGAAGGAATGGTGATAGATGTGGGAGTGCGGTGGCAAATGGACGGCGAAAGTGCGAATTCAGTCAATCGTGGTTTCTGAGAAGTAAAATAATAATTTTCAGTTCTCTGCTGGTGGTGGGAAAGTCTATTTATGATGTCGCGTTATTCAGTTAGGTATCATTCATCTCCCTTTTTAAATTGTTCAAATTGAAATAAAACTCGTTGATCGCATTCATGATCACTAGTCGTCAGTCCGGCAGGGTTACACTACACACAGAAGAGTGGCCGCAGATGTGGCAAAGATAATGGCCGAGTCGAATAGTTTGTCTGCCAGGAGTCTGTTGAAACACCCACTTTACATTGTCATGGCCGTCTGAACTACCTCACGATCCTTCCATGGTTGCACGGCTCCTTGGAGTAGGGGAAGTTGGGGCAATGCCGGAGTTGGGGCAAAGCCGAAATTCGAGATATTTCTAAAACCGTACGACATGGATGCCACGTCTCAGTGATGCTCTGAAGCTTGAGTGACTATACAATTATCGCATGTGTGTTACGAGTCGTCATTTGGAATACTTCGGCTGTGAGGGCGCCAAAAGCGTTTTCAAGGTACGTTTCCTTTGTACTACATGCGCCTTTGAAGCTGCATTTCTCACTCATTATGCTACCGTTTGTCTGGCCAATTCGGTCAAGTAATCTTCAGCATGTCTTTGCATAAGTGTGCTACCTATTTGAAATTTATACAGCACGTTTAAAAGTTATGGGCCTGCAAATGAAAGTATGGCTGGCTGGGGTAATGCCGAAAACGTGCAATTACGCACGTTAAAGCACGCTACGTGGACTTTACTGCTGTAGAATAGCAACGCGTATTTTTAGTCAAACAAATTACACTTTCAGCCGGCACAACGGCCTGTTACCTATAAGGAATGATTTACCTGGCATTTTCTTATTATATCACACAATTATAACTTCCAGTGTGCACCAAGCGTCCTCAAGCTCTTAAAACGCGTGTCAACTTTGATGAATTTTGGATAAAGTTTGAGATAAATTGGCAAAACATCAATGTCAGCATTCCTCGTAGATCATTTATCCCATTTTCGGCTTTCCCCGCAGTCCGGGGCAACGCCGAAAAAGTCAGTTCTTTGATATTTTTAGTTTTTGCGCTTAACGGTATGCGAATTCATCAAATGCGCCTGGTATGTTTGAAAGACAAAAGACTGTCCTCTCGAATGACGCCAACAAGAATAGCTTATGTTGTCTACCTTGCGTGCTACGGGCGTCAGAAAAAAAGTATTCGGCGTTCCCCCAACTTCCCCTAATGTTTAACGGCCCTATCTATCCTCGGTAAGCCGACCATTCCTCGGTGGGTGGAGTAGCCATCGCCGTCGTTTGGATGGAGAGGAGAGAGAGAAATGGTGGGCGGTTTAGCTGCCAGCATGACCGAGCCTGCAGAGAAGAGGATGGGTCAGATCGTGCTTCACCATATGCGTGTGGGCAGTCATTAGACGGACCGCAGCGCCTCCGAGGCAACACAATGCAACAATCGCGGCACGCAGCCCGCCGAGCCGCCCCCGCCACCATCCCTCCGCCCTCGGGTCCGGGGGTGCCCATGTCTTGCACCACAGCTGCGCCGCGGGCCAGGGGAGTTGTGTGAGTACACACCGCGCCGTGGTTACCCGTGACCACCACCACGTGCCGCGCAAGTGTCGTGAAAACTCACAGCGCCGCCCGCGGCGCGGCCGTGGTAACTGCTGGGCACCGCTCTAAAGAAGTGATTTTGCGCGGCGCTGTTTGTGAAAGCTGACGGAGGTGAGGCAACGCATGATTTGGCGGACTCGACGCCTGAATAATCTTGAGTCATTGGGCACATTCTATGCTGTTTAGGTCCAGGAATTGTGCCATGTGAAGAATAAATTGTTTGGTATGCACCTCACCCTTGATGTCGTCATGTGACCATCCGAAATTAAACGTCACCCGATTCTCTCATTGATTGAATTGAAAGTTGACACATTCAGATTCAAAACTCTCATTGAGATAATAAGCACTACTCGAGGCTATCACTCTGTGTCTCATGCATGCATTTCAGAAGATAAGAATATCAACAAAATGTCAGCGAAAGCGTGGCACGTGTACCTACATGACAAGCAGTAGGTATTCATGTGGCGACACCATCAAACACCTGGTCTTGGCCTTAACATGGTGTTGGTTAACTCTGAGCCAAGACCGTGTGCGCCTGTGCCTCGCCCTCCACCCTCCGTTATTTGCTGCAATGCCTTGCTAAGATAGCATGAAGGACACGGTGACCCACCAGGGAAAGTCAACAGAAGAGATTTGAATTATTTCGGCCTTTTTTACAAATGCTTACAGTCTTGGACATTGGGAAATAATATTAAAGCATACTCTAAAGTTCGCGCCTTTGGACAGACCAAAAAATATAGTTGCTCTCCCAACGTACTATGAATGTGGGCACATGCATACCGTGGATCCTTACAATTTCGTTTTCAGGCCATTCGGGAATGGGCTGCTTGCGCAACTGATCTGAATACGCGGTGTCGAAGAATAGCTGCGGCGACCTCCATGACCTCAGTGTGCCCCAAATACCCGACATTTGGCCATAGACTGTTGCCTTATCTGGGGTGGTGAGCCAGAGTAAGACGCCACTGCCATGTCAAACAAAGATAACCACGAGCGGGATGCATGATATATTGATCCCGAAAGTCACGAGGCGATCATTGCAGCTGATAACGTGTGAGTAAAGTTGGGTAACGTTCAGACGCGTAATTGATGCGCTGGTGTAATGCGTGAAATAAAGACACAATAAACCACAAGTCGCGGTGCATATTTAGCACCGATGGCAGTTACGATATGATTACGTCATCACGCCGCTCCACTGACCGGCCGGGTCGGTGAACCGGTAACCTTGGCAACCGGCGCTCGAGTGTGAATTGGCCGTTGACGAGCCGTTAAAGGCGGTCAATCATACAACCACGTAGATGGCGGGTGTGCTATACTGCCAGGGCGTGACACTGAGTAATGGGCAAAGCTGGCTGGGGACTGCAACATGACATAGCAGGCTAACAATGACCTTGGTCAACGGCCGCGCGCGCCGGTACAGTCGGGAGACTGCAGAGCAGCATACAAACGTAACACCACGAGGCCGGCAGCGCCGGCGCGGATTGGAGACTGCAACAGAATACAAAAACATAACACCTGTACTGCGGAGACTGCATTGCAACATAGCACAACAACTACAAAATGGCCGTGGTTTTCATCACGTATTGTTCGCTCCAATTTACCGCTTGTCTTATTGATGCAATGCCTTGTAGACTGCGTGAGAGTAATGGCACTACGCTATCATGTGTTTATACTTCGTCGAAATGCTCTACACCCGTCTAAAGCGGCCCGGGAGGGCGGCAGCGACGGGCGGTGGTCTACATCCTCAGCAGGAGCGGGCCGGAGCCCGGCTCGCCACAGAGCCGTGTACAGAGGTCACCAGCTCGGGTCATGACCTGCCGAGTGCGCCGACAGCTCCAAGGCCGCCGGCCGGGCACGACTGACGACGAAAGTGGCGCACTGGCGACATGCGCCATTGGGCAAATGGGCCGCCCGGCGCGCCGACACACGCTGCTAGGAGTGCTCAGCCATGAAGACTACTATCCTGTGCAGCTGTCGGCACTCTGCTGCTCAACCAGACATGATAGTGAGACAGCTCACGAATATGATCGCCTGGTGTGAATAACTGCTCACGCAGGGCGAATTTATGATACGGTTCGCCAGATAAATGAAAAAGATGAAATATTGCAACACTACGCAGATACTATTCCAGAGAAGCGGCGAGCTACAGGCGGACCAAACTGAAAAGTTGAAGAGGTCTAGTCAATATGAAAAACAAAATTGTATAAATCATATACCAGCAAATCTAATGAAGTCCAAGGCATGATATTCTTGTCCCTTAACATTGACACATAATATAGGTAGGTATAGGACAAAAGATCATCGCACATTTTTCTACATTGGCCACAACGTTTGGTTTAACTGTCAATGTGAACGTAGCAGCATCGAACTGGCAGTGCGTTGGTGACCTCTGGCCTGCCTGGTCGATTAGCGATCTCAAACGTGACTTTCCTGAATCAGTTCATGGACACTGCGTCGATTATCTATCTCTGGCGCTGCCGAAATCAGCTCGTAATAGACCACGTCCGCGAATGTTCACGACCTGCAGACAGCGGTACGTGGGGTGGAACGCACGCCGAACAGCATGAAACACGGCTAACGCAAGCTGGATCACGATTTAATTTCGGTGATGCGTTTTATCACTTATGGACAAGAAATCATTTGTACTTGCTGCTAGATTATCGCAGAGCAGATTTAAGTTCAGTTAATTGCAGATCGCATGTCCATCGTATGTTCTCTTATCAAAACGTTCAGCTTTCCAGTCTTACAAAGTACGAGTACATGTCTCTTTCATTTTCACCAGCATGTGTTTACGTACTTTGCGAACCAAACAGCTTCGAACCGTCAACAACTTGATTTTATGTGCCGTTTGTTTTGAAATAGTCACCAACGAATCTAGAAAACAAGCCTGATTATTGTATTCCACTAGCCTCAGCATGGCAACAGACAAACATCAGCAGATATAAACCCGACTTCAATAAAAACCCGACAAGCGAGCCGGTTCTCATTAACCTACTAACAAACACTAGGCCTTCTAACGTATGAACTCCTATAGCTTGGCCTTGAAAAGAGTGCCTCGCCCTGTTTGTTTAATGTTTCAGCACACAACAATGCTTTCTTCTGTCTGTTTACTGCCTTCCTCATGACCGTTTAACAGTCCCTTTTTCAATTTACAATCTTCCTTCTCTTGGCATCTTGTCCTAATCCCTACAACTGAATAGGAATTAAACCTGTCACTTATATGCCCTAGTGTGTATGGGGCATTCCACGTCAAATCAAACACCGAAATCCGTCATCCCCTTCGATTTTTCTGAAAATTTGTAGGCAGACTGGGCATGGTTCAAAACTGAGTTACGTACAATATTTTCGAAATTTGATAAAGTATCGCTGAGATATAGGTCATCGAATATAGCCAAAAATGACACACATCAATTTTTTAAATGTCTATAACTCTGGTTCCTTTTCTGGTATCAAAATGATATTAACAGGGTCTTGTAGGCAATTGATAAGGCTTTGATCTTTAATTATAAAATTAAATTGAAGTGACCTTGAAATGCATTTGACCTTGAATTAAAACAGAAAAATTTAAATAGCAAAAAACACGTCACCTTCGATTCGGGTAATTTTTACATATTATGTCCCTCACAATGTTCCTAACCATCTGTGAAAAAATTGGAGTGGGCCATTCATAACTCTCGCGGCAAACGCCGTTTTCATGCATCAACATCACGCAACTGCGCGTGACCTTGAAAGACAGAGTCAAGACATGCTTGCTTGTGTACACTTTCTGAAATGAATGATTGCTGATTAGTGATATCCCAAACTCTGCGAGAATGTAAATACATAGTCATCGTAGTCAAGCATTCAAGTTCCATAGTAAAAGTGTCTCAGGCAAACGGTATTTTGCGGTGAATTTTGAGCCGTGTGGAAATGCATCATGAAGCCAAAAATTCAACGAAAACATTATCACGCAACGATATCTTCACGTCTTTTTATCTTCACTATACGAAAGAATATACATTTTTGAGTATGTATGGGGAATTTCTAGTTAATCCAATAATAAATATGGCAGTTAGAGACCTGCTAAGAGTAACATGTCGCCGGCTGAGGCGGGATCGGCCGACGCGGGAAACGCAGCAATCACAATTTTGTGTTTACACGTTCATATTTCAATTGTTTACCAACCGATTTTCAAAATTCTTACACCATAAGATTGCCTGTACATTTCTTAGTCTTCTCACAAAATTTGACGCGAATCAAACGTAATCAGCGGTAAGGAGCGGGATGTAAAGACGGAACCGTTCCGTTCCGTCCCGGCACAGTCTACAATTCAGGCGGCGGCTAGCGGTCGGCGCCGGCTGCCGAGTCGCCGCGTCGCCGCGGCGACAGGATGTTCACTTTACACCGCTATTACTAGACCAGTTGAACCGATTTTCTTCTTGCTTGCACGATGAGATGTGCAACTCAATTTTGGACAGGTAGCTATAATTAATTTCGCATTAATACTATGAGATATTGGCGAAAAACAGAAGGGGTGGGGCAAAATTCACTCTTCCCCCTCCACTGCGCGTGCTAACATACGTTTGCATATGTGCCATTTTCTTCAAAACTTATGAATGGCCCACTCTAATTTTTTCACAGGTTGTTAAGAATATGGTAGGCAATAAAATATATGAAAATTAGCCAAATCGAAGGTGACGTGTTTTTTGCTATTTCAATTTTTGTGCTTAAGAACAGAGCTAAGCAAATCTCAAGGTCACATATTTAAGTAGGTGCAAGTCTAAACAAATGCTTAAGAAATTACCTAAACAGTAAGGTTTATTTAATTCAAATCAAACAAGTACAACCAAAGTTATGGTCGTTCAAAAATATGAAGATGCAACATTTTGTAAAAATTCGATGCCCTATATTTAGAAGACCTGTGGTCAGAATGTGCAAAAAACATCAATGTAATGTTCGGGGCGACACAGGAACTCGCTCACAAATTTATAATGAAATCGCTGATGGTAAGGTGCAAAACAGCCGATTTTTGTTCGATTTGACGTGGAATGCCCCGTATGTGTTCGTATTCCATGCTTCTGTCTTTCACCACGATCACCATTCACCTATGCAAGTGTGATTTTTGCCCATGTTGCGGGCTTTGACAGCCCTGTGTGTTTGGTTCCCGAAAGAAGTGGCTGCGGCGCCTCTGTGCCTGTGTCTGTGCCACTGTCTCTGACCGTCTCCTGTGTCCCTTCCTCAGAGAACTGCCCCGGGCGGACCTGCGCGGCCGGCCACCGCCGCCGGCAGCCGAGCCGACCCCGCGGCGCCGTCCCCCGCCGTCCGGTGTCGCTCCTCCCTGGACGCCGCCATGACGGGCGCGGTGCCAGGCGGCAACTACCGCCTCGACGACGACTACCATGACGCCGACGAGTCGACCCCGCTCCACCAGGAAGACCTCTACGGCGGCAGGTCAGGCAGACGATCCGAGTGGGTGACACGTAGCGTGGAAACGGGTGGTCATTAGACGCTCGCTGACCAGCAAAAAAAAAAATGGGTTTAGTGCGACCGCCAAAAAGAAATAATTAAGTAAGAATGGAATTGATTAGACTCTTTCTTAATTGTGTCTTCTGTGACGATTATTCAGTCAGTCATCACGTGTGTAATCTGCCACCCGTGATTATTTCTCTGGCTCCATGTCGTAACTTCAGGGTCGCAGGGTGACGTCTAACCTCTCCGCCAGTCGATATCACCTGCCCATTCAGTCTGTGTTTACCTGTGTCCGGCTGCCGAGGCACACACCCCCACCACTCTCCAGAGCCGCCAGTGTTGACATGAAGCGCCACGGTTTCTCAATTATCGGCCCCGGCTCACTTTCTCTGCGCTCGCGCACGTCCGACGGAGGCGACAAGTGAACACTCATGGCTTGTAGCGTCTTCCTGGGGTGGTGATCTTTATAGCGTTTCCAGTGGTGATGAGCTGATAGCGACCCACCATCCGATGACGTGATAACGTTTGATGTCTTCTTGATATGATACGGAACGTTATTCTCACTTATGGCCAATACCTATATAGCGTAATGCTAAAAATGTGAAGATTGAGCATTCATCGTCCGGTCCACGATACAAGTTCAAATGCAGGCCCCGAAGATTTATTATATGTAGGTAACTGCCATAAAACGAAAAAACGGAAGTTTTGTACTAAAACAAGCCCTTTATGTCACATGATTCATACCAGCACACCAGCACCGCCCATCCGATACCAGTTTTACTATTCCCTATGCAGCCCGCGACGCACTGTGCGCAGTGGCTTTGAACACCGGTCGTGTGCCCTTCCGTATCTCTAGCGGCGGTCAGTATGGTAATATCGCAGACCGGACAGCTGCTACAAATGTGGGCCACTCGATTCTGTCCGGAGTCGTGCTGGAGAAACCGATCACGCTGCGTGAGATTGCTGAGCTCGGTGACATCTTCCGCCGGAGGAGCGGTCCGGAACGGGCCGGAGGAGTCCGAAACGGGCCAGAGCGTACCGGAGGAGTGGGCCGGAACGGGCTGCGGTGTCTCCGCTTGTAGATGAAGAACTCCACCACTGCGATCGTTTCTTACAGATAGAACGACGACAGGTGGCGACGTGACTCGCACTTTTTAGCGAATTACTACTTAACTTCATATAGCTGGCTTGCAAGCCATGTAACTATTTATTGGAGAAGATCTCGAAAGCAATACAGCGAAAGATATATCTTACAATCATCAGCGAACGCTACCAAAACAAATCACATCTTGGTTAGATCGATCACTCCAAGCACACCGATGATCCATTAGGAGTCCAACTCGGCCACGTGGTGGGACCACCGCTGCCACCGACTATTGCTGAGCGTCTGGGACCGTTCTGTCCGTGTGTGAGTCTCTGTGCGCGGTGGCCGGGTGTGCCAGATTGGGATGTGGGTCGGTGGAGAACCTCGTTCCGGTCGGGTGGCCGCCGCGGTGGACGGCCGGCAGCTGTGCTGAGCTGATGCTGGGTTTACGACTGCGGTAGTAGCCGCGGCCGGAGCAGTGGGCTGACCGAGACTGCCGGACCGCCACGGCCCACTGCCCAGTGCTCCAATCAGATGTGATACATACCCGCTCAGCGGCACGGGCGCCTCGCTCCTACACTGGACAATTATGGCAGTAATCGCTCGTTACAACGTAAGATGGGCATGCCTTGGTCAGCTGATCCCTTTTGTATTTCGGCTGGGATCAGATGCAGAGGCACACGAGTAAATGATAGGTCCGAGGGCAAGTGTGGATACAAATAAAGCCCTGCCGTTTCGAAAATGTTTGTCAACAAACACAACCACTAGCAATGCCTGACACCTTTATACCCCTGACTGGCATCTTCAGCGTTTGACGTCTCTGTCTTCCTCTCTGACGTTATGAGACGACTGAAGCGCCTGACACGGTCGTCTTTCTTCCCTACAGTCGACGCAGTGTGATCCCTGAGATGAAGAAATGGGACGTTTTCCGCGTCATCCCACCCGACAACGACTCGGGCTCCGCTGCCAACCAGCGCTGCCTCGACATCACCATCAAGATCGTCAAAGTCATCGTGTACATCATCACCTTCAGCATCGTGCTGGCCTCGGGCGTCATCGCCAAAGGAACCACCCTCTTCATGACGTCACAGCTCAAACAGCACAAGACACTCGAGTACTGCAATAAACGGATCGGTGAGTACCGAGTACTAACTACATTACATGGAAAGAGGAAATCGATAGATGGTGTGGGGTTTGATAACACTGAGATGCATGGGGCATGATAAACTGGCAATTATCACACTTTATGGCGCCATGCATTGAGATTGCTTGCAACGGAAGTCGATAGTGAGGCTATCTCGAACATGCTCAGTCAAGTGAACAGCGTGAAAGGTGCGGTCTCTAGTCCCGGGATCTAAATCCTTTTGTTACCGCCGTGTTGTGACATCGACCGTGAGTGCGAAAGTCAGCACGTAACTCCTCTCCAGGGAGTCGAACACATGTTTCGTCTTCCAAGAGATAATATCATTGCATCAGCTGTTTAGAGACTGGCTTCAATGTTTGAATCGAAATCGGTATTCAGCTTGCCGTTCTTTCTTGGCACACATATGTATACGATCACTTTAAAGCATTTCTTTTATCGCATCCATGTCTAAAAGTTCTATAACCCTATTCATTTCTCCCTGACCCTCTAATCATGCTCTACGTAATGAAGCTGCCGTAAGTTTTTGTATGCAAGCCTGATCGATATCTGACCACTTTCACTAGTTTCAAGCAGCTCCACAAAAAGCTGTCGTTCATTATCCACTAGTTAGACCAAACAGCCCCTCCCACTCACACTGTTCATGAGCTCCTGTTTCGGAACCTACAGATTATCTATGTATGTCTGTTTGGGTCGGTTACCAGTTTATGCGCCATTTTTACGGGTCGCATTACTCATCATAAGCGCATCATTCGGAAATCCGTCGATAATGCTCCCTCTGATATTTTATATGATCGAACCACACTTTTCCCCGCTGTGACGTATTTCGGTCCACGGCGTCACGGATGGAGGAGGCGAGCCACGGAGACTGAGGGCCGCTCAGCTGATCGTAATCACCGCGCCCACGCTCGCGCCTCTTCAAGGCCACACCGTCCACTTTCGTCGGCCGGTCGGTGTGTGCGTGTCTGTCTGGCGTGTGTGTCGGCGTGGGTGGCTGTTTGTTTGGACCGCTGCGCCGGGGCGGGGCCGTGGCACGTTACACCCCTCGGTGGGTCAGCGATCGGGCGGTCTCCGGGAGTACAGGTCATCTGTTGACCTCTGACACGCGCACTGCGGCAGGCAGTGGTCAATCACGGGTGGTCTCCCCCAGCGTGGCTCCAGCCAACCACTCAGTGCAGTTCAAATGTTTGTTTAATGCACGACAAAGGCTTCGGGTGCCAGGTGCACTGAGACGGTGAAGAAAGTGAAATGGCTCAATGTGTTTGACAGATTGAGATAAATTGGGTCCATAAACTCAACTAAGCGAGGGATAGGTGCAGCAAATACAATGACCAAGCACATGTCGCCAGAGCCATCCGGCATCTCCAGTTGTATGGAATGCAAATAAGGGATTGATTCGATTTGTTGCTAAATATTTGTACGTTTCAAACGCAACACTATTTTAATTCTCATTTTCGTTTCCCTGACTCCCACAAAAGTTATATTATTCTCCTCTTCCTCTTCTTTCTCCTCCATTTTCTTTTTCCCCGTCTTCCTTCTCGCCTTCAGCTCTCCGTCTCCGTCTCTCCGATCCCACAGCCGCTCCGCAGTGTCTCCGGACGCGTCCGTCCGTCCGTCCGTGGGCACGGCGCCGTCTCTCTGGGCCGGTGGCGCTCGTCACGGCCCGCCGACCGGCGCCGGTTTCTCTTCCCATGCGGCGGCGAGCCTCTGCCGCCGGCGAGTCGGGTCAGGGGTCGCCTGCCCGCCGGCCCGGCCCGTGACCGGCCACCAGCGAAAGTGAGCGCGCGGCGGACGGCCGGCGGCGCTGCGCCCGCGGTCAGTCGTGCTCCCCTGCGCCGCAGCCGCCGTCATGACGCCCGCAGGTTTTTGCTCGAGGTGTGGAAATGGGCCGAGCCATGAAAAACCTGAACGGACCCGCCCAGACTCTATGTGTGGCTGTTGCTGAGGGTGTGAATTTTGGCGAAGGTGAACAGGCATCAATACGAAAGCGGGATAAAACGAGTCGCAAAGAGAGGTAGCAATAGCCAATAATCATCACATGTTTTATTTATTACCTATTGGGAAGAAGTTACCTATTAGGTATCCTCTTTACGCTTAAGAAGAGTAGAACTTTAACATTCGCCATGGAGTTAGTGTGTTCTTGAGCAATGTGCATGTTGGCCAACATATACACATGCATGCTCAAGTGAATATTTTTAATGCAGCCATGTCATATCACCCCACAGTCCTTGATCTGACGGTCGCCCGACACTGACAGGTCTCGACAAGACATGGCGGGTGGAGCTGCCCGACGTCGAGAAGGTGGCCTGGGTGTGGTGTCTATTCTTCTGCTTCATCACCCCGGAGGCGGGCACCTGGTTTCGATCCGCCAGGATGTGCGTCTTCAAGGTAAGCCCGGAGGAGGGAAGGGGAGACAGATGGGCTCCCGCTAAGGGTGTTTTCCCGTAGAGCTGCAAGCGAAGAAAGGAAACCCTCGAAGAGCTTTGACCCACTCAGCGAAACTTTCGAAGTGTTGGGACTCAGCCACTGCCAGGGAATGCTCTAAGAGCAATGACCCGGCAAGGGCGCTCTCAGACTGTTATCCAGCTAGAGGTGCTCACAAAACTTTATGACTCTGCCCGGGACGCTCTCAAAGTTATGGGCTCAATCCAGGGAGCTCTCAATTTACTATGAACCGGCGCGGGGAATTCTCATCTGGCTATACCGCTGACACATGACAGCCTCTGCTCACAGCCATTCGCGTCTCCCCCGTATTCCATTCTCGGTATTCCCGAATTGCCGTGGTCTGACCGGGTAGGAGGCCGACTCCGTGCGGCCCAGACTCGGCCGAACGGCTGTGGGTGGGAACGAGCACCCGGCCGTGGGTGGGAACGAGCACCAGGTCTCTCCCATCCAGTCGTCCGCAGCCGCCGACTAACCCGGCCGGGCTGACGTGCAATCCAATGACGAATTAACTTGGTACCCTTTGATGAATAGTTTGCGGTAATTGTGTTCTCATATTAGGCGTTGCCTCACAGAGCTGATTCGTGTACGTGAGGCATAATGAGTGAGAAAAAATGTCATTTTCGAAATGTTTCTCCACGATAAAATTAGCAAGAAATGAGTGCAATGTAAAATGCTAACGGTTATTTAAACGTTTGTTTTCAATTTCAGGCACCTTACCAAATATTTCGATAGGGGAGAACGGGGTTAATTGTAACATTTTTTGCATTTTATCACCTGGTGCAAACACGTTTGCAGTTATAAAACTGCAGTTGCTCTTGCAGAAGCAGAGCAAAATTTTCAATACAGAGGCTCGGAAAATCATGAAGAAATCGGAAAAGGGTAAGAAAATGTATCATTTACTGGAGGAAGCACCAACTGTTCCAAAAATGAAAGGTCTGCCCAAAGTTCACAAGGACGGGGTACCCATGCGCCCGATTACGTCCGGTATTGGGAGCGCCCCCCACAATCTGGCTAAGACACTGGCAAAGCCATTGTCGATGGCCCTCGGATCCATCAGTGATGCGCACCTCAAGAATTCATCAGAGATGATGTCTAAATTGAAAGAAATAGAAAACGTAACGGACATGAAAATGGCAAGCTTTGACGTGAAATCTCTTTTTACCAACGTCCCCATACAAGGTGCCCTAGAAGCAATAGAAAAAGTGGTAAACACCATTGATGAGAATTCTCTCCCACTCCCAAAGGAGGATTATATCAGGTTAGTTTCTCTGTGCATGAACTTTGGCTGTTTTTCATTCAACGGGAAGGAATACTTACAAAGGAATGGACTGGCTATGGGATCTCCTCTCAGCCCAGTAGCGGCTTGTTTATATATGGAAACTCTAGAAGCATCAAATTTCTTCGACATCATGGGGCCCAGCTCCATATGGGTGAGATATGTGGACGATGTCCTAGTGATCGTTCCAGAAAACACGAATCTGGAACAAAAACTAGCGCAACTGAACAACGTCAATGCGAAGATACAGTTCACGATCGAGTACGAAGAAAACGACCAACTAGCGTTCTTAGACACGTGTATCATCAGAAGAGAGACAGGTTTCAAATTTAAGGTGCATAGGAAGCCAACCAACAAAGAAGATTATGTTCATTTTTACTCTGGCCACAGTGAACGTGTGAAAAGTGGTATAGTTATAGGTTTCTTTTTACGAGCGATGAGAATTTGTGATGAGGAGTTCTTGGACGAAGAGATTAAACATATTTACAAAGCTTTCACGAAACTGAAATACCCAAAGGGGTATCTCATTCGGCAAAAGCAAAAGGCCGAACGGATAAGGAAGACCCCAAAACAAAAAGAAAAAGAACAAGGGAGAAAAAAGCTAAAATGGATATCGATTCCAAACTCCAAGAACGCGGAGGCAATTTCCAAATCACTAGAAAAGACAGGCATACGAGTAGCAACGAACACAGGAACGAAGATACACGAGATGATCAAACGAAGACCGAAAGAGACGTCCGGCACATCCGATTCTCCGAAAAGTGTAGTATACGAAATTCCTTGTGGTGGGTGTGAAAAAAGCTACGTGGGAGAAACGGGGAGGGGGGTCGAAACGAGACTCAAAGAACATAAAAGTGACCTCAAGTTTCATCGAACTTCGAACGCAATCGTCTTACATGCCGAACAATCTCATCATTTACCGAACTGGGGAGCAACTCGATTATTAGAGAAAGGCGCACGAAAAACGACACGAAAAATCTTAGAAGCGGCTCACATATCTGCACGTGATACCATCAATACTAGAACTGGATTTATAACTTTAGCAACATGCGCTGTGAACTTAGTGGCAGGACCCCGATAGCTAATCTCGTGACTGTGATATATTTTTCGAGTGCTATTTTATATTCGTGTACAAGCTGCCGGTGATCATTTCTGTCCTCATTTCTGTAACACAGTGATCAAGGTATTTTCGTACCGAAAGCTTTGTGTGTCTAAATATACATTTGACTTGTTATTGTTATCATTTATAAAACTCTTTCTTTTATTTTCAGAAACTATGATGTTTTGTCTTTAAAATGCTGTTAAAACATTTCCGAAATAACTTATTTTTTGGGTCAAAATTGTTGTCCGAAAAAGTCAATTCATCTGTTACAATTCACCCCAGATACGGGGTCAAAAGTAACACCACCCGGGGACAATTGTAACATGCTAATTTACAGGCTATAGCAACACAATTTTTCCCAAAACTTTGATTTAACAAAAGTATTCAACACTTGTTCATCTTCCCAGACTTGGTAGAGACGGTTCTTCTCATGAAAAAAGGCTTAAAACCTCGCACTTATACAGGGGTTGGATGGACCTCCTCTCCCTCGGTTTTTCGCAAATAAATCGCGTAAAAAGCTGCCGATTGCGACAAAACTTACAGTTCTCTTAATTCTAGCAATGTTTCATCTCCCTTGAAAATTTGACGACTTTGACATAACGGCCACTGACCTATAACCTGTTACATTTGACCCCTGCAAAAATGTTACAATTGTCCCCGTCGCGCCTTGACATATTTTAGACGAAACTGGCGCATAACTATGTTGCATGTATTCTGCATTTAATGCTTTCACTTTATGGACAACAAGCCTGCCAACGCTTACACAAAGTCTGAGGTCGATATCTTTTCAATGGCGGGAATGAGCTAATCAAATATAACGGTATAAAAATTTACAAAATGCACTCAAAAACACATTACTGTGCACAGCCATCGACATACCCGGCACTTTCGCTTCAAACTCCGTTGGGAAAGGCAGTATAGAATTACGCATTTTCGGTCTTAACATCAGCTCATTCTATTGGTAAGTTTATGAATTATTAACACTGTTACAATTGCCCCGTGTTACATTTGACCCCGCTCTCCCCTATTTCATCGTATCCTTAATTTAGACATGCATCAAATCATATCGATGTGCGCTTATGCGCCTGAAAAGCCTAGTTTCGCTCTAGCTGAAAGCGACATAAGCGTGGCTTGGGCAAAATAAAAATGCCTCAAAGACAGAACCTACGACCACCAAGCTTTTGTAAACGTAGTATCTCCAGTGCTTTCCTCCACCAGCCGTTTCAGCCACGCTGCTCACCGCTCACCGTTTGTCGCCCGCAGTCGATCCGACGGCCCGAGTTCGGTCACTTCCTCGTGGTGGCCTTGTTCGAGACGCTGCACACGGCCGGCCTGGCGCTGCTCGTCTTCTTTGTGCTGCCGGACCTGGACGCCGTCAAGGGCGTCATGCTCACCAACTGCGTCTGCATCGTACCCGGAGTGCTCGGTGAGTTTATATAAGACGTTGCGCACCTATGGGTATGGACACTGTGAGCACAGGAGTATGCAGGCACAATAATGGGGTGATGGAAAAAAACAAATTCTTACTTTCGGCAAACTCGTCGTTTATGACGCGTGTTGTGACTCATGTTGCACCTAACCAAGTGTGTGCCGGTGCTGGAGTTTTCTTTAGAGTAGTGACTGGGTAGGTTATGGATAGATAACCGGTGCTCTTTGGGAGCATGTGTGTTATGTATAACCTATACTGCAGTCGATACACGCAGTCATGGACATTATTTCCCCATTGAGGCCATCTCAATTACCATTACAATTCACTGACCGATTGTTTTCGCTCCAGGCATGCTGTCGCGCACCAGTCGCGAATCGAGGCGGTTCCTGAAGACGGTGTGCGACATTGCCGCCATTCTGGGCCAGGCCACGGGCTTCATTGTATGGCCCATCATCGAATACCAGAAGGGCAACGCGGCAGCTTGCTGGGCCATCCCGCTGGCAGTGGTGCTGACCTCTGTCGGCTGGTGGGAGAACTACGTCGACCGCAAGTCCAAGATAGGTAGGTCCGTCCGAATGGTGCCTTTACACATGCTTATTATAATGAAAGGTCTTATATGCCTACATACCGTACTAACCGCCATTTTCTGTCGCTTTGTGGCAAGTGGGATTATTTAAAAAGTGCAATGTCGATGCAGGGAAAGGCATTATGACCTATCGGATTGGGACTTGATATTTGAGCATAGGTATTATACCTTGCTGGGATTGAACAAAAAAAAAAAAAAAACTCCAGTGTCCCTGGTAACTCTACACAGCTACACCTTTTTCACTTTTGTGCCGTATAACCAGCTCAGTTGAAATCAGCCATGAATTGCGTCCCCCAGGTATCGTCCAGTACCTGGGGCTAATCAAGGAGAAAATGAAGAAGACCCGTTACTGGGTGTACCTCTTCGTCTCCATCTGGAAAATCCTCTTCTTCTTTACGTGTATGGTCTTCTTCATGTTCCTGCGCCTCGACAATGTGGGCGACCTCTTCACCAAGTTTACCGACAGCTTCAATCAGCATAAAATATTCGTCAATGAGGTAGGTTTGCGATATTTTACGACTCCCATCGCAATTTATATCGTTCAACATTGCTGTGTTATGCATTTGCGGTTCGGGGTCGTTGCCGTTTTGTTTCATCGTTTACATATCAATTCATGATTTTGCATTCTCTTGAGTTTTCAAATACTATTGACAATGTTTTATGAACTTTCGTCTATCTGACGAAGTGACGACAAATACTTTCAAAAATAATTTATTTACCCATCTCTCTTTTCAGACGTCGCGGGCGCAGCTGGTATCGGTCACGGACAGCGCCGACTTCAACCAGCTCTTCACTGACACCAAGACCATCTTCTCCAGCGGCAACACGCCCTTCTACGTGTGCCAAATACAGATTGCTGCCGCCTATTTCGCCTATATATTCGGTACGTTCATATACATCGAATATGAATTAAATCTATATTCCGTGCTGTTTTGCCATCATCGAAACAAAATTATCAAAATATGTGACGCAAGTGCATGAGCCGACGTTAGTCCAGATAGGCCGTAATAAGTATTTTTAGACTTATTTACAATAACATTAGCATTTATTTTCAATTGTCCCGTATCACAATCAAATCGATGATTATACGGTGTTGATCACAGTGCTCTCACTCTGCCTGCACTCCCCACAGGCAAGTTCGCTTGCAAGATCTGCATCCAGGGCTTCAGCTTCGCGTTCCCGGTGAACCTGACGATCCCGGTGACCCTGTCGCTGCTGCTGATGAGCTGCGGGCTCCGCTCAGGAGACGCGTGCTTCATGCAGGACACCATCCCCGGCTACCTGTTCTTCGAGTGTCCTCGCGGCGACTACATCACAGACTTCATCGCCGGAGAGGTGCGTCTCTTCGCTGCTCTGGACGAGGAGTGGTGGACTGATTGATGCATTTTGTCAAGGCTACATGATGCTTATTGGTGCGCACCTATTTGCGTACCAACGTTAGGTGTTTTACGCAGCTCGGAGAGACGTAAAGCCATTGGTTTTCTATTCATGTGTATAGTGACCATTTCTATGGACTCGGTAGGTGGTAGCCAACGCCGTTGCGAATGCTCCGATTGATCTGACAGGTCCCGTCTGTTTGCAGCACGTCTGGATCTGGGTGCTGTGGCTGTTCTCGCAAACGTGGATCACGCTACACATCTGGACTCCGCACTGCGAGCGTCTGGCCACCACCGAGAAGCTGTTCGTGACGCCCATGTACAACGCGCTGCTGATTGACCAGTCCCTCGGTCTGAACCGGCGTCAGGACGACGCGCCCGAGCGACTCGAGTCGGACACCCGGGCACCGGACACTGACGATCCCGACGGAACGCAGCACTACGAGACCATCAGCATCCACACCGACTCGTCCAACACGGCCAACGTGCGCGCCACCGACCACATCACCCGCATCATCGCCTGCGCCACTATGTGGCACGAGACGAGGGACGAGATGATGGACATGCTGAAGTCAGTGCTGCGCATGGATGAGGACCAGTCGGCCATGAAGGTCGCCCAGGAGTACCTCAAGGTGCGCGACAAGGACTACTACGAGTTCGAGACGCACATCTTCTTCGACGACGCGTTCGAGATGTCGGATGAAGACGAAGACGAGCAGGTGGCCAACCGGTTCGTCAAGCTGCTGGTCGAGTGTATCGACGAGGCGGCCTCCCACGTCCACCAGATCCCGATCCGTCTGAGGCCTCCGATCAAAACGCCGACCCCTTACGGCGGTCGCCTCACCTGGACCCTGCCTGGAAAGACCAAGCTGATCGCCCACCTGAAGAACAAGATGTTGATCCGTCACAGGAAGCGCTGGAGCCAGGTGATGTACATGTACTACCTGCTCGGCTACAGGCTGATGGAGCTCGACATCTCCGTCGAGCGCAAGGAGATCATGGCCGACAACACCTACCTGCTGACGCTCGACGGAGACATCGACTTCCAGCCGAGCGCCGTCAAACTGCTGGTCGATCTGATGAAGAAGAACAGGAACCTGGGCGCCGCGTGTGGTCGAATCCATCCTGTCGGCTCCGGACCAATGGTGTGGTACCAGCTGTTCGAGTATGCCATCGGCCATTGGCTGCAGAAGGCCACCGAACACATGATCGGCTGTGTGCTCTGTAGTCCTGGATGCTTCTCTCTGTTCCGCGCCAAGGGTTTGATGGACGACAACGTGATGAAGCGGTATACGCTGACGTCTCACCAGGCTCGCCATTATGTGCAGTACGATCAGGGAGAGGACCGTTGGCTGTGTACACTGCTGCTGCAGCGAGGCTACCGCGTGGACTACTCGGCCGCCTCAGACGCCTACACCCACTGTCCCGAGGGCTTCAACGAGTTCTACAACCAGCGCCGTCGGTGGGTGCCCTCCACCATCGCCAACATCATGGACCTGCTCATGGACTACAAGAACACCATCAAGATCAATGACAACATATCCATGCCTTACATCATGTATCAGGTAAGTAAACGATGCATGCCTGTTCGTTATTACGAGGCATGATGCTAAAACGTTCCGGTTTATTCTGCACCAATATCTCTGTTTCGTCGCTTTTAATTAAATTTCGTGTAACATCACTAGAGTTGAAAATTTTTAAGTAATACAAATTTAATGTTGGGCATAACTTTACCGAAGCTGGCACACCTGGATTTATTTTTCTGCTTTATGTATCTACAGACGTTCCTGATGGCCGGCACGATTCTGGGCCCGGGCACGATCTTCCTCATGTTGGTGGGAGCGTTCGTAGCCGCCTTCCGGATCGACAACTGGACCTCGTTCCAGTACAACATCTACCCCATCGTAATCTTCATGATCGTCTGCTTTACCATGAAGTCAAACATACAGGTAACGTTCAGGAGGTGCCGCTTTTGCACCCAGTTCTCCACTCTGGCACATACCATTTTGTTATTAAATCATAGATTTTAACGAGCCGCTGAGCCTACATTGTGACCAGTTAATAACACCTTGGGCCTCGCGAGTCATTTACTCCCCGGAAATATTTTATGTTGTGCCTCCATTATATGTCATATCCAGCTGCCATCAAAGTCATATTGACTAGTCCTCATGTCCCACTGCTTTTTGCTAGAGGGCACAGCTAATGTGCGACCGACTCTGTTACACATTTATTTTTGTCCAGTTTTACTGCACCTGCAGTGTCCGTTTCATCCATATGACTCTCATCTGTGGCCGCCCACAGCTGCTGGTGGCGCAGATTCTCTCGGCGGCTTACGCGCTCATCATGATGGCCGTGATAGTCGGTACGACGCTGCAGCTGTACGAGGACGGTCCCGGCTCGCCCTCCTTTATCTTCCTCATCGCGACCATCCTCTCCATGGTGATAGCGGCCGTGCTGCACCCGCAGGAGTTCAAGTGCATCTTCCCCGGCTTCATCTACCTGCTCTCCATCCCGTCCATGTACCTGCTGCTCATCCTGTACTCGCTGACCAACCTCAACAACGTCACCTGGGGAACACGCGAGGTGCTGGCCAAGAAGACGAAAAAGGTACGTCAGCTGTGTGGCAAAATGTTTAGATACATAAAGTGGATTTATGGATGTAGAGGTGCGAGTGAATGCCTTTCCGTGCACAACACATAAATATTTCATGGTTTACCGTTGCTCGATGCTATAATTTTGACGTTTTAGCGCCTTATGTGCATTGCCTTTTACAGCCAAAGCAGTGTGCCGACCCCGATGCGAGCCAGAGTCACCAACCTTGTGTTGTTCTTCGTAGGAGCTGGAGGAGGAGCGTAAGGCCGTCGAGGAGGCCAAGAAGCGTCCGGACGGCCTGCTCGGTTACCTGTACAACAGCCGGCCGCAGGAGCAGGACGGCTCCATCGAGTTCAACTTCGCCAACCTGTTCCGCGTCATGTGCTGCACCTACCCGAAGCAGATTGACGAGAGGGAGCAGCTGAAGCGGATCGCTGACTCGCTGGACGCTCTCAACAGACGCATGGACCTTGTCGAAGGGTAGGTGACGTGGCGGACTATAGACGAGCTGTTTTTTAGATTGGTCTTTGTTGTCTAATCGGATCTTGGTGGCAAGCACGATTGTGGAGAGATATGTCTGTTGTCTGTCTAGTTGAGGTAGTTGATCCCAGCAGCTCCTCCTCACGCCGTCCCCGTTGTAATATCTCCCTGTCTTGGTGCAGGGGCCACCACCATCACCATCACCACCAGCCGGGCCGACGGTCCAGCTTCAGCCGCAACTCTGTGCACGGCGGGCTGATCAGTCCCGTGAAGGAGGACCGCTCCACCTGCTCCGAGAACAACGACACCAACAGCGACACATCTGGTAAGAACCAATAGGAACACCTCGGGTAAGGACCAACAGCGACACATCGGGTAAGGACCAACAGCGACATCTCGGGTGAGGACCAACAGCGACACATCGGGTAAGGACCAACAGCGACACATCGGGTGAGGACCAACAGCGACACATCGGGTAAGAACCAATAGCGACACCTCGGGTAAGGACCAGCCCAAACGCTCGGAGTGAGAGTGGATATCGATTCCCGATTATGTTCTTCTTCACTAAGATTAGGCACAATTTGTTTGGTCAGTTTAGGATCGTCAAGTTAATTTCCAGCTCACTGAGGTCCGAACTCCATGTCCAAGGGTATTACCAGTCAATAGAAATTCGAATTGCTAGTTCATATCAATATGAAGGGATTATTCCTTACATGCTTCGACAATATGAAGACACGTAAGAAATTTCCCATTTTTATCGTAATTCTATTCTGCTGCTGCAGTGGAGCCAAAAGAGCGTCGTGACCACCTGAAGAACCCGCTCTGGATCGAGGACAAGTCGCTACGGAAGGGCAAGGTGGAATACCTGCCACCCAACGAGATCCAGTTCTGGAAGGACCTGATCGGGCAGTACCTCTGGCCGCTCGACGAGGACAAAGAGGAAAAGGTGAGCCGACGGGACTATCCTTTTAGGACGTGTTACATTTTTCATGGCATGATTTTGTGCTCGCCAAATACATATATGGTGTCTGTAAATATGAGGCGATAAAGACACTGTTTCCCAATTGGAGATCCCGATACCTATTTCTCCGACTGACGATTCATCCTGTGTGTCTTTCAGAAACGGATAGCCGAGGACCTGGCCGAGCTGCGGAACCAGTCGGTGTTCATCTTCCTCATGTGTAACGCCCTCTTCATCCTGATCGTGTTCCTGCTGCAGCTGAACAAGGACAACATCCATGTGGACTGGCCGCTGGGCGTCAAGTACAACATCACACTCATAGAGGAGACCGGTCAGGTAAGAATCCAAGGGCCCTGATGCCCATGTATGGTTACCTAATGGTCCCATCCGTCGCTTTCGTAATTATGCGTCACCGCGAAGTAACCTCTTCAAACATTTTCAGGTTCTGATCAACAAGGAGTATCTGCAAATGGAGCCGATCGGCCTGGTGTTTGTGTTCTTTTTCGCGCTGATCCTGCTGATCCAGTTTATCGCCATGCTGTTCCATCGGTTTGTGACGCTGTCGCACATTCTGTCGTCGTGTGAGCTGACCAGCTGCTGCAACACCGAGGTGAGGAAAGGGACACCGCTCCCACCCGGTACTTATTTGCAGGTGTAACGACTCCAATGATAAAATTTATTCATTTTAATCGGAAAGTCACGGAAGTTTTAACGTCAGTACCCGCACAAGAAGTAGATATTTTCCGATCTTCTCACGCCATGTAGCCATATAGCAAGACTCGAGTGTTGTCATGTGGCATATTGCAATCTGCCTACTGGCATATTTTACTGGATATCTAACACGTCCTCTGCTCTCACAGAGCAAGGAGACTCCCGAGGAGATGCTCCGTAAGAACGCCGTGGAGATAGTGAAGAACATGCAGCGGCTGCGGGACGACCGAGACCGAGCCGAGGCGTACGAGGAGGGGGAGAACCGCCTGGCGCGCCGCAAAACCATCCAGAACCTGGTCAACCAGCAGCAGAAGCGACAGCCCATCGGCACCCTGGACGTGGCCTTCCGGAAACGGTTCCAGCAGCTCAGCAGTCAGACCACCGAGGGTGAGCTCATGTGACCATTATAAATGCTAAGACGTTGAGTCGAAAAAAGGGAATGTGGAATTAACTCCAGCTTTGACCGTACATGCTATCCGGCTGAGATACTGTTTATGAAGATCAGTTTATTATGTGCAGACTTATGCGTCCTAAACAATGCAACCCACGATTTAAAGGTAGTGTGCCACCTTTGAAAGATTTCCCATTTTATTTTTCCTAGGATAAGAAGCTTCTGTTTTTACCTAATATCGCAAAAAAAATCAAAAATGGGCCTGGAATAGTGCCTTTTTCGCCTAAAAGTTTATCGGTTTTTAGATATGTATAACAACTGTAGTGGGCTCACCTGCAAACAGGCGTCGGCAACAATCGCGAATGCGGCGCACATGTGACAATAAGCAAAGGTCATTATAGTGTTACGACCATACGACGTACGGGAATGAGTTATCAGCTGTCTAATCGTAGACAACACAATGTCGAGCCTTAAACTGTAAGCCTGTATTGGTATTGTTTCTTTTATTTGGCTGTCGAACATTATTTATGGTTTGAAATATGATTTTATGTAAAATAATTGATATGAAAAAGCCGTCTCATAAGTTATGACCCCATTTCACCACACGCAAGTGGCAGAAATGACAATGATCAGCTGACGCATTTTTCTTGGCCGAAGTCAGAGCGCGCAGCCCGACGCACCACCACCGCACCACAAAGTATGAGCAGAAGCCGCGCCCAAAGCCAGGGCCCCGGTAACGTGAGGTAGCCGAGTCGGGGCAGCGTGCGCTGACCCAAGCCGGGGCCGCAGCGGTCTACCGCATCCCCGCGGGCAGCCCCGGGCTATCACATGACACCGGGAGGACGCGCGGCTCCGGCTTGGGTCAGCGCACGCTGCCCTGACTCGGCTACCTCACGTTACCGGGGCCCTGGCTTTGGGCGCGGTCTACTGCACCACCTAACAGGCGTGTTCGAAACCGCAGGAGCTGATGATGAACGGGTTTATCGAAACTTGATTGGATGAGCATATCGGTAATAGCGATTTCAGTGTGTGCATTTATTGTTCATAGTGGTGTGAAATGTGGTTGGGGTACGACCGACAACCCGTCGGGGCGAATTTCGCACTGGGGTACTCAAAATTTGAAGAATTTAAGACGTTTCCATGAGTTTTGAAGGTATGGATAAGTTCTAAAAATCCGGTTCTCCTTATCTGGGCCATTAACTCCATACGGTCCAGGAAAGCTGGCACACTACCTTTAAGTCTCGTTATGTATCAGACCAAAGCAAAGTAACTTACCGGCAGCATGCCGCGCAGCCACGCGAGGGACGCGAAGCCACGGCGGACAGTCGCCGCGTCCCGTCTCAGTCTCTCTCGCCCCTCTCTCTGCCCCGAGGACTGCCAACCGACCGGCGAAGCTCAGCTGATTTTAGCCCCCGGGAGGTAGACTGACCCGCAGGGCTGTTACTGGGCGGCGCCGTAAACGGCTGACAGCTGGCGCGGCGGCTCGGAGCTAAGATTTCAGCTCAATTGTCCACACTTGAACGGTGAACCACTACATAATATAGCGGTTATAGTGTAGTTCAGTGTGTTTATAATTTTATTATAGATTTATTATATTATGTAGTAGTTTTGTTATAGCTTAACAATAAGTGTATTCACTCACCATCATGACAGAGTACGACTCTCATTTGTCATTTGACCGTGGGACCAATGCTGAGTGAGTGTCATCCGTCGTGCTGAGCTGACTGTTCCCCTTTCAGCCACTCCCATTCTGGGCAACATGCGGAAGATCAGTATGCGCGCGGACGCCCTGAGGGCTCTGGAGCAGAGGAAGAATTCGGTGATGCAGGAGCGCCGCAGAAAGCGCATGGAAACGCTCGGAGCCAACAACGAATTCAGCAAAAAGGTACTCATCGTCACCAGTGACCATAGGGTACAGCTGGAAATGCTCTCGATGTTTCTTTCATTTCTTTCATTTAGTTAGCTGTCTCTCTGCTATTCTTGTTCGAATCGTAAATCGTTTTCTTCTCAGTCAGTTGCTTTGATTAGTCTTCATGGTAAGCTTGAGGCTTTGGTAAAGTCTGGCTCGACGCTACCTTGGACCGTGCCAGTGTTGACTGTTTATCCTGTACTTTTAGTTCATCTCCTATCACTCTGACACTGTATGTGTGTGTGTGCCCCCAGCCGAGACACCGGATCTCGAACGCCTCGGGCGTCAGCAGTCTGCAGGGGGCGTTTATCCAGCACCGGTCCAGTCCGACACACACTCAGCAGTCACAGTCGCCGTCACGGCACAACGACGGCTACGAGAACAGTTCGGAGGATGAGGCACTGGTGCTGCCGGCAGTCTGAGCTAGGGAAATGTAGGCTGAGTTAGAGACAATGTAGGCCGGGCCTAAGGATACTGCTGGCTGGGCGGAAAACTGCGGCGGAGTTTATACATAGATACTGCCGGCTGAGTTTATGATATTGCTGGACGCTGGTTAAGGTGACAGATACTGCCCGCTGAGTTTAATTATGCCACCGACTGAGTTGACGAATACTGCCGACTGAATCGTCAGACACTGCTGCCTGGGTTTAGTGACACCACTGGTCGAGTCGAAGACACTGCCGTATGGTGCCCTTGCAATTACGGTTGGTGGGAGGGATGTGCCTGTGTCAGCAGCCATTCCACCGTCCCTGTTCTATCGGCCGTGATGCCGATAGCTCACAGTGATGAAGAAACATACAAACGACACCTGTTGGATAGATTATATCCTATCTGACTGGTGTGATGGTGCAAAAGAGGCTCAGACAGGCGGAGGATGCACAAGCAGATGTGTACCTACCCTAGACAATGTCTCCCAGACTGCCTTCTGCTACCTGTTTTGACGTGCAGCTGTGAGGTTTACTGTTTGCAGCGTAGGTATGCAGCGCTTCCGTCGATATTAATTACAATCCGAGCTGATGGCCTGTGGTGTATCTCAGCGTCTTTAATCAGGGACCAAAGACGATCCTTTGCTCTATGTCGGCCAGCCGTATGAAGATCATTTGTGAGAGTTCTGAAGCGTTTTTTCTTGCGTTTTGTAGTATTCAGTGTTGTAGACAGGAAACAATATTCCGTCCAAATAATTCGTACCTTTGTAGGAAAATGTTCCGTCCCATTCAACTGTGATGAGGTATTTTGAGGCGTCTAGTACTATTTCTTCCATGCTGAAGCTTCCAAACTTTTTTAAGCGATGTGTTGTGTGTAGGTATTTACGATGTTGTGAACTTAAAATGTTGTGTATGCTTGGTGTCAGTTGAAGATGTATTTTAATCCGCTGTGGAACTTGCTTGCCTTTCTATGCGTGCCGTCGAACGAATGATTGCTGTGCCAGTGAAGGGAAGCGGTATATTAGCTATGAGAGAGACAATATATTTGTAAATAACGTCCTTTCATAATGCCCTTTTGAGTGGTTTCGTCGAGACAAACTATTCAAAGTCGCTTTACTGAACACGAAACAGGATAATATTTTTTCAGTGATAACAAGACGGCGCTAAAGAAGACCTTTTGTCGAATCCGACACGCCACCTGCGCATCTGTTTTAATTGATATTGGTATACCCACTAACCAGAACGCCAGAACAGTGGTATTCACATCTTATATGTATTAACAACTGTTAAACATTCGGCATTATATAAAGCCATACAGAGCAAGTGTGAAACATTGCATGATTACACCGAACCTGCTGAAGCCTATACGCTAGGCTTCATTTATGTGCACATGTTTAAATCGTCACTTTTTAAAAGTATTTTTTTGCGAGATAGTATGAGCTTGCGTAACCGGCGGTTTCATCATGATCCTCACGCATGGTGACGCGGATGTAAATCACGAACGTCTTGCAACCATTGGTATCGCGCCAACGTTTGCAATTCGCTCTCTCATGTGACTTAACGCAAACATTTTAACAATCGGTTTCGTTTCGAGTTCGTTCTCATATCAATTATCACTTATATTTCAGCATCTTGGTTTCAAATTATTTCATCTTTTGTTTTCCAATGACGCTATTACCATTTTCCTATCTAATATCTCATGAAATGCCCAACATCTTACCGTTGATAATGATCTTGATCGTCCTGCATTGTCACTCATAAATACAATGAGTCTGCTCGTAGTACCACCCTTATTGATAACAAAGCTTATGGGCGGTATTCTGCGGTATTGTTGAGACTGCAGTCCAGTCGCATGCGCCACTTGTCTGTGCGTTTCATTGGGCTTTTATGCGCCATTGCGCAGCATACAGCAATGTGCCTCACATGCTGTCTGTACTCGTATGTACGTGAAGAGGCAAAAGCAGATAGACTTTTCAGCTAAGCTGGCACTGCGTCGTCTTCTGCGTTGTCTTGTAACGTCCTCTTAGGAAGAAGAGAAACGTTCCTACAAGCCTCAGTTCGCACGGTGTCTTTTAATGCAGCTGACCGGAGACGGCGTTCTAAGTTTGACGTTCCCTTCTCAGACGTATAAGCATCACTTCTTTTTCTTTTTCTTGCCGCCTCCCTTGCCCTTTTTGCCCCCGACCCATTTGAAGCCGCGGAAGCTGAGGAAGTCGCCCGCGTTATGGCTGATGTAATAGACGTTCTCCATTGCCACGGCGCTGAACGGATCCGGCCTTGCTGTAACAAAGAAGTTCTAGCCAGGTACAAAGACAAAAAAAAGACACGAGCCTAGACACATCCAGCATTCTGGGAAACAACATATCATAATGACGTTTGCTCCACATTTTCTTAGATGATGTTTGAATAACAGAGTATTTCAATTGCTTGGCTCATTGTCGATACAGTGAGAGCAAAAGAAGCACTCCGACCTTCGAGCATTTTCCATATATACCTACCTAAAGCTAGCTTCCTATATTTCCATATCGGCTCTCCGGTTCATAGATTGCGGCGCGATACTCACGCTTTGGAGTCTTTTGCTTCTTCCCTTTCTTTTTCTTCTTCGACTTGCCCTTTCCTTTCTTCCCCTTTTTCTCTTTCTTTGCTGTTTTTGGAGATTGACTCTTGGGGGGCTTTTCCGATTTTGGTTTGGTCTTTTTCTTTTTATCTGGTTTATCCTTAGCATCTGACTTTGCACCTGACTTTTTCTTTGTCGAAGCACTCTGCAAGCAACATGTTTGGCTTAATCAAGTTAAGCAGCCGCGCCTTACCCGCTATAAATATGTTAGCACTTATACCATTTCCCTTTAATATTTTTGTATTTAAAACAAAGCACTGGAAATGATGTAGGGTTAACATCATGAGGTAGCAAAACTAGGAATGCAAACCATAAGACACCGCTATAGCAGCTTTAGATCTAAGTGATCTACAGTAAAGGTGACAAATTAGACAGTCCTTCAGTTTATTAAAAATTCAGACTAAATTAGCACAAAATCTGGTAGCATCATACAGCGGCCAGGCTTGTGGACCTTTGTACTTACACGAAATAATGATTTCTCACCTTTTTCTTCGTCGATTTTGGATTCATGCTGACAAAGGTCAAAGCATCGGGGTTTTGCGGTCAAAAGCCGATCGATTGGTTGTTGAATAGTAACGTGTAACGATTTGATAAATTTAATGTTCGACTCCTATTCAACGAAATTGTGGTATTACAAAATTTTCACGTCTTTACACCTGCCATGTCTTGGCCATGTCTTCCTTTATTTATTCGCAATGCCATTATTTCGCACAAGACTTTGTTGACTGCTTCGCTCGTGACAGCCGGGCAGGTAGATCTGTCATTGAGCTTTTTGTCGGTCCTAAACAAGCAGAGAATTCTTGTTCATTTATTTGGTTATTTGCTTATGCATTCATTTATTAACTCATTCAGCAATGCATTTATTATCAAATTCATTTTTAGGAACTTCATCAATGCATTTACTTATCTATTCTTACAGGTGCACATTGCACGTACACTTACATTGCGTATGCCAACTTGCACTCCAAGCTTTCACTCTATCGCTGATGCCAAGGGGCCAATGCCGAGGCCCTAAATACATACCCCTAATGCGCTTAGAAGCAATAGTGAAAAAAAAAAAACAGGGATGGCATGCCAACTCCGCCGTTTCCCTCGGCCGTTATGGGTAACTCAATTCCACTCATAATTCTGTCGGTGTTTTCGTGCAGCATATTAGCGTACGTTATTTATTAGACGATGGTATTAAAATCGACGAAACCTTCGTATACCTCTGTCTATAGGTACGAAGGCGCGGTCGTTGCAACACCAATCTTATTTTATTCCTTGGTGGATTGGTATAATACATGCAAAAGTTTGTGCAGTGCATGTAGCGCTTACCTACCTGCCTTCATTCGTTTATGGGATCGTTTTTCGTTCTTGCTCTTGCGAAAACACTTCTTCGACCCGACCCGTCTTTTCCTTCGCATGCTTAGATTGATTTCCAATATGCCTCATATCCATCCTGGAATCGTTTATTTGTATGATAAATGCAGCGCGTTTCGACCAAAGGACGAACCTGCGACGTCGACACTAATATCAATATGAACGTTATTACAAAATTCGAGCACCTACATGCCACCGAGCACTTACATTGCAGTAACTCGTTCAGCGCGAGACGTAGACCAGCCACGCTGCCCGTCACGCACTTTCAGTCAGTCAAACACCGACTGAACGGGACAGGACCGCGATGGATTATCATTGGACGGACAAATGTCGAGACTAAAGACTAAATTATCGGACCTCCTGACGAGGACCATCGGACGGATAAAATACAGCCATCGAATGCGGATCGGTCCACGGCTAACGAATGTGGAACGGTCCACAGTCACCGACGTGAATCGGTCTTATAAAGCTACCAGAAAAGAGCAAACCACACCCACCGAGTGTGGATTGCTTTACAGCTGCTCAGCACTATTCTCTTCAGCCATCAGCGTAGCTGCGTAGACAGTAGAGCGATTATGCGCAACAGTGCGAATCTGCCAAAATCTCCTGATCGTTTTTTTTCCGATTTCACCAGAACAGATCGTTTCAGCGGCCCCAGCTCAACTCTCTCACAGGCGCCAATCGCCGGTTCGATCACTATACTAGGCTGGGGAGACAGCGGCTGTATCTACCCATCCGGATCGGATCTTCATCAGTCTTCGGTTCAGCGGCGGCAGCAGCAGGATGGCCTTGCCGACCACGCACAGAGTCGGCAGATAAAGCGCCATCTGCGGAGCATAGAAACAGGCATGTTAGCTAGGGCACTATTTCGAGAAGACATGACGGAAAGGCGCAATTTCAGACTGACCATGTAGGTAAGGGAAGCTAATCTAGCGAAAAATGACCAAACTTTGCTAGATGATAGAGACTAACGATAGATTAGCAAAGCTTAGGTATCTATCGCAGGTTTGTGCACTTATTTAGAACGAGTTTCCATGGCCTCAAGGCGTGGAAACTCGATCCAAGGTTATTGGCGGAACTTTTCACCTGCAGTCCAGTGGGCATGTAGCAGTTGTAGGTGACCAGCATGAACTTCCAGCCGAGCACGGCGTCGTGAACTGAGGCCACCAGCAGCGCTGACCAGCCCAGTTTGGACTGAATGAACGTGAACTCGCGCCACGTGAGCCGCGCCGTCACCGAGGGGAGAGAGCCGATGCCCAGGATGGCCACCAGGCACAACGAGAGCGCCCCTGTGAGAGGACCAGCACAAGGTCAGAGAGCCCATACTCAGAATGGTCATATAGCCACGACAGTGCTCTTTCAAGCAACAAAACAGCTCACGAGTCACGCCTGAAACGGGATGATCATGTTAATCAGGAAGCGAAATTGGATGACTCAGCATCGACAGCATGGAAACAATGTCAGCGCCCCTGATAAGGGCCGTTAATTTTATCAATAAAACATTGCTGGACATTGGAAACAGGTCTGTGAACAGCGGACATCGCTGTTATTTGACTCGGTACAGGCAGCACAGCTGTTACAGGACGCTAGTTAGTTTCTGGAAAATAACGTTCGTCATGTTCTTTAGCGACGCTTGATTGAAACCAAGCAAAATATTGGATGAGCTTATGGACGAGAAGCTTAAACAGGCCTACAATACATACACTTACTCGTGACCTTTAGATTTTAATGGACGAAGGGGCATGAATTATGCTCGATCGCCGTTTATTACGATAGTAGTCGTCAGCAAGTTTGCGGCTATGAGGCAACCGATAGACTACAGCTTCTCCCTGGGGAAGACACAGTTGCCCATGCTTTGGGATTGCGGACGGACCGACCTGTGGTGAGGAAGAGCTCGCCTCGCCAGTTGGGCCGGTGGTACCAGATGTCGACCGGCTGCGTCTCGAAGTACGTGCCGTTCACCTGAACCTCGGTGCGGATGATTTTCGGGGCTCCAAACAGCCAGTCGTACTGGTGGTGCGGGTGGTAGATCCCCAGAGAAATGCAGCCCTGATGACACGTAATTGGAATGGAATGTAGGAGTCTTCGCAGTTCGCACTCATATGTCATGCCGTCATATTTACTCCATTAACAATTTTAAGCGATCAAAGTCTTATTACGAATATTATCAGTCAGATTATAAGCCAAATATCACCATCGGACTAGAGTGACGTCGCATCGGATAATTTTCACTATTGCCCGCTACACCATACAACATTTCTATAAAATGATGTTGTCGGATTTAATAACCCTGTCTGAGAGCAAAAATTGAACACCGGCATCACCACTTACGTGCACTGCACCCATTGCAAGCATCAGCAATCCCATCTGTTTTCGCATGCGTAGCCAGCGGTCCAGCCAGCCGGGGAACCGACTGTACTTGGTACCACGGTACAGCTGGATGTAGCCCGCGATAACACCTGCGAGGGCGGGACATGTTTTAAAAATCCACAGCTGTGAGACTATATGGTGTTAATACAACAGAACAGGTCAGGATTAAAACACACAGAACGATGGTAATTGCATGCCTATAGTAAGTGCTCTCACTTTGCTCACAATGCTCAAATTTCGTTCTAACAAAAGAACTTAATTATTATCTACAAAATCATTACCTAACTACGTTATGAAAACGAGTAGCTTGAACATAAAATGGTCATACTGCAACAATTTTTCTCCAAAGATACCATGGAGCGTGTTACTTCCGCATTTGATGGCATACCTCAATAGCATTCATGCACCGGTTGTCATCAAAGCTGTCTTTAATATCTGCATCCTGTCCGTTACGTCCTTACCTGGCAGATAGATGGCCCCGAGGACGGTGAGCGCCACAACAGCCAGGTTTCGGTTAAACGTGGTCATCAGAAGGTCCTTAAACGGCTCCCACTGCCATGTCTTGTTGACGGTGAGGTTTTTGCAAAACTGGAATCTGGCGCGGATAATTTGTCGTTATCGGATTGTTTTACGCATATTAATCAATGCTAGCGATTGAGGTGTCATTTTCTCAGGCAGAAATTCGTACTTTCATAACTGTTATTGCTGGATTACAATAAGCAGTTTACCTTTGAGTTATTTATTTATCGGGAAACTATGAGTGTGATTTTAATTCAGACTTACTTGAAAACATTGAAGATGTAGAACACGATGAATATGGTCCCCACAACAGTGGCGGCTCCTCTCCAGTCGGTGAAGAATTCCAGCGGCATCCGCTCAATGTCCCGGGCCATCCGGAGCGGGCCCATGTCCACGGGGGAGAAGCCCAGGTCGCGGATCAGCGCGGTCACCATCTGACGACCGCGGTCCGAATCGGTGGCCACCGGCAGCTGACGGCACAGCGTCACCAGCGTCAGACGTCACTGACGCCATAACAAAGTCGTCCGACTGGTAACGACAATTGGTGCAGCTGAAGGCACGGCGTCATCAACGTCATACGTCACTGACGTCTTATCAGAAAGTCAGAGTCCGGCGGAATGTCCGACCCAGCGTCATCAACGTCAAGCGTCACTGACGTCATAACGGAATCAGAGGACCGCAGATTGTTTGACTGGTATTGGACATAGCTGCAGCTGACGTCGCAGCGTGACTAGTGTCAGACGTTATTGACGTCATAACAAAGTCAGAGCGACGGCGGGCTGTCCGACTGGTACTGGCCATTATGCAACTGACGATACATGGGATGCCTGCATCATGTTACCTGATGTGTGTAACGCATAAAAGCGCGACATGATTGACCTCGTACCGACAGCAATATACGAGGTGTGGCTAAAAAGAAACCGGACTGCTCGTGCTGGCCATAAACTAGGGGACCCGAAGACTAGCGAGACACTTGGCATTAATCTTTAGCATATTGTCGTGATGTGTGCCCAACGACATCTCGATATCCCAATTATTCTCCTTTCCACAGCTCTTTGTTTTATCGATGTTCGGCGGCCTTGTCATCGCCAGGCTTCTACAATGAGCTTCGAAAAAAAAGAGGGAGCATCACGTTCCTTGCCAGACTGGAGAAAGTCCAACAGAGACGCTGAATCTGTTCAAGGCTGTTAATGCGGAGCAAGTCATGTGTAACATGCAAGTGTTTGAATGGCATAAGAGGTTCAGCACTGGTCGTGAGGATGTCGGTGATGACCCCAAGGTCTGGAGGTCCATCAACGTCCGTGCGCATGTCGAAGTCGAGAGTGGAGATGACATTGATCGTCTTTTTCGATCATAGGGGATTAGTTCACCGCCAGTTCGTGCTGGAGGTGTACCACAGTCGACCAGCCACTTCTACAAGGAAGACCTGGGACGCCTCATTTCACGAGTCAGGCGCACCAAGTGGAGTTTCTGGGAAGCCAAGAACTGGGTGCTCCATCACGACAACGCTCCCGCGCATTCTGCCATTAGCGTCCAGCAGTTCGTTGCCGAAAAGCAGTTCGCGGTGCTCAAGCACCCTGCTATTTGCCAAACCTCCCTCCCTGTGACTTTTGGCTGTTCCCTGAAATGAAAAACGTCGTCAAGGAAACCCATTTTGAATCAGTCGAGAACATCCAGACCGGAGTGACCAGCGTCAGCGTCATCAATAAAACAAAGAGCTGTGGAAAGGAGAATAATAGCGATATCGAGGTGCTGTATGGCACACATCACGACAATATGATAAAGATTAATGTCCAGTGTCTCGCTAGTTTTCGGGCCCCCTACTTTATGGTCAGCACGAGCAGTCCGGTTTCTTTTTAGCCACACCTCGTATGTACTTACCTGTACCTAACTGTTAAATGGATAAAATGATAATGCAATAATAAAGTGCAGTTTAAATCGAGATCCATTAACTAACTAGCATTCTAGTATACATTCACCTGCCACATCACCCATGTGTTTGCGCATCAATAATGATACCTAGAAGTCGGCTGTATCCTCAGCTCTACCACTGCACTGAACGACCGGCGTCCTCACCTCCTTGCTGCCCTGGATGCCACCCGATTCCAGCAGGTAGGCCGACAGCAGGTTGAACGACTTGACCACGATGGCGGAGGGCACCAGCTCCTGCAGACGCTCGGCGTTGGAGCGCAGGCTGAAAAGACGTGATGTATTTTAAACATCGCAATAGAAGTATCAAATTTGATTGCGATACGAAGCTTGAGCACGCTCCGCACAACTATAGAACGAAATTGAAACACTGGTTGATATAAAAACATGTAAATCTGGTGAACAAGCTTCATATGTGATCACCTTTCGCTTTCAATAGACTGCGATTAACCCGCGCCTCGCTGGGCTATTCAGCCATACGCCCCCTGCTGTCTAACTTCCGAACCGATGGTCGCAGAAAGACGGGAAAACGGCAATCGAAAGCTCTCAACAAGGCGGATCTTAAGAGAACAATTTTTTTGCTTACGAGTAAGTAGGTCAGAGGTCAGGTCAAGGTCAGGTCAAGGGTACAAAATGCAAGTTTCTACAGTATCGGCTTTGCACCGTAGTTGCCGAAGAATGGACTGAGACTGATTGCCCAAAACGTGTTCTTAGGCTACCAAGACAATATTCGTTGCATACAATATCATGCAATGGTCAAGGTCAAGGTCAGGTCAGGTCACCAAAAACGAAATATAGAAAAAGGCATGTGCGACACATGTTTTATGGGTCATTTTATTCATAGAATTCAATAGGCACACTCAATAAGTGATATGGACCACATCTGGATGAATTTCAGGTCGAGGCCAGGTCAAGGTCAGGTCAAGTGAGGTCAAATTTTGAAGTTGGTTGTTAAGGCCTAAAAAGGTGTCATCTAATGCAGTTTTCACGGCAAATCGAATGGTGCTATTTTTGCTTCCGCACGAGGCCAAGAATTTAAAAAAAAATCATTTTTCGAAAAATTTGTGTGTCGTGACGTCATAAAATTTTGAATAGCTCCCACATTTTTGAACTGATTCTTCTAAGAATTGGTACCTATGTAGGTGCACATAGACCACTTCTCTGACATATATTCCGGTTTTTTTCGATACACTCAAAATTAATTATTTTCCCAAAAAAGTCAGTTAAAAAAAATTGGACCAAAACCCAAAATTTTCAAAAAACCGAGATAGCCATTTGATAGACAAAGTAGGATCAGGTATAACCTTTTTGTTCCGTCTTGATTCCTTTAAAAATGAAGATGTTAGCGGCGTTTGAAATTTTGCCGTTTTTGAGGCGAAAATTGCAAACATGACGTCACTAAAACGTCATTTTCTCAAAAAAAAAATCCGACGGATTTCGCTCAAATTTTCAGGTAACGTGTCAAATTGATGTATGATAAGGTACTGAAAGTTTGACGTTGCTGGCGTAACGCGTTTAGAAGTTATTGGCGAAAAACGGGAGGGGGGGCAGATTCTGCCCCCCCCCCCCCAGCGGGGCGCGGGTTAACGTAGGTACATTGTATTCCCTTTAGTGCAATTAATAGTACCTCAAAGATGGATGGAAAGATGAATAAAATTTCCGAATGGTTACCTCGGCGTGCGTCCCGAGCCGGTGTTGCTGTTGCTGACGTCGATAAGGACCTTGTTGCTGAGCGCCTGGAGCGGCAGCGAGTCGTAAAAGTTGCTGGAGATGGCCACCACCACCATCTCTGCGCTGGCGATGGCGTCCAGCTGGGTCTTCAGCTTGGCGCCCGTGGCCTCAATCAGCTTCAGCATGTCACTGTCATGGAGCGGCGACAGAGAGAGAGAGAGAGAGAGAGAGAGAGAGAGAGAGAGAGAGAGAGAGAGAGAGAGAGAGAGAGAGAGGGAGAGAGAGAGAGAGAGAGGGAGAGAGAGAGAGAGAGAGAGAGAGAGAGAGAGAGAGAGAGAGAGAGAGAGAGAGAGAGAGAGAGAAGGGTGAGAGGGTCGGTACGGGTGCAGGGAGGGTAGCGGCGAACGTACAAAAGCAATGACGATCTTAGTGCAACTAACTCGTTATTCTACATATACATTCCGAACGCTCGCTCACTAAAATAAGTAGGGTCATGAAGAATTCCGGTGAAAGAATTATGTTTATGATACCACAAGTGTTTGCTACTGTCAGCACAGACCAGTTTCGTTCCTCCTTTTCCCTCCTTAGTTACACGAACCGAAAGTCGGGTACGAGAGAGAACGGCTCTTCTCATGACGTAGGCAAGTCAAAGACCTTTCCCATTGGCACACACAATGCACCCATGGCGAGTTGGTTAATCTCAGCAGCTGCACCCTGAATGGTGCTGGAAATCGGTACTCTGGACGTGATTCCGCTCACTGGGTGAAAAGGTGCACGGCGTGATGGAATGACGGGACAAAATAGCGATAACTCTCAGACGAGTTGTGTTGGAGAGGTGGAGTTTGCATGGGTGCTGGCTGGTATCTTTTACGGACGTTTGTGGATATGTTATATTCATCAATTGAGACAACCATAACTGATATTTCACCGCATACAAGCAAGAATAATTACTGCGAGATAATGCTCAACAATATAATGCACGATGTTCTGCAAGATTGGTGGAAGACACATTTTGTTCAATACCATAGTTGATGCTGCTTGTTATACCCTCCATGCTCATGGCTCATTGCTTAACCCTCGCCGGACCTATTGGTTTTCTATACATACGCGCCGGCCGAGGGGGGGGGGGGCGGGCACGACCCCCCTCGCCGTTTCGCCCCTGGTGGAGCTAGTGCGTCGCGGAAAAACGATCGTGTGCGCCATTACAAGACGCAGAGATTGGTACCCGAGTTTAAGGTCCTAGGTGTAGGTCAACCGGTGACCTCTGAGGTCAGGTCAAGTGCCCCAAGGTACGGTTCAGTTTTTGGTGAATAACTTCGCAAAAAACAGTCACAGAGCCGCGATTTTGGCAGCATCGTGTTCGCCTCGCTCAAGCGCGTCGAATGATATACTTTTTGTCCGGGTCAGGTCAACTTGGGGTGTTGACCTCACCCAGCCAGCAATTCGGTTGGGGAAAGTGCGGGGACAGTGTTGGGGAAAGCTTGGGGAGAACGTACAATTCCCCTATCGGATCGGGGGACGGTCCGTGTTCCCCATCCCTTCCCCGACTGTATCGGTAATATGTTCAAAAGACATGGGGAAATCATACCGATCCCCGTACGGGGAAAGAGCAGCATTCCCCAATCAAACCCCACTGTTGGGGCTCGGTCGGGTAAAAGATCAGATTCCCCGTACGGGGAAGGGTGCGTTATCCCCGACCCATTATCTAGAACAGTTTGATTGGGGAGAAGTAGGGGAACTGTTGAAATTCCCCGCTCGGGATTTTACACTTAATCCCCAGACGAATCCCAACCGCCAGTAGGAGAAGTGTCGCCTCAACGCAGCGAGGGGAGGGGAGGGAGGGGTAGCAACGACCGGCCGCCGTCGGTTCCGTCCGCACATCTGGTTGAGGGGCGTCTCCTGTCGCCATATGTCATCGTGAATGGGGCCGTGCCGACGTGTCAGACGGGACGAACGGGGGAAGTCGGTCCAGAGTCACTGCGCCGCGCGGTTGTGGGAGCAAGCCATGGGCTAGGTTCCGCTCCAGGTCAGACCATGGTTGGCACTGAAGAGTGCGGCGACACTACAGAGCTGTGAACGAAGACAGTGAACGGCGAGATGTGGTGACCGCTTGTCTGACTTGTGCCCAAAGTCGTGATCTACCGCTGGGGTCAGTGCGTGAGAAGCTGGACTCGGCACCAACGGAGGACGCAGCTCGACGAGGAAGCTATGCTGTGTTGGTAATGAACTAAACCACTTAATTGTAACGAGTCCATGACAGATATAAAATGACGATACTAACTCAAGTTTATTGTATAAGACAAAGCTTTCGATACACACAATATCTTGATCACTGTCTAGGATATGCAGAATATGACGTAAAAATGACTGAGGTCATCAACCTCCGTCTGAGATTATCCTTAAATTGCCCGGACAATATAATGTCATCAGCCTAATGCTTCATCTGCTTCTGTTCTAGACGGACGTCTGCCGGTTACGACCGGAAGGTTTCCGACGGGACTTGGCAGAACCCACAACAGCAGTATGAACCCGGCGTGGAGTTAATGCGTAGTTGCTCGCATGAGCAACCGAAGAGCGACTTCCAGGCGAAGATGGTAAGCAGTTTATGGGGGTGGGGGTTAGCTTAGAGCTGTTGAACAAGCTGTCCTTCACCCAAGTCTTAAGGCTAAGACACACTCTTTCTACAGCCAGAAATCTCATGCGAGAGCCCATTAAAGGAGACACTAGGGCGATGGGCAAAGAGCAAACCGTCCCCCCCCCCAACCAAATTAAATACATGAAATTAAATACATGAGATCACGATCGCATCAACCGCTTACAGGGATGTGCGAACGATTGACGCGATTGTAATAAATAACATGCATTTGAATAGGCTCTCGCACTCCATTTTCCGTCTTCGGAAAGAGCCTGTTTCAGCAGCTCTACAATATAGGCGTAAAACCTTTATTACCTAATGACTTTTCCTGGAATGAGAAATGTTTAGAAGTACACATTTAATTATTGAATTTTTATTTCCTGCTTTAATTAACTATTCAAAGTATATCACATTTAATTTCTAAGCACTTCTCGTGGGAAAAAAGTTATAAATAAGTGTACTTTCATAAAATGGCATTCAACATGTTTCAGCGTAAGCTGAAGTTTCTATACAAGGACATTCCATGTAGTAGCTAGCTGTAAAACCTGATTGACATACCTACAAGTGCACATATTTTTGTTTTTGTCCACAGCCGCAGAATTCCTGGAGATGCGCTGGGACATGGATCATAGCAAGGTGGCTCTCAGCGGCAGCTGACCGCTGAGATGTGTCTGAAACAGCCAGAAGGAAGACTCGAGTTGTGGTTCCAGGGCACGACTGAACAGAAGGCGGGACCAGCTGTAGGGAGACTACAGCAAAGCCGTCGTTCTCAATCTGCTGAACAGACTCCTGCTGCAGAGGAAAAACTGGGGTTCGACGTGTTAGAACTGGGGTTAGACCGGTTACCAGTGCTCGTGTTCGTCACCTGTTTGTCACTGCTGTGCTGCTGCTGTATGTCATGTTTGCCACCTGCTAAACGTTCACAATGTATTTTGAGTGAATAATAACTTTTTTAGTGTTTGTCTTGATTTGTAACGAATATATCAAGTATTTTAACCTTTCATCAAATGAAGGACTCCACATAAAAATAGTATAGGCTGTGGTGGTACAGACACATACCATGCTTGGCCGACTATTGTGTATTGATCTAGTCGTTGAAGCGTCCTGAAAGTCTGGAAATAAACAGGCATGGCCAAATGGATTGGTTCTAATTATTTTCCCGTGTGGTTTTATCGCTTCCCTATTGCGGGAAAACAAGTGGACAATTTTGTTTGTATGTAAACAAGCATGTGTATACAAATATTTGTATGTTTACAGACAAAATAAATAGTCATTGTCAATTCTAATGGGACCCGATCTGTTTCCCAGTGCGTTTTTTTTTTTACTGGCTTCTCCGTACGGGGAAAAAAGCAGACAAGGCAGTGGGGCCATTGCCAAGACGGGAACGGCCGGGGTTCGCGCGGGGAAAGGTCTGGGAACGTTAGGGGAAAATCACGGTTTCCCCGATCGGGGAAGGTCTCCAGTAAGCATAAACCCGTATAGCCGGGTGGGGGAATGTGCGGGGCTCGCACAGGATCTTCTTGGGGAAAATGCTCGATAGCCCCGTACGGGGAATCGACCTTAACAACGGGTTTTAACCATAGTCGGCGCGGGGGTAGCTTGGGGGACGTTTGGGGAACGCTTGGGCAGTTATACCGTTTCCCCGTACGAATCCCGCACAAAGTTCCCCGTACAAAGTGTCTCAAATCCCAAGCGAACGCTCCGTTTTCCCCAAGAGAACGGTTGGGGTTTCCCCGAGCCCGCCCCAAGCTCGCCATAGGCCTTCCCCGTACGGGGAAAGCTCCGATTTGCTGGCTGGGCAGGTCAAGGTCAGGTCAGCACCCCAGGTCACGAAGCTGGTCGAAAGAGGTCATGTCGCATATCATTCGATTCGGCAGGTCTTCCTGAGTCCATTGGTGGCTTTTCCGACTCGCTAGCTCAATTTGATCAAGAGTTATTGACGAAAAACTAATATGACCTTGAAGACGTCATAAATGACGTCACGCAAGGTCAACATTGCAAAAGTGACGCATCTAACCTTGCAAGGAGTGCATCAAATCACGATTCTGTGTGCTTCAGATAGTTGGAGATCGTTCCCGGCGCCAGAATAGCAGTTTTCATTTTTTCCCATTGACTTATAATGGTGAGGTCACGAAAATGACCTGACCTCATATGACTTTTAGGAGAAATCCGAGATATACAAGTTGTGAGACTCATAATGGGTACTAGATCCTGCAAGTTTCATCTCCCTGTGACATCTCCTCTGGCAGTGAGGGCGTTGCGAAGTTGCGACATCTGAAGACCGTGCAGAGGTTCACTTATGACGTCATAGGTCAGTGACCTGACCTGACCCAAACATGCGGTTGATGTCAAAAGATCCGGCTTGAATCAAAGGTCAGGTATGCTAAGTTTCAGCTCTCTATCGCCAGCGTGTTTGGAGCTATCGCGAAAAAAAAACTACGGGGGGGGGCGGCACCCGCCCCCCCCCCCTCGGCCGGCGAGGGTTAATATACGTATAACACAAACATGTAATTAACATAGCCGGAGTTATTCCAAAAGCGGTCGATAAGCCGCTTTGGACCTTCAATATAGTTCCTAACTTACCCTAATGCCTGAAACAGACTCTTTCCGCAGTCAGGAAATCGCATGCGAGAGCCTATTCAAATACATGGAAGCACGCTCGCATCAATCGCACGCACCTCCCGCAAGCAATTGATGCGAGAAGAATTACAATGTATTTGAATAGGCTCTCGCATGCGATTTCCTGAACGCGGAAAGAGTCTGTTTCACCCTTAATATACTCGTAAGCCATCACTACCATCAACTCTTGTTTCAACATTAAATTATCTATGCTGGACAAATGTTTCGTGCTTAAAAAGGGAATCAATTAACACGTCGCAGGCCTTCCAACCAAGCGTTAAATTTCCAGTTTATATATGCAAACATATGGCTCCATGTTTCAGGGAATTGGTTCGTGAATTGTGAAAAGGCTTTGTCCCGAATCAGATGTTCGTCGTTCTGAGAATGGAATCGATCTTTCAGCCCCACAAAGCAGCTCAGACCGGTCTCGAGGGTTGTCCACATTAAACTTGGAGCTGCGGCGTGGTGCAACAACTGGGGGCCTCGGGGCCTCCCTCGTATGCTCATGCAGGTGTGCAAAGTGCAAACCATGCAATATAGATTTGTGACTCATCAAGAGAAACGGTAGGAAAAGGGGCAGGAAGGTGTACCTATAATGAGCCAGCACAGGTCCACCGGCTTCTAATGTCTCCTGACATTATACAATTTGATCGTACTTGGGAGTAGCGTGATCGGTAAAACGATGACTTAAAACATGAACGAGAAAGGGAAACAATGGCACGCACAATAGATGAAAGTGAAACTATAAACAGGCTGGTCATGAAGCCCCAACTTTTTGGCTGGTCGTCCCATGAGTAAACCGTGATGCACATACACCTCGTTTCTGCTGGTGAGCTGAGACCTTATGCGTGATAAAGCCATGTGACGTATAGATGATATTTTCACCGCGCCTGCGGTTATACTCACGGTCGTTTGTCCTTGCTCCTGGCGCCCATGGTGACCGAGTAGCCGCAGGTGACGGCCCGCTTGGCGATCGCTCGCCCGAAGTCGCCGGTGCCGAGCACACACAGCCGCCGGCCGCCCGAGTCCGCCGCTGGCCCAGTCATCTCCACGCTGTCCGGCTCTCCCGTCTCCGCTGTAAAGCTGTAGTTGGTCGGCATGCTGACCTCCTGCTTAGTGACGTCCTTTTCTTGGTGACGTTTTGCTTTGTGACGCTATAGTGACCTTAGTGATATCTTGATGATGATGGAGCAGCGAAGAGTGCTGGGAATAAACCACGCAGTTGGCTCTCTCATGTGACCTGACCTGACCTGACCGGCTGGTGGGACGGTGATAGACCGTCCGTTCTACTCCGGTCCGGTTCGACCCAGCGCGACCGATGCACACCGATGATTCGGTGTGGGTCGCAGCTGCTGTCTGAAACCACACACGGAGTTCTCGTCATTGGTGTGGGAGAAGTGACAACAACAAAAAGAACGGCCATCGGTGGCTGGTGGAGGAGCGTCAACAGTACTAACCAGATACTTAGCACTACCGCTTTCACGGTAGTGCTAGGTCAGCTCACGGGTCATTCACGGGTAAAAAAATCTCGGGTCAGCCAGGTGATTAAGCCGCAATGTTGACTACTGCTGACCATGCCTATTGCCTATGATACGAAACAATCTCACCAGCTGAGGCGCTCACACGCTGTAAGCAACTTCTCAGTCCGCCGCTTCAGTTTTAGAGCAGCCCACCTGCACATCTATTTAGTTTTAGCGCCGTGTGAAGATTTCCTTCTAGACGATGATGCGTCGTGATAATATGGATGCGTCTGGTCGGCCGATTGAACTCTGGCCCTTTGTGGTGGATATGGTGTGTTGTTTGTGTGTCTGATTGATGTGCATTGTATCGTATTGTATCAAACATCCGTGGAGCATCAGCGAAGACCGAGGCTAAACTACTCAGTGTCAAACGCATGCCTATACATAAAACATACACAAAACGAACGAATGGGGAGGCAGAACACACATTCAAAATATGCAAGCGAGTTTAGGGCCTTGCATGCGATCATGTTTTATTATGAGTCCGTCGGTCATGCACATCACGACTACTGCGAAACAAACCCGCCAGCTCATCGGACTCGTCATGCCTCTGGACTTTGTGGGCCGGCATCAATGTGTGTTATCGGACTAGATCAGGTGACGATAACCATCCCAGCTCTCTCTGCACGTCAGATGTGTGGTTAAACCTTTTCGCCCCGACATAACTCTGGGTGAGAAATTCAAAACCTTTTGAATTATATCCAGGTTTTTAAGGGTACATTTTCCATGAACAGATAAGCGGTATCTAACGTGAGAGACGACCAGGGCGGAGACAGGTATTTATAGTCACGGCGGAGACGAGGGTCGACGGTTCAGATTCGGGTAGATAATAGCCGTTTTCACGACGGGCTATCCGGCGAATGCACCTGATTTGACCAAATCTGCAACTAATTTCTTTTACAGCAAATATCTTCATTTTATGAATTTATTTCAGTGTTTTAATCGATGATGCTCTCTGATAATATGACAAAGCAGGCATATAAGCAATTAGTGCAACTCTAGCTGATAGCTGCTAAGAAACACACTGAACCTGATTTGACCAAATCTGCACCTAATCTGTACCAGATGTGCACCAAATGTGAACCAGATGGCCGTCGTGAAAACGGCTACACTGAACCTAATTTGACCAAATCTGCACCTAATCTGCAACAAATAAGCACCAAATGTGTACTAGATAGCCGTCGTGAAAACGGCTAATGTCGCAGGTGTAAAAGGCCAGTCAGCATTCCGTTGCAGCGGCGAGTGATCAGCGAGATGTGACCGTCCCGTATAAGGTGTCGATCCAAGGTGTATGCGTGTGTCTTCGTGTCATCTTTTACATCATCTCATTTTATGTCCTGCATCTTTTGTCACTGTAAAGTGGAAAGTTGCTAAATACATGCTTAAAAGCTATTATGGATATAGATGTCACGATGACTTACAAAAATTCAGAGAGAGAGAGAGAGAGAGAGAGAGAGAGAGAGAGAGAGAGAGGGGGGGAGAAAGAGAGGGAGAAAGGGAGAGAGGGAGAAAGAGAGGGCTGCCTAGATAAAGGCTGTTCCCACCCCTCAGAGCATCAAATTGCCCTCATTCGTCACTATTGTTTGTTTCACCAAAGACGGCGGTGCTGTCTCCCATGACAGAGTACCAAATGTTGCAGTGAGCGAGGGTTACTTCGAATTTCAATGAGGTTCCTGGGAAGGTAATTTCACTGGAGATGAGCGTTTCAGAGTCACTATGCCCTGGAATAGCATGAAGGCAGCGTATATAGATCGGTCTCCTCTCTCTCTCTCTCTCTCTCTCTCTCTCTCTCTCTCTCTCTCTCTCTCTCTCTCTCTCTCTCTCTCTCTCTCTCTCTCTCTCTCTCTCTTCCCCACTCTCTCATTCTCTCTCTCTTCTCCACTCTCTCCCTCTCTCTCTCTCTCTCCCTCTCTGTGTCTCTCTTTCTCTCTCTCTTTTTCTCTCTCTCTCTCCCTATCCTCTCTCACTAAGCTGCTGAAATCTTTTTAAACTCGCCATGACGCTCTCAAGTCTCCTGAACCGACTATCCACACGACGCTTTTACCTTGCACTGCCGGCAATTTAATCCAATGACATCAGAGATCTCGCACGCCGAGTGTCGTGATAGAACGCGACCAGTCAAATCCTGCATACAATGACGCCTATATAAAATACGTATGAACCATATCATGTTATCTCATGTCCTTTCTAACAGATTGCGCTAATGGAGTTATATTCATTACTTTCGGAAAATATTTCCGCTGTATGGTGCGATTGTTATGCTAGCTCATGCGATTTCTTATAAGATTTACAATTCGTTTTTACTTAATATCAAAGCAATCTATTCCGAGTAGGTACCTACCCAGATTGCGCAATATGAATAAGTAACATATAGCTTATAAGAGACCAAGGTGAGCTGTGAGGTCGCTGAACAAACAGAGAATCAATGTTCGGGAACAGAACTAGTCGGGTCGTATTTCGTGCCGTGTGCGTGACAGCGCTACTTCAGTCCCTCCTGAAGCCTTAGACCGACCGCAACGCACCTCGGAGCTCTTCAAGCGTTCAAAAATGAAAGCTTAACGCTTCTCATCATGAGTTGCACAAATTCGGTTTGGGGTCATCTGTGAATATTCGGTATCATGCTCGCGTAGGCACTTATCTTATTAATTTATTCGTAATATCCGAAACCTCATGCTATTTGCTACCACAGAGAGAAGCACTTCCTGGTCGGGCACTCAATATACCCTGGGTCGGGCAACCTTCATGTCTTGGTGACGTAGTTTCTGTCTATTACGAAGGTCGCGACATGGTGCTACGTAGCGCGGGTTACAGGTCACACCGTTGCACCTACCGCGCTGAAGTTTGCGCAACTCATAGAACAAGGATGGACAACGTGCCTTTGATGGGTCTCAGCTCGATCGGATCGATAGCGAGCGCGTGGCGCGTGCCCAAAAAGTGCAAATTCGCGTCATAGACTTTACATGTATTAATCGGCTGGCAAAAACGGGCGAAAACAGCCAAATTTGCCCGACACGGGTCCGGTCCCGGTGCAATATCTCGGTAACCGTGGGCCCGACCGGTACGGGGAAAACAGCATCGTGTAGAGAATCGAACGGGCTATCGAATGGTGTGCGGTGCAGGGGTTGGCACGCGCCACGTGCACCGGGGAGGACACTTTCTTTTGAAAAATGGACGTTTTGGACGGCTTTTGGAATTTATATTAATTTCAGGTGATCGTCAGACGGAATGAGTTGAAACAGCGCCTATTAGCAATAAAAATGCACCGTCTCTCATGGAAAAATTGTGAAAAGCTAATTGATCAAAAACAATGTGGAAAAATTCGCTGAATTAAATGGTATTTGTCCAAAATGTGCCACTAAATAATTACACGGATTTTGCTGCTTAACCTGAAACGTTTGACAATTGAAAATGCTATCATTGGAAAGAGCATTCAATTCTCTCCAAGATCCAATCATCACGTTTGCATGACAAGCAACAGTATTCTTAAAAATATAAATGTTTCAAACCTCTGCAAAACGATTTTTAGTGAAAATTATCTACGCCTTTCATTTGTCAAAAAACTACGCACCTGAATTATAAAACACATTTGACAGGTTCACTGAACTATTGACAGGTTCTGAAGTAGAAAGCATGCTTATCAGACACGGGCACCTCGATCCGATGGATATTTTTTTTTTCCAAACCAAAACGTTTAGCCATCAAAAAACAATCGACCGAAATGGATAGATAACCCAACCGACACAAGAACAACCAAACACCCGCCGATCGTAAATACCCTTTTCGCGTTGCGGAGCACGCGGGTCACCCTAGACAAATCTTTTCTAGAAAAGACAAATCTTTTCTAGAAAAGACAAATCTTTTCTAGAAAAGACAAATCAAATCTAGAAAAGACAAATCTTTTCTGCTTAAAAATAAAAAAAGATAGCGTTAAGCACTGAGGCGTGCAGCACTCCCCAGTCTTCACAGAATGTCACATGCAGGGCCAGTCCGGCAGCGCGGGGGCGGGCCAGCTAAACCCTGGGCCTGTCCGCTACGACCTTCAAACGTCCGCTATGGTGGACCAGCGCGTGCATCTCACGCGCACAAACATGTTTGTTTTCAGGCGGGTGAATAAGCATTGGAAACTCTCGGATCAGCTATTGTTTCCGCCTGTCAGATTGTCGAGTTCGGGATAAACGTATGTATTTACATAGCTATGATGAATCACATAGCTTCCTCAGTTTCTTAGTTATGCTCTAAGATTATAAAAGCGTCACAGGACCGTGCATTGGGCCTTTATCGAACCGATCTACGTTATAGTTAATCACTATAGATACCCTCATTCTCGCATCTGGACCTGTCGAAGCTGCCTTTTTGCTGCAGCGCTGCAGCTGCTTCCCGGCTGCAGCTGCAACTGTTGCCCAGCTGCAGAGCACTGCTGCTATAAGCCGCAGCCTCTCCCGCTCTCTCTCAGCGACCTCTCCTTCAATCGAGTCTCCCACGGCGAACGGTCACGAGCGCTCTGTGTCGTAGGCTGGCTGCGGTCGCGGGCGGCATCAGTTTCCTGCTGTCACCATTCGCCAAGGAAACCGCGGCCTCCCGTCTCCCACGGATCGGACAACCCGCTGCGAGCTGCGATGCCAACAATTAGTGCAACGATACACAGCTATTTTCCCCGGAATGAAACGCTGAGTTTAGTGTACTTTTTTAGTCGAGGCAAGGAAATCACCCGAGCGGGCACAGGTCCGAAAGCGTCTGCCTCCCATTTGTCATTCCAGATATGACGGTGCAGGATTAAGTGAGCGAAAACGTTAAATATTTGCACTTCTTCAGTGACTTGGACGGAAAGGGATCACAGTCACATCACGGCTGATAGCACTGACGTAAAATGACGCCTTTTTCGGTTGTAGCGTATTATGAAGTGATTGCCGTCGTTATAACAACTCGGGCGCTATGTAACGTTGTACGCAGCGATTTATGTTATATTACATGCTATATTTAGGTATGTTATATTAAGTCGTTATATCGTAATAGCATGTTGTAAAGTTCCGATCACACTCTACGACCACATCGGGTTTGGGTGCAGTTGACGACAGATTTACAGCATGATATTCCACTTTTCACAGGCAATCAGCTGCCTGGAATGGTAGGCTGTGCCGCATCACACGGACTGAGTTCACAATGAATGTTGTGGCCCAACGCTCATCAAAGACACGCTTATATAATTGCTTGATAAACGGCACAGCGTAGCGTTGCAGTCCACTGATAGCTTCTGAGAAGTGACTGATCCTTAATGGATAATCGATGATATTAAATTGATAAGTGTGGCTCGGAATCGATGACAGGACCTGTTGCGGATGATCCCAATGAACCACCAAACAACTATATCCATACCTACCCTGTTCAGCTATGCTAATCTATACCAGCATTAACATTCATCAATGCCCCAGGTGAACGGCCGTATGGTGTCCCAAGTTTAGCCGGTAGCCCTCTCATCTATCGCGCTGTGTGCAATGTGCATGCAAGAACAGCAGCTGAGCCACGCAGTGGCTCAAGTATCTTTTCTTTGCGAATCACACCTATAATGCTCGCTTAATTGATTTTTGACAGACTGGGCTTTGAGCAAATACTGAATACATATATTTCAATTAGCCCAAGCGAGCGAGTTCTGCTTTGTTTACCGTTTCCAGATATCTATCCTGCAAGAGGCTCGCACTATATAGGAGACGACCAATCTTGAGTAGGTAAGGGCTTTAGCGTTTGAGCACCCGTGCATGAAAGCCGTCAGTGGGACAAGCCTGCAGTGAAAACACGTGTGAAGAGCACCTTCATGGCGACTTAGCCACTTATCTGTACGATGTGCACCACCGCTTAAGCATCGCTTAAGCATCGTTGGAACGTACAAAGGAATGAAAAGGCACACTGACAATAATTCGTAAATGATTATTTCATTGTACCACAAAATTGTGGCGCTTGGGAGCGGCTTATTATTATATAAGTACCAGCGTTTCTAAATGGACCATATGTAAACATTTACACACTAAAGCATAGAAATGTGTTGCTGTTTGAGAAATTCACATATTTTTCAAAATAGCACCTATACGCACTTCACAGGAAATGGCTGAAAGTCTTACAAAAACGTAGACAGCCGATTTTGTGATCCACTATCGTTTATACACAGTAGCAGTGTTGCGTAATATGGGCGGCCACCCGGCTGCCGCTACCGTCTGCCACTCACCTGACCGGTCACTCGGTGTCAGTCCCCGTCGCTGCGGTCAGCGTGGCGTGTCTCCCCTCCCGACGCCCGTCGGTCTGCGCTGCCGCCGCCGCCGCCCAACTCAGACTACTGCGGAACGGAGCGGGCTGACTGCGGCCCGTCGGCGGCTCGTCGCCGGCGGCGCTGGATCACAGCACCTCACCGCGCTGCGCGCCACGGAGACGGCACCGGCATCCGGGCCACAACGGGACCGCCGCGGCCCGGGCGGGCGGCGAGCGCCGTCCAGCGCCCGCACAGCCGGCGCCACTGCATATCGTATCTCGGCAGGCGGGTGAAAGGCTCAGGTCCAGATTCAGTTGACTCATAACCAGGTCCATGCTCACATTTTTGTATAGTAGTATAATCTTACCAGCTACATTAGCTCTGACACACGATAAGATCAAACACCTCATTTTCACATAACCCAGCACAAAAATTACCTTTTTATGACACGCCGAGAAAACAAACGATACCAAGGACTTCCAGACCGTTTCGACCTGAAAAGGCCATTTTGGAGTTATGGGATGATACGCTACACTGTAAAAATTGTTTACTAATTTCCTAGTTTTCCGGCCACTTTTCACTTTTTGTTAGTGAAAAGTGGCCGGATAACTAGGAAATTAGTAAACATTTTTTACAGTGTAGGTTATAGACATTAGCCTAAGCGGACCACTGACGGTGCGCCGTAGCGGAGACCGTCTCGATGGGACGTGAATGTCCCCCGATGGAACAGTCCGTCCTGCCGCTCAACGGTCACCCCGCCCCCGGAGAGGGTGTAATTGTAGACTGTAGTTCTGGCGTGGACTTGACAAATTGACAAATCTTGACAAATTGGGCGTACTTACCAGACCGAAGGGACTTACCGAAAGCTACTAGTCAATCTAGTCAACGATGATTACCATTGTCGTCAAAATCAATATCACGAGCCTTAATCCGACTGAGTCTTATAAAGCCAGCAGTGTTTTGACGTGATAACAATTCAAAAGTGATCATTATTGATTTCCGCAGAAGCTCTCCTATTACCTGAGCTTAACCTGCCGTCCAGTGGGTGACCGCCAGTCCAAAAAGGGAATCGTGAGGGGATGCGGATGGCTTCGTCCTAAGGAATGCTATAGGACCGAGCCATTCCTGACATATTCACCGTATTTACATACGCATTTAACGGGTGTGCACTTAGTTTCTGGAAAAAGATTGATCATCCGTGTCTTTTAAACTATTAAAGCTATCAATACAAACTTTCGTATAGTGAATAATCATTAATTTGGGAATGAGCATGCCCAAATTCAGACCTAACTGACTATTTTTTCATACAGAAAGGAGCTTACAACTAAGTCATGAACGCGGAAAAGAGTGGCGGAATTTTCACCAAAATAACAAAAATTCCAGAGAAACAACTTCTCTTCCCACTGGCGCTTTCTAGGTATTGCTAGAAAGAAAGCTTGTGCCATTAGAGGAACGACACAAGCACGGGGAAGGGCGTGGCACATGCACAGTGTGCAGGTGTGTTGATTCGTGGCGAAAGTGCCCCAGCAGAAGAGGCTCGTTCTGGTAAAAGGCATTCACCATCTTGTAAGCGTTCCCGATACGCTTCCCGTCCTCCCGTTTTCCAAGTTTGTAAGAAAAAATTTCAAATTGTGATATTGTATCCAAAAAGGGTAGAGATACCATGATCCAGCACTCGGCAGCCGATAAAAGCAGCAGAGGAGCAATGAGACATGGATCTGTAAGCTATCACGATAAATGCTGAGTGCACAGACGAATCAAGCAATCACCTGTGGATGCTGGAATTAGATCACCTAAAAGGGAAATTTTATGTAATGAAAATGGGGTAAAACACCACCTCGAGAAGCAGGCGCTCACAAAATGTGGAACCTTAGCCTGTTGACCACTTTCGACGCAATCTCCTGGTCAGTGGACCGCCATATCCCCACGTGCGGTATCCAATCATTATGTTAGCCCTATGTAGCCGATGCCGACGTCGATATCTTTTGACAGCAGTGCTTAAATAAGGAATTTTTGTCACATTGGGAACATCACTGCCCGAGGAAAGTATAGGTGTCATGATCACACCACAATACAGTCACTGTGCGCGCGGAGCGCTGGATCTACGGGACGGCGCACATGTACCGTTTGTGAGCCGCGAAGAGAATCTTCTTGGTATATCTCACGGCGACCGAATCGGGACTTTTGAAGACAATATAGTACTAAGGAAGATGTTAAGTGCATATTAGCGTCTATTTGAAGTCCATAACCCGCTAGCCATCGCCACACCTGGACCCGGAGGTGCCGCGCAATTTTAACAGGGGGCGTCTGTATAGCACGTGGGCTGTAGACCGCCTGGGAGGAGAGAGCGCCTAATTCTTTTGAAAACTCTCGACTATTGCTGCAATTTATATATGTGTCAAATATCATCTTAATCTAAGTTAAAACACTAAAGTTATGGCAGCACAAACTTTTTCCAGAAACTAAGTGCACACCCGTTATATCACCATTTGACCCGAGACCTTTTACAGGCCACCGCGCGACTCTATGGCTGGTGAGGATCACAAACCAGAAGGTAAAAATAAACGTTTGAAAATAAACAGGTACAACGTTTACGTTTGACAGCTTCTTTACGGTTCCCCCGCAACGTGGGTTATGGTCAATGGTGAGTGGATCCAACAGCGTCTGAGTCTGACACTCACTGAGAGTCACACTGTGACCAGAAAACAACTCACGAAGGCCGAGGTCGCTCGGTGCAGAATGCGTGGCGAGTGGCGACAGTACTGCGTCCGTCCGCCCCCGAGCGGTGAAGAGGAGCGAGGCAAAGGTCACTGCCAAGGTTACTCAGGCTTCGGTGTGGAATGAAGCGTCCGACAGCAGTATGACTCAGCACTCTCAGCTATAGTCTCATCAAACATACGGCCTCGGCATTGGTTTCATGTCGACACGAAGCCGAAGGCGTTTTCTGTTCTCGAAATTTTCATCCGTACGACGGTTTAATTTAGTTATATAAACACATCTTCCTACCTGGTCCCTAGTCTTTTGAACTCCATGGATGAGGTAGCCTGGCTTCTCAACCAAGTGCCTAAGGCAAAAGGGTTCAGCCAAGTTCGAACCAAACGTTAATGAATCTGGTCATGGACAGGTGAGGCTCCAGACCAGGCAGACTGGGATCGAAACGTCCGATGACTTGCACTTTTTTCCGGCCATCAGAGACGCTACGTTAGCCGCTGACTCAGGGTGATACCGGGCTACCAAAAGTCGGACAAGAATGGTCATCATCGAAAAGGTGTGACGCGTCATTTCATACAGATGACCTCAAATAGCCGATACTTCCTCGTCTCTTTGACAAGTTTTCAGACGTGTCGCGCCGCACATTTCTTATCACAATGTTTGCCCGGCCTATCATAATGCATACCTACCCGAATCGCCGAAGGGAAACATGTCAATTACCCCAAAGCAATGGCAAAGCAATGGCAAGGTGGGCCTGGTTCCAGAAACGCATAACATTATCATACTAAGGTTGGTGTATTGTCAGAAGACGAGCGTGAACAAAACATCAGACTGCTAGCGACTTACACTGAACGGCCAACCAACGACATGGCCAGAGGTTAGAAAACACAGCTGCAATGTACACATTGTGCCCACAGAGATCCCCAGAATGGATCAATTCACGAGAACATTGAGTACCAGCACATGCAGAGACCCATTCTCACTCCACAGCACACAATGCGAGCACGAATAAAACAATATAGCGGTATAGTAGTGCTGGGAAACAAAAGCACATAATAGACGTCCACGTTTTCTTCGATAGCAAAACAAAGCAAATAAAAATAATAAATATTTTGAAAACCTGTTGATTCGCGACTGCGAAGTTTCCAATGACAGTAAAGGCTTACGGGACGTATCGACATCACGAACTCATCACTCATACCGAATCACTCACCCACAAAGAACGTTGTATGACGGCGATAAGGCTGGACACGCTGGCCCATCCAGTCTTCTCTCTCACTCACACACAGGAGAGGAGAGGGAGAAGGGAGCGCGATGTAACCGAGACCGATTGTCGGCGACATCTATCGGGGGCGCCGCGCTGGCAGGGGTTAGCCGTCTACCGTCTAGTAGATAGCCCACAGAGCACCATCCTCGCCTGGAAACCCGACATGAGGCTTTACGGAGATCTTCCGCAGCTTCATACAGATCGGAGAGGTTAGAGAACCTACAGACCTCCCGCCTGCGCTCAGCACAGATTGAGGCTCTGCCTTGACACTGACCGACTGACCGAGCAGACATTACTAGAGCTTCCGGTGTAGTGGCTGAAGTCACTGGGGTGTCTCATTCAGCCGACAAGGCCGATCACTGGAGATATCAGAGACCTGACTGTACCCGAATTTCTGAAGCTATTCGGATAAACGTGCCATGGACTCTAGTATTACCAGGACCGTACCAATGTTCTCAGTTCTCCCTGGGCTAAACTTATTATGGCTTCCCCGTGTAACCCAATGGAATCTATGGAGCTCCCTGGAACAGACCTTCTCGGAGCCGCTGTCAACTCTCCACACTCCGACCGTGCAGGGACGGTGGCTCGCGGGTCCCGTGTACCAGCCCGCAGTCACTGGTGCTCCAGCCGGTGGACAATGTCGCGCACGGTGCTCAGCAGCGCCTGGTGCTCCTGCGGCCGCTCCAGCAGCAGCGCATGCAGCTTGGCCAGGTAGGTGTCCACCGTTTCTGGTGTCAGCGGCTCGGAGCAGCCCGGCAGCGGTACGGAGGCGAAGCGTTCGGCCAGCAGGGCACGCAGCTGCTCCAGGTGCAACTGCAGCGCCGCATTCTGACCGCGCTGCTGCTCCGTCTCAGACTCGAGGCGCTCCACGGCCTCGCGCATGTTGTCGATGTGTTTCTGCAGTGTGGCGTTCTGCTCCTCGTACTCCGTGTTGGCACGGCGCAGCTGACGCAGCTCGGCCTCACGCTCGCGGTTATGCGCCAGGAATGTCTCGGTGAATATGGGTATTTCCAGCGGCGTGCTGTCGTCCAGCGGCAGCGGGGGCGGGGGAGGCGGCGGCGCCGGCGCTGACGCCGGGGCAGGCGCTGACGGGGCCGGCGCTGGCGCGCGCGTCTCCTTCTCATTCTCCTTGTCGTGCCGGGCGGAGCGGCTGCTAGAGCTGCCGCCGGAGACCGTGCCACCCTTGGCCTTGAGCTGCTGACTGAAGGCGCGGTAGGCGTCCGTCTGCTGGTACTTGATGAGCTCGCGGCTGTAGCGCTCCTTCTGCTGCTGGGCGGCCTCCATGTACTGCTGCTTTTCCTCCTGTGGCGCCGCCTGCCAGGCGTTGGCCAGCAGACGCGTCATATCCGAGAAGGTGGCGCCCGGGTTGGCCGCGCGCACCTGCTCGCGGTGGTCGTTCAGGAACAGCATGTAGCCCGACATGGGCAGCTTGGGCGCGTTCACATCCTTGATCTTGAGAGTGCGTTTCTTGCCGCGCGGCCAGCCCTTCTTGCGGCCCTGTTTGTCCGAAGGCCCCGCCTCCGACATGACGGCCGATCAGTCTCGTCTGCCGGCAATCAGAGAGAGGGGGTTAGTGGAAGGGATTAGACAAACACCGAAACTTTTTTTTTAACCTAATGGCTTACCTTTTTCATCATAATCACACATTAAATAGACAGTTGTATACGCGAAGCGCGAGTGCCCGCTGGACGCTGTACGCACTCTGATGTGCGACACTACCGATTGGCGACGAACCACAACGCCCCCGTCCTGTTGGGCGGCAGGATTTCGAACTTCAAGTTTCATGCATCATCAGTAGATGGCAGTACAATGATACAATCCTCCGAGGTCTAGCACAGCCCCATGTATCCTCGTCGCTCGTCGGTTGGGCACTGGGTACACTTCTTAATTACTCCCAAACTTAACCCGCACCGGGCCGGGGGGGGGGGATGTTTGAACACCCCCTTGTGGTTTTTCGCAGATATCTCAAAAACGGCGGCGCGGAGCACCGCCGTTTTTGGCACACCTGTTCGTGCATCTTTTCCGCACATGCTGTGAAAATTTCAGACCCAGGTCGCCTTAGGTCAGGTCACCAGGTCACGCTAAGTGACCTCACCTCAGAAATAAGAATGCTCGTCATAGCTACACCGACTGAACGATTGCCTTGAATCTTTCAGCGATTGATTAGAGCAATATTATCTATAAAATGTATGTCTCGGAAATTTGAAATCGGTGACCTAAGGTCAGGTCAATTTTGCGGCCTCTCCATTATAAGGCAATGGGAGAAAATTGAAAAGCGTCTGTTTTGCACGAACGCTATTCTAGACACTCTCAAACATCGAGATGTAGGTGAAATTGACACACCGAACCGGAAAATGGCAACTGTGACCCCTCGTTATGTCCACGAGGTCATCTCAGGTCACAAACAGAATCTAAGTTTTTTGCTAATAACTTCTGATAGAGGCGTGCTAGAGCGCTGAAAACGCCTTAGATGTGTTCGGCTCGACGTTGCGGATCGACTGCTATGCAACATGACCTTTTCCGGTCAGGTCATGACCTCTGAGGTCAAATTTTCAAGTTGACCTTACAAGGTCAAATTATACTTCATTCGACGCGTCTCGACGAGAGGAACACGATGCTCGCAAAAGTAATGTCATGGCTTTTTTTTAGTCAAATGTTATTGCCGAAAAAACGCTATTTGTAAAAACGGTTATTTAGGAGTTTTTGCCCTCTGGAGGCTAAACCGTTGACCTGAGGTCAAATCTGAGAACAATACTCAGGTCTATAAAAGGGCTATCGAATGCGCTTTTCCGCGGCGCTGTAGCTCTATCGGTTCCCGAGATAGCCGTCGGCAGTTTCAAAAATGTTGAAAGTCAACAATTTACTTTTGGTGACCCCTGGTGACCTGACCTTTGACCTGACCCAAAAAATGACTGAAGTGTTTTCGTCCTTATTTTGGACGTTCTTTCGATTGCCGCTTACCGCGTGTCGCTACGTGGCCCAGGAGTCGAGTTAGGGGGGGGGGTGTTCAGACTTCAGACACCCCCCGGCCCGGCGCGGAATCTTGGAGCACCGGCCCGGCGCGGGTTAAGATCAGAGCAGCTGGGTCCAATTACAAGATGCAATAAAAGAATCACAACTGGTCACTGCCCCACTGCTGAGATCCACTGCTGAGTGCTGAGAGGCCCTCATCTTGTCTGATTCTGGATTCAGAAATAAGATCCTACTTAACCACTGGCTCAGAGTTTTCGGAGGGGCAAACCATAACAACATAGCGTTCTTTCCATGCACTGTCTATGGGCCTAGTGTTAAAATTTTGCCATTTGGGAGGGGCAATTACCCTCCCCTGGATCCGCCACTGTGCTTAACAACTTGAACTCTTTGCAGGTAGTTTACAAGGAATAAGGGAAAGGCATTCATAACTCGTAACTGTGATAATGGCGGACATTCGTCACTCAATTAAAAAAGGCTTACATCCAACATACAGGCTAATGGCTATAGCCTTGCATTCAACTGCAACATAAGTGTTGGAAAAATTGAGACCCTGAAATTGGTGCATGGTTAGTAATAAAGGCAAATAAAATTGTATGAATGTTACTGCACCTTAATATCAATATGTGAATGCCGTTGTTGAGGTCAATAACAATGGCCAGCGCGGCCAGCATGAGGAAGTTAAATGCAATTCAATTGAGATTGAGTTGACGGACTGCAACAAAAGAACTCGGCTGCTTCAATTAATGATAATTGACTTAGTCATACTCAGCGCAATAGTTATGCTTACCTCTACTTATGAGCAATTAATCCAAAAATAATTGAATCTTGATTGCAAGAAGCCTCGATAACACTGAACTCGATAATGGTCGATAAATATTTCTCTCCTACCTACTCACTCGCATACAAAAAGCACAAATTCTGAAGACGTTTCTGGCGCACCTAAAATGCTGCCAAATGCCTAGAGAGGATATATCTCTAGTCTCAATACCTATCTCTAGTTGTCGCTAGATGACACCGCCGGCCGGCCGGCCGGTAACTTACACTTGCCTGAGTCCTGACCGAAAAGAGTACATCGCTCGGTGTTTGATTGGTCATACTTGATTTTGAGCAGTTTGACGATATGCCTGTCGGGCTATTTATGACCGCCAGCTTAGCATATGTTTGGGTATATTATCAGGCGCAGCCCTGCGCCGCTAAATTCCAACTTCCAACCTTTGCCAATTGCCACATCCAGCTACCGTTTCCATCGGCGTCTGTCCGCCCCTCGCCTCCATTGACCCCTATTCCAGCTCAATATATTGGCTCATCCAAGTCCGATTAACCGGCCAGACTTGGACGAAAACCGCTAATCCATGGGCGGAGGCCTCAGCTGTCGCACAGAAACTGCGCAACCAGACTACGGGGTCACCTTTGATGTGATATACGCCGGCAGGGCCAGGCCGCACGCCTAGACCCACCGAACTCGAGCTTCGAATGACCAATTCAAACCAATTCCAGGTGGGTTTCGACTTATCTGGTCAATTTACCGAAGCGCAGAGCCTGCCAACGTAAAGCAATGTTTGGGACATGATCGAAACATTTATTCTGGTGACAGGAAATACGATTATCACGTAACAATGACAAGAGTCCCATCGTGGTCACCCCTGAACCGAGTGTCCCGCCGCACAGGAAGCACAGTCACGAGCGAGGGTTTAGGGGGGAGGGGGAGGAGACGGCACCAGCCGGGGGACTGGGACGGTCCGTTACCAGTCACCAGCCATACGACAGGGAGGTTGCCGGTGACCAAACTATCCAACAGGAAGGCTCAGTGATCCCTCGATCGATAGATGATCACTAGCTCCCATGATAGTAGATCCAACGGCCCCACGCAGGCTAGTTCGCCGCTCCACACAAAGTTCACTAGTTCATTCGACCGGGGACGATTCATAGATTCCTCGACAAAGAAATTCATCAATCCCAAGTAGGGAGGCTCACTAGTGATCAGGGAGTGAACCCGCGAGCGGCCCACCAAAAAGCAGCGGCTGCGGAGTTGCAGGGTTACCGGGGGACGGGGGACCGTGGGGTGGGCCGGGGTGGTAGAGCCCTCCTCAGACCGCGAGGAGGAGCTGAGGAGACGCGGCGGTCTCACCCGCCGGGCTGGCCGCGCGCGGCGGGACAGTAACGTCCAGCGGTGCACCAGCGACAGACTGACTGATCAGGCCACATCATCACACGCATAGCGGCACGATTCACACCGGCTAAATCGGCGCAGCGGCGGCGGCGGCCAGAAGCGCGCGCGGCAGCGGCGGAGCGGCGCCGTAGGTCGGCCGCCGCGGGACGCTGACGGCGTGGAATGCAGCGGGCGGCACGCTCGGCCCGCGACCGGCACACCTCACATCGACAAAAGGCTTCAAATAGTAACCAGTAAAAACATCGATTGCGTCATTACGGCCCCCACCGCGCTCATCTCACTGACTACGGCCCGGCGCGCCCGCGCTGCGCACCACTCTCTCTCTCGCCCTCTCACTACCTTTCTCTCGCATTCTCTCTCTCGCCCTGTCCGCGTCAGGTGTGGCCTGCGCTGATCTCTGCCAGCGCCTCGGTCCTCCTTTGTACTGAGCGTGCGCCGGCCATCAGCGCTCGCTCTCAATCTCCTTGGCACGGTGCGGGCCGCGCGGCGGGCCGCCGGCGCCAGGAGCGCCCCCTGTGCCGGCCCGGTGCGTCGTCACCGTCACGGGCGCGCCGCGCTGCTCGGTCGGCGACTCATCTCCCCGTGCACCTGCGGCGGAGGACAGAAGGCGGTTACAGGCGGCAGGGGGCGGTCACAGGCGGCAGGGGGCGGTCACAGGCGGCAGGGAGCGGTCACAGACACAGAGGGCGGTCACATACGACAGAGAGCGGTCACAGACGGAAGAGACAGAGAGCGATTATTGATGGTACACACAGAGTGCGGTCACAGACGGCAGACACAGACGGAGGGCGGTCACAGAGATACAGAGCGGTCATTGACGGCAGAGACAGAGCGGAAGACGGATGGAGGAGGAGTGACCACGGCAGGAGTACCGACACGGGGGCCGGGGTTCGTGGTTGAACAAAGAACATTAATATATATGATGACCAATGGGACTTATGGGATTGATCACGCAACAACACAGCGTTAGCTGCACACAGCAGAAGGAACTGCAGCTTCATTGATGATATTGACAGCGGCAGTGCGCTACGGCGGGAAACAAGCCAGCCCGGCGGGAGGATCCAAAAGTCTGACAAATCGCCACCCTAATCGGCAGTCGTGTTCAACGGTTAGCAACTCACTGTTCGTACTGTTGATGTGCATTGTGCATTAGCCATGTGTAGTAACTGTCAAACACAGCAACTGTATTTGAGAAGCAGCATCACGTACATCACATCCCCTCTCCTTACTGCCCACATCGTCTCCGGCCAGTTCCAAGTTTCACCATCATGCATAAAGAGATCATTCTGAGCCAGAATATAGGCTCGGCACGCCACTTAAGGCTAGTTCAACTTCAGAAGCGTCGCAACTTATTACACCTGTACTCAGCCAACGCACATTATGCAACAAGTTTTCTCTTAGCATGAAGCTAATGACGGGTCAGCTTTAGACGCACCACAAACTAATAGATCCCTGCGCTCAGGCAAGAAGGCACACATTATGCCACAAAGAACCTATGTCAAACAATCAGCTAACCGGGGAAAGCATTGCTCTCCTTTCCCCATTCTGGCAGAAGCCGCTGATGACAGCACAATGAGAGTCCGAAGAGTTGCCGTTCAGCCGTCATTTTTGAACAGAAAGGGCTCCAAATCGAAGCTGTTACGCTGGCATCAGCACTCATCATTTGAATACCAGGCACCAGCTGTTGGTCTCTCCTTTGCCTTTGAATTCAAAGTCATATGTGAAACGAAGCGTTTCAAAAATGTGACAGTTCAGACGGAAAGTAGTGGTGTACCAAACAACCTGTGATCTGTTCAGTTATAGACATATTTATGAAATATGATGACCAAGAGTTGTAAACCAAACTTAACATTAAAATATTTAGATTTTAGTTTTAATTTTGGTTTAAAACTCTTGGTCATCAGATTTCATAAACCTGTGATCTGTTCTTCATTTATGGCTCTTTGCAGAAACAGTTTCGTAAGAAGGGAGACGGCAGCTCTACATACTGTGGACAATAGCAAACCAGCGAATGGAGAACATTCACGACGGCAACAAAAGCAAAGCTCACCTAACTAGAATGAACTATGGACTATGGAGTCAGCAATGAATATCCCAATCAAATTGAAACTAGCACAAACACATCTTAGAACAGAGGCCTCTTGCACCAAACTACCTAGTCCTAGCTAGGTAAAATCGAAAAACCGGTTTCAAAATAAGCTAATCTAAAGGCCGGGCTCCACTACGCGTTTTTTTTTACGCGCGTTTTATCCGAGACATCGGTTTTTGCGTGAAATCGGTTTTGCAATTTGTCGGTTTTTGCGTGATATCGTTTTTTGCTTGTCATCCTGAAGCACGTGACATTATTGTTGTCATTAAACCCAGGCTCCACTACGCGGAAAATCACACTTTGTTTATTTTGAGCCTATAAAGAAGGTGTTTTGCAAGTAGGAACATTTAATAAAAAGTAAGCCAAACTTTTATAAAATAGTGTCTTGCACATGTTGTTAGCCTTGCACCTATGATAAACTTGCTTAAATACATAACTTGTTTCATAGCTAGCCACTGGTGGCTGAAGAGGGCAAGGGATTTTTATTCTTAACATTCCGCCTACCTATGGCAATGCACCAGACTGGAATACATCCACACACTAGCTGGACGCCCGTGAGACCCTCATACGCCGAAACTCGTCACAAGCAATTTTGAGCTGAAATTTCTGCATCACTTACCATGAAAGTTGGGCGCCTATTTGTGCCGAAATAATCCACTTTTACATAAAGCGCGTGTGCACTGTGCATATCATTCTACCGACCACTCATCTATCACCACTCCGCCAATTTCTATTTGAATTAAAACCATTTTCCCCTGCATTGACACTGCTTTAAGCGCAAAGTGAAATATGTAGGGTTGCTATGCTACCTTCACTCATCCTCTTTACCTACACTAAAAAACTTCTACAAAAATTTCCTAGCTTCAACACAAGAATTAAAAAAAATATTTAACAACGTCAAAAACAAACACAAAAGTACATTCACATTGTTTGCCGCAGCGCACAAGTCATGTCTCCCGGCCGAGATCACGCAAAAAACGATGAAAAGTTCAAATAATTGAACTTTTTATAGGTACGAGATTTCCGAGTTTGCGTGACATCGTCATGCGTTTTACCGAGATTTCCTTAAAATCGGTACGGAATTTGCAAGTTGTCGTGTTTTGCGTGACATCGTTCCCAGTGTAGCTTGCCCAATGTTGAGCAATGATGCGAACTTTTTTTTCGGGAACGATTTCACGCAAAAACCGATGTCTCGGATAAAACGCACGGAAAAAACGCGTAGTGGAGCCCGGCCTTAACGGTGGTAAATTTGTTTGCAATAGCCCAATACATATGTAGTCCTACATGTGCTTGCTAAATTTTGCACGCACATTGTTGCATTTGAGACTTGGACTGGGTATACGATGCAAAATAATCCAAGCATTGATGCAAGAGGATTTTGGTGCAACAGGCCTCGTACTGGATCTAGCACATTCGCGCCACAAACTGTACCAGAGCCAGCACATTACCACATTCGGTACCCAGCCTAACCAGACAAAACAACTCTACATCAGTCAACAACAGCAGTTTTCAGGTTTACTGGATGCGTACTTTAAATATTCATTTCGCCTTATGCATCGCGTTCTGTTTACATTTTCCTTTAGCGATGCCTTATCTGTGCATCTGGAATATGGACACAGGTTTTACCATGTAGATCTGGTAAACGGAACGAAACGAAAAACAAAATCACACCGCACAGCTACACCGATGAGAACAAACAAGATTGAAGCTGCGCCAGCGTGAGCAATTCTTGACTCAAGCAGGGCATGTTTTGGGGAATCACCACAAAAGCACGGGAAGTTCAAAGAGCGAGGAATTTCTTGTTATTCAGACGAATGCAAAGCACCGAAAGTGCAGAGACCAGCTAGTACAGACGAAAACAGGTTCTACAAACATGTTGGCAATCTGCAAGGCATTTGAATTATTGTCGCACACCAGACCCGTGATTACTTGAAAGTTGAACATTCAAGATTACTGTGCAGTTGACGTGGAGCGTGACAGGCATCAAACACCATCAAATACGTGATAGGCATTGAGTTTGCCTCTTTGTCAGCTGAAAACAGATCAATGACAAAAAGCATAGAATATTTCATTAAAAAAAAAAACTCGAATAAAGTAGTTACATTCTACTCCACAAACATTTGCCAAAGCCGTTAGGCATGCCCGTTTTACAGAAAACGGTGTTTGCTCAATAAGGAATACTCGTTTTTACAATAAAAACTGTTGTTCAGACCCATTAGTTACCGACCTTTTTTACTTGAAGTATAATTGCCTCCTGTCATACGCAGTAATTACATGTGTGATGTACACATCTCTAATGTACAGAAGCTACACGTGGTTCCCGAAACACTCAACTTCACCAAATAACGCTGAACGCAATACAAGAAAGTCTGAAAAGATACGAGCTCTGTGTCAAGGGAACGACTCTAAATTAGACGCCGCCCGCACCGAAACTTGTTTGTTTCACTACAACAGTGAAACACGCTTTATAGCTAGGAGCCGAAACGCGTTTTACTGCAAAAAGAAAATGAATTAAATGAGCATTGCACCAGACACCAGATTTTTTTTTTTAAGCAACTAACAACGATCTAGGCTACGCATTTATAGCTGACATTTATAACTGTATCTTACTTCTGATGGAACCAATAAATCATGTAAAAATACATTGTCAATTCTACCAGCCTCACCCGTGAGAGCTCCATTTCCAGAACAATGAGTCCGCCGGCTCTGACGTTCAAATTCAATAGGCTCCGCTACCTGAACTCCACTGAAGATCACCCAGCATTTGTCACAATAACATGTCGTGCCTCAGCCTTTTCACATTTCTCACACCGTAAGCTGCTTCCCGGCGCAATGTCGCTGCCCACCGGACTGAAAACTCCGTCCGGACCCACCGGTGCCAGCGCTGTAAATTCCGTCAGAGTGAGGACTGAGGGCACTTAACACACAGTACGGCAGGCGCCGCGCCCGGTCCCCCTCCCCCTTACTCTCTCCTCAGCGGAACCTTACCCGGATGTCGCCTACATGGCTGCCGGCGCGGCCGCCGGCGGTGCGCCCGTTTTGAACTTCTCTGTCTCCTGGAATATGAGCTCTTTGAGCTCCTCCTTCGGCAGGTCGTCCAGCTCTGTCTCAAAAGTGAACGGCTCCTCTGCGACCGGCTGGCGGGCGGCGGCAGACAGGGTTAGATCGAGTCGCATCAACACAGGACACAGCAGAATACAGGGTCAGAGCGAGTGGGAGTGATTCCACGACAGGGCGGTGTCAGGCAAGGCCTGTGTCCTTTTTCATAAAGCCTGGAATTGTAGAATTGTAGTTGTAGTTTGTAGGTTTGTACTTTCGATTGTACAAATCTGTTTCATAAAGGAAAAAGTACAATCCGAAAGTACAAACTACAATTCCACAAACCTACAACTCACATTCGGCAATTATCAGCCAAAAAACTAGCAATCTGTTTCATAAAAAGAACGGTTCCTCTGATTTTGGGATTTCCTTGACGGAAAATACAATCGAAATCTACAACGCTCTAACCGTGTGTAGAATTTCGGAGATGAAGCATAGGAATCAGCTTAACGTTGCTAATAATTTAATTCAATAATAACCAATGCTCAGATACACGATATGTATTATTACTGAGCGAGAGAGCGCAGCGAGCGAAGCGAGGTCTTTTCAATATAACGAAAAAACCTCAGTATTGAGCCGCCCGGTCCGGCCCAAACAGTAACACTTTTGACGGGCTAATATCTCAGCAACTGCTGGACCGATTGGCCTTCGGTCTTTTTTGTTGCCAGTTGGAGGTACCCTGGCGCCCTGTACAGTGCACATGCAGGGCTCACTCGCTCGCTCGCTCGCTCGTTTTTCGCCCAAAAGGCACTTAACTGGTTATTTTCATCATTTTCCTGTTTATATATAACTTCATGTGTGCCGCATTTCCGAAAAAATGCCGGCATTGAACGGCTCGACCCGACCCCCCTCGATCCGGCTGACCCACGCCAATGGCGTTTTTGAACGGAAGGAACTAAAGCGCTGAAATTCGTAGCATCGTTCGGGCCTATTCATTGTTTATAATTCGACAAAAAGACGGCATTTTATCAACAATTTATTTTCCTTATTCATACGAACCTTTTATCAGTAGTTAGTCATAATAAGTTCACGAATAATATCTAAAAGTGAAGGATAAATATATACCTAGCTATTATTGATATCAATATCTGAAAACATTATGCCTAGGTTCTATAGGTACCTACCATCGATCGACTCATGTAACATTTCTTTTTAAACATAGCTCATAATCTTACATTAACATAGCAGTTTTTTGCGGATAAAGTTCTCTGGGAAAAAAGAGCAGCCTACGCTCATGTCCTATTTTTTTCCGGCTCAGTTTCTTCAACCAACACTGATGGAATGACCATGCACCTTCCCTTCAAGATGTAGCCCATTTCCTTCCACGCAGTAGGAAAGCTTGTATTTTTATCAGTTTTCATCCCGTCTCCTGGGTGGCTCCAGCCTCCATCTATTTGCTTCTCGCTTCGTCACAATGCTCTTGCATTTTGATTTTGGCGTTTGATTCGCTGGCTTTCTTGTTGCTTCTTGCTTCACAAGGCTGCATTACTTATAAAATATTCAAGGCTCAAAGCAATTTGAGGTCACATAACTCGTCGCCAGGTAATATGACGGTCAACAATATCCATAATAACCACTCTATAACTCGGATAGGCTTAACCTAATACTTTTTCAGCCATTTTTGCATTATTGTCTGAACAATTCATGAAGCAGTCTTTCAAGAAACTAATGACTTGTTGGACTTACCCAGATACCAAATCTCGAAACAAGCACATCTTGAAATGATTGCAATGTTGAAAATTAACACTTTCAGCGTAAAAGTTCTAGCTATGCATGTGCAAAGCGATGGCTGATCCCCAAAAGCAATTCAAGTTATTTATCAATAATTATTTCCTTTAAAAATTGCAAAAAACTGTCAGCACACCATACGCAATTTGCAACACAACATCGAAAACTGTTGCAGAAGTTTTTGTTTACTCCGTTGCCATGGAGACGAAGCCCCGCAAAACTACGCTCCCGGATCGAAAGTACAATTCTATTGACGCCGCATGTCCAGGCTTTATGAAAAGTAGTAGTTTGTAAAATTGTACTTTGAAAACTACAAACGTACAAACTACAATCGGATTGTAGAATCTTTATGAAAAAGGACACAGATCGAGTCACACAAATGCAACACACGGTGTCAGACAAGGTCAAATCGAGTCACACCATTTCACCACACGGTATAATACGGAGTCAAATTGAGTCGCACCAATTCACCACACGGCATCATATGCGGTCAGATCGAGCTACACACATTCGCCAATCGTCATCAGACAGGGTCAGATCGAGTCACGCCAATACAGCACAGGGCGGTATGCAGGATCAGATCAAGTCATATCAACACATCCCACGGCGTCAGAGGGCCGCAGGGCCAAAGGGCCAAAGAGTAGGTACAATATCAAATGTCAGACGCTATAAGTCTGCAGTCACATATTGGCGCTAATTTAGCACACAGCGCAACACTCGGCTTCCCAAATGTCACGGAAGTGAGCCATGTGCCACCGCCCCAGCAACAGGCAATTAACGTCAAAAAGTAAATTAGCTTTGGTTACTTTGCACCAGCCAACACAATGACAGCTTTATTAAATCATGTGACGGCATCAGTTTATCAAATTAGACGCTACAATACGGCTGATCAATAGCCTCTAGTTGACGGTCGGTAGGAACGCTGCCTTTCTTAGAAAGAAAGCCAGCAGCCCCGCAGCCAGTCGCTATTAGCTCCGCGCGTTAGCTCTGTTAGCTCCACCGGCCCCACCCTGGTGTGTTAGCTCCACTGTGTTATGAGGTTATCGGTGGCGTCAACAAATAACTAAATGAAAATACTTTTATTGACGTTTCGGTTCCAAGCATCCTTCGTCAGAATTTCAAGTTAAAATGTAAACATGCGTATCAAAATGTACACATTTCAAACACACTGCGACTGAAAATATAGCAAAGATAAATTCAAACTGCCTCAACACTGTCTACATTTAAAGTCTTCGTGGAACGTGACACTTAAAGTTTTGTTCATCCTACTTGTAGTGCTATTTTTGCAGTATATTAAGATGATTTTTATAGTAGGGTGAACAAAACTTTGAGTGTCACGTTCCACGAAGACTTTAAATGTAGACAGTGTTGACGCAGCTTGAATTTATCTCTGCTATGTTTTCAGTCGCAGTGTGTTTGGAATATGTGCATTTCGATACGCATGTTTACATTTTAACTTGTAATTCTGACGAAGGTTACTTGGAACCGAAACGTCAATAAAAGTATTTTCATCTAGTTATTTAATGGCTCCACCGATAACCTCATAACACAGAGATGTCCTCACATAGTAAGCTCCCCTGTCCGGGCGTCCCACCTCGTCGGCCGGGTCGTAGTACTGCTCCAGGTAGGGGTGACTCAGGGCGTCCTCCACAGTGATCCGCTTGTGCGGGTTGAACGTCAGCATGCGGTCCAGCAGGTCCAGCGCCCGCGCGTCCGCCTCCGGGTACAGAGTCGTCCACGGGATCTTGGGCTTGTACGGCAGCGACTGCAGGTAGTTGCGGGCCTGCCGAGAGCGATCGGAGAGGCGTCAGAGGGCTGACCGGGGTGCCAGTTTGATATTGCTTTCATTTATAAAGGCTTGGTTTGGAAACATCAAATATCTTTATTGGAACGGAACGAGACAACGAAGCATACTTTCTAGTTGAAACACCGCATGACGTACTGCGCAGCATATGTAAAATCTCGACCCAGAAAATTCGCGAAAGGTCACGCACATCACGCATAACAGACGCCTCTTCTGACACATCACACATCAATATCCTCGATTGATACCCCCCCCCCCTGCGATGCCCGCACGCGGTGCACCGAGTAACTCGCCGAGCGCCGCCGACACCTCTAGCGTCGGATCAATGGCGGCACCGAGCCGACACGACACGCGGCGGCTCATCACCAGTCAGCCGCGGCTCAGTCGAGACGACGTGTTTCAATATCGCGCACGACCACGGCAGATGGATTCCGGAAATAACGACCTGCCGCCGGCGACCGCGGAAGTACACTCTGGGGAGGGGCACGCACTAGCGGCGAGAGAGGGTTACGGCAGGCGGCGGACGCGTGCCTAACAAAGACAGACGACTAGGTGAACAACCATCACACCCAAGTTTCCTGCTCACTGGCACGGTCCGTGACCCCGACTTAAAGGCACGGTGGCAGCGCGTCTCCCCTCCATCACTCAGTCAATAACCGGCCGGCGCGGACGCCGCTGACGGCGCACGCGACAAGACCATTAGTTGTCGCCGGCACCCCGCTGGGACCGGAACCGGCCCGAGTCGGCCAGAAGTCAGAAGATGGTTTCTAAAGCCGTGCAGTCGCGACGTGAGCAGAACATCTGACGAAACGCCGCCGGACCATATAACCAATACCGACAGACTTGACCCGACAATGGTACAAGCTGTCACTCAGCATCCATTTCTCAGAACAATTCCCCACCTGACATCGTTTATACTCATGTGGGACTTCATCTTCTTGGAAATTTCAGATGCACTTTTGCGGCGCCATTTCCACATAAGGCTGCCATTTCGTAGACACTCTGTGACCTTTTCAGTGGCGGCCGGTGTACCAATGGTCCGATATAATTTACCTGGCGAACTCTCTGTGGGACTGACTCGCGCCGCCGGCCGCTCCCAGTGCCACACGCGGCACGGCGAGGGACGGCCGGCGTCGTGACGCGACCGACCGAGCCGTGAAACACGTGACGAGCCGACAAACCAATCAGACAGTGACGTCATTGGCGCGGTGGGCCGATCGACTGACGTCATCGGAGTCACAGCAACACGTCAGACGGGGAGGGGAGAGAGAGACAGACACGTCAGACGGGGAGGGGAGGGAGGGAGGGAGGGAGGGAGGGAGGGAGGGAGGGAGGGGGGGGAGAGAGAGAGAGAGAGAGAGAGAGAGAGAGAGAGAGAGAGAGGGAGAGAGAGAGAGAGAGAGAGAGAGAGAGAGAGAGAGAGAGAGAGAGAGAGAGAGAGAGAGAGAGAGAGAGAGAGAGAGAGAGAGAGAGAGAGAGAGAGAGAGAGAGAGAGAGAGAGAGAGAGAGAGAGAGAGAGAGAGAGAGAGAGAGAGAGAGAGAGAGAGAGAGAGAGAGAGAGAGAGAGAGAGAGAGAGAGAGAGAGAGAGAGAGAGAGAGAGAGAGAGAGAGAGAGAGAGAGAGAGAGAGAGAGAGAGAGAGAGAGAGAGAGAGAGAGAGAGAGAGAGAGAGAGAGAGAGAGAGAGAGAGAGAGAGAGAGAGAGAGAGAGAGAGAGAGAGAGAGACGGGCACGTCAGACAGGCGACAGGGCGGAACAGACGAAAGGGCAAACGAGTGACGATGCAGGGGAGGGGGCGACAGCGGAAAGTGACAGGTTTGGGGAAGGGAAAGAGAGGGAGACAGACAGATAAGTAGACAGGTAAGGAGACGGGTGAAGAGAACATCCAGATTGCATTATTCACATGGAGTGGCAGGGTAAGGCGTGTTGTTGGACAAAGCTGTCGCGCGTTCACTTTTGAGTGCGAAACTTCGTAAGCGTTCCGGTTGTTTTGCGAAGTTATTGCAACTACGTTTCGACAACGCTGAGGCGTGCAACTACCTGCGACTTTTCCTGCGACTTTTCCTACTCTCCCCACATATCGAAGACTGAGGTGGTCGCTTCTGTGTCCAAGGTAAGCACCTTCGACAACCCGACACCGGCACTTGTGTGGACGTTGGACAACCAGTGGTCGACGTCTAGCTCGCGCCACTCTCAGCAAGGAATCCTAGCGCGACATTATATGAAACCCGTCAGCCCTCGACCCTCCCTATCTTGAAAACACGTCTTGAAATGCACAATGCACATGTATGACCAGCTCCGAGCAAATAACACTTGCCCCGGCTCGAAGCAGCGGGGTCCCGAGTGGCCTGCCGCCACCCTGACCTATGTCCGGCAATAACCCAGTACAACTTACACGATTATTTGGGAAAAGTCAGTCAGCAGATCTATCCATCGGACTGACCTTTTCGTTGATGATGCACTGAAGGTCGTCCTGGGACGGGCTGCCCAGCACGGATAGGATGTGATTCAGCTGGTCCAGGTAGTGGCGACCCGGGAAGATGGGCCGGTTGCTCAGCATCTCACAGAGGATGCAGCCCACCGACCAGATGTCGATCGACTTGGTGTAGCCCTGCGGGGGACAGAGGGACGGTTGGTGACGGTCATTGCTGGGTGGACGATCGGTCAGCGACGGTGGTGCACAGTTGATGACGAGCATTGGTGAGGGTGACACACACCAGGGCCCAAAGGTCACCGAGGCCTGTCAGGCTATCAGGGATGACAGCAAGCATACTGCAAGTGCACAGCGCGCAGTCAGGGACGACCATACTGTTATTCGGCCGGACAATGACATTAGGACGAGGCGATCACACACAGTCGCGCAGCCGGGTGGTACAGGGACGACAGTCGATTAGATGGAACACACAGACAGCCACATGTGGCAACCACAGACGCCGAGAGGTTCAGAGCTATTAACCGAGCACAGTGTGTGGTACATTGGTGCATTAATGTGACTGTCACCACAGCCACACACAGACAGACGGGACACACACACAAGCAGACAGATACACAGAACATTGAACAAACTGACAGCTAAAAAGCCCGAGACTGACAAGGGGCCGGGTAACGAGCCTACATCTCGACAGATACCCCGTTCAAATATTAACACGAACCGTCCCAGCACACTCGGCAGTAATTGAGTGCCGCTGGCGAGGTAAGAGTGGTCGATTTGTTATCAGATGGGCGGTTGGTTGCGTATTGTGTAATGTGCATAAGAGATTAGGTAGAAGCGTTACATCGTTAGGACCGAGTGCGAGCCAAAACTCTGACGCCATTCCAAGTGACGGAGGAGCGGCAAGGTCGCGTGCTCTACCGCAATCGAACCCGGAAGTCTGCTTTGGAGAGCAATGACTTGTAAACTTTAAGCCAACTGTCACCACTTTTTGTAAAGGTAGCCGCAAGGAAGCCGCACAGACACTATACAAACGCAAAAACCACAGGCCCACAATCACATGCATATAGAGGTGGTTACTCCAGCAATCACAAATACGGTGTCGGGCAGTGCTGAGCTGCGCCGACTGGTAAGCTCTTACAGGACGGTCCAGATTCGGCCGGTGTGAGCGAGTCTGAGCCTCAGCCGACAGGGTTACCGGGTAGAGGAGAGGGGGTGGGACCGGAAGGTAGAGTGAACACAGTACCCACTACCCATCCCCCGCCACTCTACCAAGAGGTAGAGTGGCGGGGGATGGGGCTGGAGGGAGAGTGGTGTGATCGGTGCGTGAGCGATCAGAACGGGATCTGGAGAGAAGGTAGAGGGAAAACAGGGGGTAGAGTGGCGGGGACAGAAGGCAGAGTGGCGGGGCGTGGAGTCGGCTGCTCTGTCCGCAGGGGAACGGGCCATTGTCCGCGCCACCATCGCCCGTGGATAACGAATGACAAACTCTGGTCTCAAAGGAGCCGAAAGGAGGATAATGGAGCCCTTAACAAGTCTTCAAACTTGGCTCGTGGAAACTCCCATCGACAGACCTCAAGTCTGAATGTCACGAAGACAGAAAGGTTATTCAACAGCACACCGATCAAATAAGACAGCCATCCGCTAGGATGGCTTTCTTAACAATCGCAAGCACTATGACAAACGGAAACCCACTCTATAACGATCAAAGCAATAAATAATACCTAGACCATGGATGAGATAATAATGGATTGGTGTCTTCGCAGTTTTTGGCGACATTGAGCTCAGGCCTGCCATCTAGCGGGAGAATTATCGTAAGTTAGGAGCAAGCGGAGTGAACGCCGCTGATTAGCATTGTGACACACGGGAGTGTGGTGTAGTAGCAGGCTTGATTTGCAATTTTTCAAAATGTTATGTCTTAATATGTCAGCAAAAGCGAAGAAATTAATAAATTTATGTGCAGGGTGAGTAATAATATAAGCGGTTCCCTGTTATTTCCTCTTTAAATCGTGAAACAGGGAGTTATTGGAGACTTCGCCAGCACGTGTCGTTTTCGCTATTTTTCACATGAGTCTTTACTTGGCCCAAATAAAGCAAATTGTTCGATCAAAGAACAAAACTAACTTAAGTTCTAATCTATAAGTCTAATGAAAAAGTTAAACGGAATTGCTAACGTCATTGCCGCTCAATATGTCATTCAAGACGCTCTATGAAAAGGACCCAACCAGTGCTGCGTAGTCGATGAAATTTCAGTGACTGGCTCCAACTCCGATTCCGGTATCCAAATATCGACTCCGACTCCTCCGGGCAGAACTGTCGATTCACACAGACTCCGACTCTGACTCCGACTCTGCAGCCCTGGTAAGTCTGTGGATTCGATGACTTTTCGGTGACGTTCGTTCGACTCATACTCCGACTACAGCTTTTAAAAATCAACCGACTCCGAGTCGGAACAGAACCGCTGGCTCTGACTACAACTCCGCAGCCCTGGCCCAAGATAGCCGCCTAAAACAACTTTGATGTGTGATCTTCGTACATTGTTAATGTTATTTTAAACAAGGAGTGGAAAAGGGAGACGAAGCCTTCGCCCTTCACAAACAAGGATCTTCCTTTGCGGATCAATCAACTGCTGGAACAGAAAGGCATAAACACCACGCATCTCATTTCATCGTTTTCCTAACGACTCTGCACCAATGAAGTACTGATCAATGCAGTGCGAGCATCGATGTGACATTTGTGTGTTTGAGTGTTATCCGCCCAGCCGTTCTCGAGATATGGAAGCGGTACCCCGCACGTGCGCACGTGCAGTAGCACCCCCATGGCGACACATGGAAATGCATTGGCCACTGGGTGCCTAACTATTGACGATGTTTTACTGTAATGGGCCCAGTCATTGCGGAGTTACTCTATGTGGAACAATTTCGACACCCTTAAGTTGGCACGTGCCACGCGCCGTAACATTAACTAAGATGAAGAAAATCGGGCGAAATTCGGAGAAAAAGGAATAAGCCTACCAAATGTACATGACATATTGTCAAACTGCTGTACCATTGTGAGTAAATGACCATATAAAAGGTCGCACAAGCCGATGGGACTGGGCGTTTCAATACACACCGTCTTACGCATTTTATTTTTCGTTATAACCTAAAGGGTGCTTGACGTTTTTGGCTTTCAAGCATTTAAGACATTTTTGTCGTCTCAGGTCCAGTAAGATTGCCTCCAACTCGCGGAAATATGCACTTCAAGCCACCTAACACACCACACCCACGTGTGTCATAATGCTGAGAGATGGCGTTCACTCGGGTTGCTCCTAACTTACGATAATTCTCTCGCTAGATGGCAGGCCTGATCCCAATGTCGCGGATCCCAATGTTAATTTCCACGAGACACCAATCCAGTGTTATATCATCCATGCCTAGACCGGACATTGCCACTCGATTGAAGGATATGCTGATGCATCACATACGCTCGGCGAATTGAGTACCTAACTACGGCTTCAAATTTCCTTCATTGATTTCTCGGCAGCACAAATTGAATATCAGTCCCGGAGTTGGGGATTCGTCGAATGCCATCGCTCCTGCGGCCGTTCATATTAGGCGATCTATCAAACACAATCCGATGGTCAGGTTCACTGAGCATCCGACGCGGCGCTGCGCCCACACACAACTGTGCTGAAACAAATGATTTCTGCAAGAATATATGCACGCTTTAGACCCGGTGAGAAAAGCGTACCCGCTGGGATCACTATTCACTACCAACACGCGAGTCTGCGTCTCCCGTCTCGTGTCGTGCGGGACAGTCTACTCGCAGGCGTCAACAGCTGGTGACATCTAGTGGCAGAGATGGAAGCTGAGACGCCCCTGCTCTCGAGACCAAAGCTTAACTCGGTTTCTCTGCAGTAACAACCCACAGGATGGACAAAAAAAAAAAAGAACTAGCATTCAGGGATGTTTGGTTTCACACGACACACCGCTAAAAAATATTCATCTATGCAAAACACTTCTATGGACACATATAAACAATGACCTTCATTGGCGACCAGAAAGAAAAGAGCTCATTGGCAGTCGAGAATGTCGCATCCATTGCCGTGCTTTGTGTACGATATAAACAAGAATGCGCTGGGAGCTGTATCAGTCCACAACAATCATCGTACTTTTCCGTGATTAATTCCACCCTAGTAATTGCACCATCCACTCCCGGGTATTGGCCGTAGCCCCCCCCCCGTCCCTCCTGTACCATCATGGCGCGTCTGTCTGTTGGCCGTATCCCCGGAGACCGGCAGCTGAGTGCGCCCCCCTCTCCCCGCGACAGAACAGCACTCAGGAGACGGCCGTAACAATGGGACTGACTGCGGCGGAGCGCTACTCAGGCCCGCGCCCAGTAGTGAAGGGTATCTACTATCTGTATCATTCGTAGACTCCAGTCGCGGTGAGTCCGGTCACACAGTACAGTCAGCTCATGCCAGAGGTGCAGCATACCATACGTCATCCCGGCCAGTAGCCATAAACAGTGAGTCATCGAGCCGGTGAGAGCAGTTGCCAATGACGAAACGCCGTGTTTTTAATACCACACGGCCGTGCGTGCAAACTGTGAGTGACATTGGCGGACGACCGTGGTGGGGTGGACGATGGGATGTCAGAAACAGAGACTGGCAGGGTGAATAAACTTTGCAAACTGTGACCAAATAGATTGTCTCAGACTGAGTCTGTATGTACCTCAGCGGACTGTATCCAACTGCAAACCGTCCAATCGAACAGACAGTCTGAAATTATCGCCCGACGGACGGACAAACTGCCTGAGGCTGTGGGCGGTCTCCCGTCCGAGGCGATCAGTCTCTGGGCGGCCAGAATGAGCCGTCAGCACGGCGTTAGAAGACGGCGCGGCGCGGCGGCTCCATTATTGAGTAGCGCCGGGACGGTAATGCCACTGGAGCGCCTCAGACTTATTGGGCCGGCTCCCAGCGGCAGCCCAGAGAGCGACTGAGGGGCTGAGCGCCGCCCGAGCTCCCCCGGCGCGACTCAGGGGCTGAGCACTGCCCGAGCTCCCCCCGGCGTAATACTGTCAGGTGCCGTGCTTAGATAACTACAGCAGTTGTTAACAACTTAGCTCACACCGGCGCTGCTTGCAAATGAGCACTCGTGCAGTCGTGCTAATTAATGAACTTAGGACGGGACGGGATAATGAAAGAACGGACGAAGCACTTCGCATTTACTATTACCTACCGGCGGCAAGTCTTGCTCAGCGTTTCTTGATCATTCCAGAGGTACTTATCAAACACTTTATGGAGTTTAGGAGCACCTGGCACCTCCTATACGGAGTTGTGCTATACGGAGTGCTGAGCGCAGCACTGCCATATTGAGCGCTAGCCTTTCGTATTCCTGGGCGGGTTCTATGTGCATGGTTTGACATTCAATGATAGCGTAAGTAAAGTAGTGCAACGTAATCCAATAATGGATCGCTCATTATAATGCTGGGCAATTCCACGACAAATCACCTATTTTTTCCAATTGTTCACCATGACCTCTCCGATTTTGCTCAAATTTGGCATGTAAGTTGACCTATGGGCACTACTTCGTCCCAGTAAATTTTTAGTCTCTAGGTCACAGGGGTCATGAGATATGGGTCATGCAAATTTTTAGGTTTTCCGGAACATTGAAATATAAAGTATTTTTTATCTCTGCAACGGTTCACCGGATCAAAAAAGTTATATATGAAATAAGAAGCGCAAAGGCTGGTGCGTCTAGCAAACATATGAACGAAACCCCAGGGTCATTTATTGACCCTTTGACCTCGTGACCTTTTCTTGACCCCGTGACCTTTCAAATTTGTCCTATTTTAAAAATTCTGATTTTTTCTATGAGAGATGTCTTATCCATGCTCTTAATAGTGGTATGTGATTTGGTTGGTATATCGGACCCTTGACCTCAAACTGAGGTCAACAATGTGGTCATGACCTGACATGAAAATGACATCTGCCGAGAACGTCGAGAATCATAGGCAATATGGGTGTCATATGAAAGCTTACTTCACGGAGAATACATTGGTGGTGTTTTTGAGTAGGTATGGGCCGGGTCAAGGTCACATTAGGTCAGTGACCTAACACAGCATTGTGTTCTTTGAAGGTGGCGTATTTTATTTGTTTGGTAAGCCCAGTGATCAGCACACAATAAAAAGGAAACAAAACGTCATAAAACACCGTCTGTCTTTATTCAAAAAGCACAGATAAAATGCATTCACCCATATACACACACTCGCACAAACACACACACACATACATACACCTCGTTCGAGGAAGATCTTTCAAACAAACCTCAGTAACACACGCGGTGTGAAGAACGAGTCTCAGAAGACTTGGAGAGCTTGAAGGCTGCTATGATGTGGGAGTCGAGCGGTACAAAGCGGTGAAACGTCCTGGTACCTACTACCTACCCTTTACCGTGCGGGCACTTATGAACCGTTCTCTTTCATTTTCGTCTTCGTTCCTGCTATTTGCGTTGCCAAAACGAAGAAGAAATGCATTTTATCGGTAAGGTGGTCCTCACAGTATTACCAATACCATCGCATGCGCTTTTGCCATGCGAGGTGGCAAAAAATCCACTCACATTGAACACCGAAATCCTCGGCATGATGACATATATTTGCAAAATTGTATTTGTTCTTGTACTGGGACGCTGCTCCGTCAGAGAAGTATTGTATTTTTTAGTCTTGGGCATTCGTTTCAAATGTGGGGAATAACCACTGCCTGAAATGCCGCTTCAGCTCCCGCGTCAGCTCCCGCAACACAAATAGCAGAAACGAAGACAAAAATGAAAGAACGCTTCACAAGTGCCCGCATGGTGAAGGGTAGCAGGACGTTTCACCGCTTTGTACCTACTGCTCGACTCCAATACCATAGCAGCCTTCAAGCTGTCCGAGTCTTCTGAGACTCGTTCTTCACAGCGCGTGTGTCACTGGGGTTTGTTTGAAAGAACTTCCTCAAACAAGGTGTATGAATGTGTGTGTTTTTGCGAGTGTGTTTATATGGGTATGTGTGCATTTTATCTCTGCTTTTTGAATAAAAAAGACGTTTTATGACGTTTTGTTTCCTTTTTATTGTATGCTGATCACTGGACTTACCAAACAAATAAAATACGCCACCTTCAAAGAACACAATGCTGTGCTAGGTCACTGACCTAATGTGACCTTGACCCGGCCCATACCTACTCAAAAACACCACCAATGTTTTCTCCGTGAAGTTAGCTTTCATATGACACCCATATTGCCTATGATTCATGACGTTCTCGGCAGATGTCATTTTCATGTCAGGTCATGACCACATTGTTGACCTCAGTTTGAGGTCAACAGGTCCGATATACCAACCAAATCACATACCACTATTAAGAGCATGGATAAGACATCTCTGATAGAAAAAATCAGAATTTTTAAAATAGGACAAATTTGAAAGGTCACGGGGTTAAGAAAAGGTCACAAGGTCACAAGGTCAAAAAATGACCCTGAGGTTTCGTTCACATTTTTGCTAGACGCACCAGCCTGTGCGCTTATTATTTCATATATAACTTTTTTTGATCCGGTGAACCGTTGCAGAGATAAAAAATACTTTATATTTCAATATTCCGGGAAACCTAAAAATTTGCATGATCCATAATCCATATCTCATGACCCCTGTGACCTAGAGACTAAAAATTCACTGGGACGTAGTAGTGCCCATAGGTCAACTTGCATGCCAAATTTGAGCAAAATCGGAGAGGTCATGGTGAACATGCCTAGGTGATCTGTCATGGAATTGCCCTGCTCGGACCGATACTATTCACAATCGTTTAAGCTAATTAATTGACGCTTTAATTTAGCTAATTGGCGCGTCGACTGCAATTATCAATTTGCGCCCACATAACTACCATTCACAATAGATTCTGATCAATTACTTTTTTTTGAAAAATATGTTTTATTCCTTATAGCGCATAACATAACAAATTATAGGTATATATAGTTTCGGCAGCAAACAAACGAGCCACAACCGCAGGCACTCGTTCTGTAAGGCTGAACACAGACATCTAAAAGGCTCACGGTGTCTCCGTAGCAACGGAAGGGTCATCAGTTGGATGGTCAGTGTATCTGACTGCCCAGCGGTTGCTAGTAGCAACGAGAGTCATAACGCCGTCTGCTATAAACGAGCAGCGCGAAACGCAAGTGCTATCCAGCACGGTCAGGTAAGTCAGGCGAGGGTAGAATAGAGTTCTAGGTGAGGTGGAGTCCCAGGAGAGGACAGAGATCCAGGGAAGGACAAAGGTCAACGTAAGGTCAGAGGCCCAGGGAACGACAAAGGCCCAAGGGAGATCAGAGGTCCGGGGAAGGACAAGGGTCCACAAGTGTTCAGATGTCCACGGAAGGTCACAGGTCCACAAGAGTTCAGATGTCCACGAGAGGTCAGAGGTTCACGGAGGGTCAGAGGTCCACGGGACATCAGAGGCTCACGTGAGGCCAGAGATCCAAGAGAATGCAGAGGCCCAGTGGAGCTAAGTCTGGATGATGTCAGAGGTCCATGCGAGGGGGAGTTCCGGTTGCCGAGGTAGACCCCGACTGTATCTGACGGCCCGTAGCCAGAACCCCGCAGCCATGAACAGATAAACGTCACGGGGAAATGTCAACAACTGACTGCTAGTCAGCCAACAACCGGGTTCACCCGGTAACGACCCTGCCCAGTACCGGGTCAAGTTGCCATGCCGGGTCTTTGGCTGGGCAGCAACGGCCCGAGTTTTGGTTCATGACCTGGGCACGGCTAGTTGTGCGGAACAGGATCTTCCACATGCTGATATAAAGTTGTGTGGCCCAGGTCAAACAGTTAAATGGCTTAGCCGTGGCTGCAGCCGAGAAGAAAGTTTCGAGGGTGATTCCAAAACGGAAATGACTGATCTAATCAACTTCCCTACCAGAACGAGTTCGCTAAGCGACCTTGTTTCCAACGTCACTAATTCAAGAAAGCATGGCCTCGTGCAATGCTTATACCGCCAGAGGGTGCGCACTAAAAATTCAAAGCCTGATTAACGTCTGGCGGCCGCACGCGAAGTTGCCAAGCCCTTCAAATGGACAGACCGGAACTGCAATGGCTCCAGCGGACCGATCCGCCGACGATTTGCCGACAAACATGGCAGCGGGCGCAGGCAGCCAGCTGCGCCCACGCGACAGTGACTGCTGCCGCGCTGGGCAGCAGCACACCCACGCCGATGGCCTAAACGGAACGCTCCTGACAGTCGTAACGGTGGTGCACCCTCACGCAACATTTCAATAAATGTCAAACTGTAAAATCCATGGTAAATAAAACAACAGCAAACAAATGCAGCGGAAGACACAGTCTATAAGTAATGAGTTCAGAATGCTACATGGTGATGATGATTAGGAAATGGGACTTTAAGCCCGGACTGCAAGTCAACGCACGGTGCCCATCGGAATTTTCACGCCTAAAGAATAAAAGAACCAAGACAACTTTGATACGTTGAAAAATAAATGGTCACCCCATTTCAAATAAATTGCAGATATTCCATGTCTTATGTAATTCCGAGGCAGTCGCTATATTAACATTGATACCCATTCGTCACATGTGCAAAAATGTGACACCGAACTTGTTTGAACTCGACCCCTTTCATCTCCATCCAATTTTAGAATTGATTTCAAATACGCCCTGCTATCAGTCGCAAGTCACGCACGTCTCAGCTCGAGCCCACGAGGGATTCCAGTCTTAACTTTCCAGGCTGGACGCTGAAAACTGGATACATCAGACAGCGGAGAGTCGCGACCGCGTCCGAATATGACGATGACTATGAGGATGGTTAATTGGCTTTTGGAGGACCCTAAAGCTGGAGAGGCAATTCCGCGGCCCCGGATATGCGCCACACTCTGGATGATTACATGCAGCTCTCGGTCACGCTGGCCCAGATCCATGGAACAAGGCCTACGTTCACTATACATCATTAATTAACAGATCGACCCAGCGGCCAGCCCCATGCCACAGTTTGGTCGACATGTGTCGGCCGCCTCGAGACCCACCTTTGAGTTGAGCATGATCTCTGGCGCCCGGTACCAGCGCGTGGCCACGTACTCGGTCAGAAAACCCGTGTGGTCGTGGTCCGGGTCGGCCACCCGCGCCAGACCAAAGTCGCAGATCTGCCGACAGAAACACAGAGTTACGGGCTGAATGCAACAGGGCAGAGTCCAGGGTCATGAAAGACGGGTGTCACAGGTGACGCTTAATCCTGGCGCGTAGAGCGCAGTTAAATGTAACAGATCACAGGTAGATGAATAATTGAGAGGCAGTTAGAGCAAAAAAGCACCACCGGCACCGCGCAGTCCAACTACAAGAAGTCCGATTTTTTCAGCGATGTACCATACATTTATTTCTGTAGCGAGTAAGGAACATACATAAATCGGTTACCTGGAACTAGCAATAAAACAACACAGCGCCCGACGACAAAACCAATCGACGCCATACAAATATCGAGCTACAAACATCCCATAACCGGGCAAACATCCACGGGCGGCACCAATAACGGCGGAGAGTGGCGTACTGTGCCACTCGGCACGACAGTGGGTACTGCGTTCCGCGCGGGGCGGGGTGCCGCGGGGGGCAGACTGACAGTGCCGGGTCGGGCGACTGCGGCCGACGGGCTGGGCCCATTGAACGGACACTGAGAGGACGATCTGCCTACGTGGCGTGATATGGAGCCGGGACATCACACAGGCAGAGAAGGAAATAGTCGTGTAAGAGGCGTAAAGACAGAACCACGGACGACAGGCGGCTGTTTCTTCCTTACAGTCACCCCCACCCTTTACAAAGTGCCGCGAGGACAGGCCATGTAGATTTCAGACATCCATAACCCAACCACGGACACTGCGTGACAAGCGAAGTCGGCATGAGCAAAACAAGTGTGCCAAGATAACAAAGAAAAAAAAAACATTAACTTGGCACATTGCGACTTCTAAGTTCTAACAACCAAAATCTGTGAGCTTCAGGTGTTCTTTCGGAGTGCAAACATGATCTGCCTGTAATCTGAGCTTGTTGCCACCCAGCAATGACTGGTGACCATCCCCGTCCATACGTGACCGGTCAGGTGACTTCGCGGCCCACATACGTGACCATCAGCGGCCGGTCTATCCAGTGTCACCACACACCGGTGGCCGCTCCATCCATCGACTGGACAGCGGCATCGACCGCCGGGCGCCGCCGGTCGAGACGGCGCTAATGGTGACACAGGCCGCCTGGTATAGGACGCCGCCCGCGCCCACCGGCCCTGGGGACCGACCGACAGTAGAGGAGGGCCGCCGACCCTGGGGACACCGGCCGACGCTAGGAGGGCCGCTCCCCGTCGAGTCCTGGGGTCACTTTGACTGTTGAGTGAAGGTGTCTGCAGAACGCCCTAAGGACACCATGTGTCTGATGACGCCCTGACGACTGTCTGCGGGCGCCCTGAGGACACTGTGTGTCTAGAGGAGCCCAGTGTGTCCATATATCCAGAGAGATATCCATATATGTCCAGAGAGCCCATATGAGTGAGTGAGTGAGTGAGTGAGTGAAAGAGTGAGTGAGTGAGTGAGTGAGTGAGAGAGAGAGAGAGAGAGAGAGAGAGAGAGAGAGAGAGAGAGAGAGAGAGAGAGAGAGAGAGAGAGAGAGAGAGAGAGAAAGAGAGAGAGAGAGAGAGAGAGAGAGAGAGAGAGAGAGAGAGAGAGAGAGAGAGAGAGAGAGAGAGAGAGAGAGAGAGAGAGAGAGAGAGAGAGAGAGAGAGAGAGAGAGAGAGAGAGAGAGAGAGAGAGAGAGAGAGAGAGAGAGAGAGAGAGAGAGAGAGAGAGAGAGAGAGAGAGAGAGAGAGAGACGGCCGCGCCCGTCGGTAGCATAACATAGCGCACAAACTACTATTGTAGCTTCTGCAGGTGCTAAATCCCTGTCCACACGCACCGCTTCTGTAGCTTCTGCAGGTGCTAAACCCTGCCGACACGGACCACTATTGTAACTTCTGCAGGTGCTAAGGCCCTGTCCCACTCCGACACCGGGGGGGGGGGACGGGGAGGGGTGCGGACCCCGCCTCCATCGCGCCGGTGACATTTGACATCTGCAAACATGTCACCATCAGCGAGGTAACTTTGCACAGGCCGTGCACAGACAGATCAATAGCGCCGGACCGCACCGAAATTACGGACGCAATACACCTGTGGGCCAGCGCAAACAATGATGTCGCAAGCAAGCAACGTGCTAAGAGCTTGTCCTGAACCTTTACATCAATCTAAGTAGAAAACACATCATCCAATGAAATCCGTCCTAACACACCATGAACTCCAGTGCCCAGCGCCCGGCTGTCCCCGGCAGCAGGTGATCTCAGTTATCAGTAAGCCCGCCCTCAGGCGCCGGGACGGGTCTCGGCCTCTGTCCGAGCTGCGATAGCCGCGGGGTATACCGGGGCCCCGACCGGCCGACCGCGGGCGGTGTCATTCGGCGAGGTTTACGGCCCGCTTAGAGCGCCGGACATGGCCGGCTTTGTGGGTCGTAGAACCGTCCGCAGCTGGTGGACGGAGGGGGGGGAGGGGGGTGTAGCTGAGGACGCCGATCGGAGACATAGGGGAGGCTGGAGAGACTGGAGATAAAGCGACAGCGGAGACACCAGTCGGAGGAATAGTGAGAACATTGATCAGAGATACCGGAGACCTTCCACTAGGAAGCGTAGTAGAGACACATTGGCTAGAGGCACAGCGGAGACAAACCACCCTGAGATACCTTCTGAGAGCACACCGATAAGACACACGGCAGAGATAATGGACTATGGAGACACACCGACCTAAGACACTGTGGAGACGCCCGGGAATAGCTACCTACTGAAGACAAATCACCCGGCGACGAAGCTGGAAATACACGGTCCAGAGATAAACTCCGGGGAACTCTCGCGGATATGATACAGTCTAGCCAATTAGCACCCAAGACGGCGCTGGCAACGACCAATCACAGAGCGGATTAGCGGCGGATTGAGACGCCAATGACCAATCAGAGCCGGAGATGACATGCATCAGCCAATCACGGGACGGATTGGGAAGGCACTAACCAATCAGCGGCGGAGTTGGGAAGGAGTCTCTCACGCGGATACCAATCACGAGGACTATCAGATATAGTCGTATCCAACGGCTCAATACGGCGTCATGTCTAATTATATTGACGGCTAGTGGGCAACACATACAGGGAGATGAAGCGTTCAGTGACCCGCTCAGTTGTCAGCCTCAGAATCTAATAATACAGCGCCGCACCGCGATATTGCGACCTTCAGGTACTCTCGAAAATAAATGATCCTGCCGTCGTAATACTGAGCGAAAATCGGCTAAGTTGTGATACCACTGCAAACGCGGTTTGCTGTCATGGGACAAGTAGCAAATCGTATTTCCATTTGTGGATCAAAGAGGGATGTGATCCAACTACTATCGATACTCAGACTGATATACACACGCCGATTGCATCACCCCAAATGGAGGTGACATGGACCTAAATGGTCCCACAAAAAAGTGCTCATGCGATCCGGGCCACACTGAAACCTTCAACAACGGAACGCCTTCGGTCTATCCGTCCGTCCATCGGTTCGTCCGTCCATCTATCGGTTCGTCCGTCCGTCTATTGGTTCGTCCGTCCGTCTATTGGTTCGTCCGTCCGTCTATTGGTTCGTCCGTCCGTCTACTGGTTCTTCCGTCCGTCTAACCTTCCATCATCCGTGTGACCGTCCGTCCGTCCGTCCGTCCGTCCGTCCGTCCATCCGTCCGTCCGTCCGCCCGCCACACCAGTCAGTCTGTCGATCCACCTGGTCCCCGGTCCAGTGTTTTGGCCGCGGCCAGGTCCATCACCTCGTTACCTCGCTCAGAGCTGCCGCCGGACAGGCCACGGGACACCATCGATCCAAACCGCCGCGCCGTCTCACCGCGTCCGACTCGAGTCACTCCCGACTTGACTCTGTGTGACTCTGTCCGAGTCATATCGTGTACGAGTCATATCGGACAGAGACTAACAGGTCAGGTTTGCTTGGCGCTGAGACTTAGAGGATAGGGGTTCAGCATGACGGACAGTAGAGGCCAGCGGAACTGATAGATCAAAGCTTCTAGTGGCAGGAAACGGATGCTCCATGACTGATCACAGGCCTACAACAAATGACCTCAGAACCCTAATGATACCTAAAGCAGACTAATTAAATCAGCACTGTCCATGGTTGTGGGAACTTGGCGGAACAATTATTCCCCCGAGCCATTATTACGTTACTCGGTTCAGACTAGAGATTGGCGCCCAATTAACGTTATCTCTCAGATTCCGTTAAAACTCAGGTAATAGGGGAGCTTCTGCGGAAATAAATAATGATCACTTTTGAATTGTTATCACGTCAAAACACTGCTGGCTCTATAAGACTCAGTCGGATTAGTTAAAGCTCGTGATATTGATTTTGACGACAATGGTAATCATCGTTGACTAGATTGACTAGTAGCTTTCGGTAAGTCCCTTCGGTCTCGTAAGTACGCCCAATGTCTCATTTGTCAGGATGCTGTGAAGTTTTTACCTGTTGGGATTTCACCCGCAGCACCAATCGCCAATTTATGTCGGTTTGTTCCCAATATAGGGTCGCGCAGTGTCGTCCAATCAGTGTGCTGTGTCGCCGTTTTTGTGCGTCCACCCGCCCACATGTTGCCCCGCAGGTAAACAATGGGCTTGGGGAGGCGGCTCCCGACAGCCGCCCAGCCCATCCCAGCTGACTACAGGCGAGAATAGGCAGTGCTACCAGTGTCTAAACCGAGAACCAACATAGCCATCAATATCCACACCCAACAATGTCAGCAAACCGCTCCAGATGGCAACATAAGGCGGCACGGGTACCTAGTAAACAGGGCGCACGGTAGCGTTCCGTTCGAGCCGTCAGCGCTCAACAACAGCCTCGGAAACCCGCTCCGGAGCCAAACACCGGCGCCCCGAAAACAAGTCCCGGCCGAGATTAAAGACACCGTCGCTTTCGACGCAAATGGGCGGGGCTGAGAGCGTCGGTTCCGGCGAGCGGCGGGCGAATGAACGGCCATCGACGGCGAACGACCTGAAAGGTTGATAACGACTAAAATAGAGACACATATAGAGGGAGGTAGTGGAAAGGAGTGGGGGAGGCAGGGGATAGGGGAGAGGGAGAAAGGGAAAGGTAGAGAGATAGGGAGAGGGAGAGGGAGAGGGAGAGGGAGAGGGAGAGGGAGAGGGAGAGGGAGAGGGAGAGGGAGAGGGAGAGGGAGAGGGAGAGGGAGAGAGAGAGAGAGAGAGAGAGAGAGAGAGAGAGAGAGAGAGAGAGAGAGAGAGAGAGAGAGAGAGAGAGAGAGAGAGAGAGAGAGAGAGAGAGAGAGAGAGAGAGAGAGAGAGAGCAGACTATTGCCTCTACCAACTGGCCATCCAGGTGGACAGTAAGCGAGAGCGCAACTGCGTCGATCCCGTTCCCCCGGCGCCGCCACCTGCCGGGGGGACGCTCCCCCTCCCCTGCAGTGATCGGCCGTGGGTCTGTGCCTCCCCCGGGAGCTCCGTGCCGAGCCAGTCGATCGGGGCGGCCGGGCGGCGCCGCTCGCGTCGCTCCGTGTTTGTTTATGACCGCTGTCGCCGACTGATGGAGCTGTGACCCGATCGCACGGCGGTCCCCGGCGCTGACCGGGGTTGGGGACAAAGTGAGGGTCATCTCACGACTCACGGAGAGTGAGCAATGAACATCGACCGAGGCACAGTCGCACCATCCGACGACAAAAAAAGCTAAGAAATTAGCACAGCAGCGCACCAGCCAAATGTAGTCGGCTCCAGCTCGACCAGTGTTTTAATTTGCTGTTGCAGCTTGTGAAATTGCTGAAAGTTGCGCATTCAGCTGCTTTAGTTTCTTTCATTTTTACGTTCAATCAACACGAGAACACAACAAGCGGGTGTATTTAAGAGAAACTTGACACAAAAGTAACTGTGAAATGAAAAGCAACATTAGGCAAGAGAAGCTTGGTAGATAATCGTTTTCTCCCGGTGTGTCAGAGGCAGAGCTCCCTCCATCGTGTTTCGCCTAAATCCCCTGTCCCTCTCTCTGCCAAGGTGCGCCCCTGCCTGGTGCAGGCCGGCCCGGGACGGCACACTCCGGGTCGGGCCGTGCCGGGCTGGGTCGGGTCGGGTCGACGACAGCACAAATCGATCGGTCCCGGCCGGACGCGCCCCGGCCCGGCTGCAGCCGCGGCCGGACATCCGGAGGTCGCCGCGCCGAGACGCACCGGTGACCAGACCGTGCTGAGGCCGAGTTATGAGGGCTCCGGTTTTGCTCCGTCCCAAACGCAGGCTAGGAGGGATACCCGACGGTAGGCTCAGCCAGTCCCTCCGTCTGCCGACATTAGCAGGTTTATTTGTCGCAGCGTCGATTCGCTATCAGTAACACCTTCTCAGTACAAACGCTAACGGGGAAGTGCACGGTCATACGCCGATACATACGATGGGTATTTGGCCAGTCACTTTAGATGGCCTGCCTCATTCAGTATCAATAAACCAGGTCGGTTGGCCGTTATCTGGCAATGTCAACAAGCCATATCAGCTCGCCGGCGCTTTCTAGGATTTCCATGTAGTCAAATATCTCTTGTCGAGCGCTCAGGCCAGCGCTATCATTGTCAACAACGTAGCTCAGATGGCCAGCGTTTTCTCGTATTCTCGCATAAGTGAATGGGATGCATATCGGAAGGAGGGGAGGACTTGGCTTCGGGCCTGTGCGGAAAGCGGCCACAGAGGCGCGGGACGCCGATCACAGCCAGCTAATGCACCAGCGAACCCGACAACAAAAGGCGATCAGCAGAGGCTGGGGAGACGCTGCCAGAATTCATAAGGCACAGAACAGAAATCCTGATCGAGCCGCCGGGTGGAGAAAAACATCTTTGAGTAAAGAAGATAGATGAGAAAGTGGAAAACTTTGGCAGCCATTAGTCAATCTGCAGGGATGCCCTGCCGTCAAAGCTACCGAACAGTCTGTAACTAGGCCACGAGGTGAATGCAGCTAGGCTTTCTTGCTCGGTAACACGACCCCGCCATCATCCTGACAGGACCAGAACATCACCATTATCCAAAGAACGGGAGAAGTTCGACCACTACCTACGGGACTAGAGGAATCCGATAACCCCCACAGAGCCAGAGCAGCCCGATCACTCCCTTACGGAGCCAGCGGAGTTAGGTTACTCCCTTACCGAGCCACACGAGTCAGACAATGCCCTAACGGAGCCACAGGAGCCAGACGGCTCCCATACGTAGTCGCAAAAGCTAGACTACTCCCTTACATAGCTACGGGAACCCAACAACCCCCACCGGAACCGCGGGAGCCCGACATTTCCCAGGACGACCGAAGGAGCCTGCCGCTCCCAGAAGTACCGCGGGATCCCTGCCTCTACGGACAGCCGCCGGTTCATTAGCTGTACGGCGTGTACCGGGCTCCCGACGGGACGCGTGCTGGTCTCATTACAGCACAGAACAGACCATGTCGGCGGGTTTCCGGCGGCGAGCTGCACGCGTTAGCAGTCACTGACACCGCTCCGTCAGCCGCCAAAGAATACCGCGGGGAGACCTGCGCCCAGTCAGGCAGACGGCACAGAATACCACGGGGAAACCTGTGCCCAGCTAGACAGGCGGCAGAGTGGGACTATGGGGACAGCTGTGACACTGTCCAGCCGGGCAGTCGCCAGCAAACACCACGAAGTCTGGAGAGAATCACAACCAGCCTCGCATGCACCAGAAAATAAGAAAATAACAGAATAGCTGTGTCCCGGCCGGCCGTCATCAGAGCGTATGGTAGCGAGAGCATGTGAGTCTCTATGAGCATTGAGAGTCAATATTCATGACGGCTCATACCAAAATATTACGGAAAGGCCTTGTGTTTGGTCCTGGGCTCCCTCATCAATAAAAACCACGATCCTTGCCCGACCCAAAATATCGTGACTACAGAAAGTCAGTGAGTCAGTGACCCCAGCACAGTTGGCCGGCGATGAAAGGCATTTCTGTCCGTTTTCAACACCAACAAACCAAAATGTTTAGCCACTAACGGGACTGTGTAGTGTGTATCTCACTGTGGTAAAGCCTTGACAACGCATCCACACAGCTATAGAGCAACGGGGAATTTCGCACAAACAGCTTAACTGGAGGATGCCATCTTCTAATACTCAGCACAGAGACACCAACTCGGAGACTGCGTAGGTACCTATGTCGTAGGTATTTAGAAGAAACGTGACACAAATGAAGGCAAAGAAGTTAGAATAAACAAACGTAAAGGAGAGAGCTTCGAACGAACCGAATCACCCTTAATAGGTACGTACGAATACCCATATTCGGCCTAACTATGTAGCAGGCAGGCACTGCGGACGCTGTAAACGCCATAGATTAGGCGACAGGCGGTGCCGGTTAGGTTCCCCCTGGGGATTTGAAGCCGGACCTTACCTTCAGGTCACACGTGGTGTTGAGGAGCAGGTTACTCGGCTTCAGATCCCTGTGAAGCACGTTCGCAGAGTGTATGTACTTGAGACCCCGTAGGATCTGGTACAGGAAGTAGCAGATGTGGTCGTTACTCAGTTTCTGAAAGACAGATACCAATGTTAGACCAGGAGTTAACACAGTCAAGTATCCAAGTCTCTGAGATACTACCAGCCAACTTGGATCTCGCAACTGATTCACCGCACAGCAATCCGCACTAGTTTAGAGCATCAATCCGCCCACAGAGAAGCCGGCAGCCAGCCACGGCACAATGGGGTTTACCCCCTCCCCCAGCTCCCCTTCCCCAGCGGCCAGTCAGCTGGCCAGTCCAGCCTTGTCGTGACAGCGCAGAGATCAACTACACCACAACAATAGGCGGGCGGTCTCTCCGATATGGGACTCGGGCAGGCGAATAGTAGGGGAGGGGGGGGGGTGCCTCCTCACACGGTATCCTAGTATGAGGACGGTCACACGAGGCAGAGAACAGCAAGGAGGTGGAAAGAGAGGGAGAGAGTGACGGATCGGAGGATAGAGAGGAACAGATAGTGAAGGAGGGGGTGGGAGAGAGAGAGAGAGAGAGAGAGAGAGAGAGAGAGAGAGAGAGAGAGAGAGAGAGAGAGAGAGAGAGAGAGAGAGAGAGAGAGAGAGAGAGAGAGAGAGAGAGAGAGAGAGAGAAAGAGAGAGAGAGAGAGACGTGCCGCCGTGCCCGTTAAATTACCTGCGTCTTGAGCAGTTTGTAGAGGTCGGTCTCCATGAGACACTGCACGATGTACACATCTTTCATGTTCTCTATGGTCGGTGTCCGGATAATGTCTCTGATGTCGATCACCTGAGGGAGACCAAATAGCACTGTAATATCCAGCCGAGCGGCCACAGACGGATGAATGGACGCGGAGGGCCAGTAAAGATGGAACGTAGACGAATGAACAGGACAGAAATGGGAGACAAAATAGACACGGACGGTCGGTAAGATAGAATACAAGGAATAATATCAGCACAGCGGGTGCTAGCTGACGTAACAACCAAGATAAGGACAGGTGGACGGTAAGCAACTACAAACGATACCCAGGCCTTTAAGCACACACAGTCAAACCGTTCAACAGACGCAATGGTGAGACAGACAGACAGTGAGCTACATAGTAAAAGAAATAAGCATACCCGAAAACATACACCCCATCATTGGTTCTATACGGCTAGCCGGATAAGTTTAGTACAAACGGAGACATCATAACCCATTGCCGGTCGCCTGAACCTTACGAGCCATCACAGTTTACCACCTCCGTGTTGGATCTGAACCATCGAGCGTGTATTATTGAGATGGGCTTCAGTAGGGTACAACGACTCCACAATGTCTAGACCGCCACCGCTGGGACCGCTCACTCTTCACAAAGACACGGGGATGAAGGTGGGACCATCTTGGCCGAGAGGCCCGCGGGGAAATACGACCACGGCCTCAGACACAGTAATAGTTGGAATGGCAATGTAGTGGAGATGGGCTCATATTGTGCAGTGGCGGCTGGGCTGCCCAGGAGAGGGGGCAGAATGCATACATGCATGCCATGGTTACATTATGACGCATTGAGCCTGTGTGGTTCTGACGCAATATCACATTGGGACCGATACAGGTGCTGGGTGAATTTCAGATCAGGACCGGGAAAGGTATAATTCAACAGTTCAGAAGCACGCAGGCACCTCACCAAGTCGCCAAGTGCGGTAGGAGTGACACCAGCTGGCCGCTGCTGGGCATTTACATCGGTAGGTCACCGGAGAGGGTAACGACGATATTACTATTCGACGACACCCACGTCAGAACAATTACCATCACTGTCACAGAACATGGTAAGCAATCAGTAAAACACCGACCTATATATCTATCACGGATGGGGTTGTTTGGCCTCTAGTAGAGGATTTTTCCAGACCTGAATCTATTAACTGCCAAGACAAGAGGTGAAACCCCACGATTTCCCGTTTCATTCGCAATCATCATGCACAGGCTCGGCAGACATGGGGTAGGAAAACAGCCAGAAACAAGCGGTAATGAGTATCAACGGTCTATGCTGTTTGAACAAGAGGCCCTAATACACCGCTGCTCCCCCCCCCCCTTTGCCACACCATACCTATGGTATATGTAAGGAATTACGTTAGGCCGCGATAAGCTGATGATCCGAGCCATCCCCCCCCCCCCCCCGGTGTCAATGCCTCAGGAGTGTCGCCACGTCGATATACTCCGAGACGTCCCATAGCAAGGTCATGTTATCGAGGAGTACGGAGCTGCGGTGGGCGGGGGAATGTGCGAGATATCAACAGCGTCAGCTCGCCGCACGATAGTACTCGGCCTCGTTGGTAGTGCTCACTCGCTAAACTCACGTTCTCATGCTTGAAGCGCGTCAATATTTTGATCTCGCGCAACGTACGTTGACAGTATGTCTGATGCTCGAAGGGCGATATCTTCTTAATGGCCACTTTGGTTTTGGTGTGATTGTCCGTCGCCGACCTGAAATAAGTGGAGGTGTCATGTCATCTGACTGATTAGCAATATGATGAGATGAGTGACACTCAGCAAGTGTCTCGATTCATTCGGTAGTTATCAGCAGTGACAGAGGGAAGGGGACAATACCTGGGGGGACACTACCTGCCACACACAGTGAATACCTACACATGGGCTCCTCATGAAGTCGCATGAGGGGTAAGTACCTATATACTATGCATAATGGAAGTGGTGTTAAATGAAATATGGTAAATAAGTTAATGACCACCTTCCTAAGTAACAATGTTTAAAGGTTTTAACCATATAAAACTCATTTGTGGCCAACCAGCACATGTGAATGTGATTAAAGCTGTGGATGTGATTAATGTCAGGGGCGTCGCCACGGATTTTTGACTGGGGGGGACGGATTGGCTGGCTAAAAACCCATAAGTCGGCTACCGCGAAAAAAACGCACGCGTGCGTTTTTAAGGCTATGCACTACTTGTAACGCATACACATGTTCTTTCCGCGTGGAGGCGTTATTAGTCACAATATCTCCTTTTTACTTGTATGAATTGGCGGCGCGAAGCGCCGCGAAAATTAGCAAAAACGCCTAGCAGAACAGCTACAAAAACACATTAATTTTGCATCTCGTACAAGTTTGATACCAGGAGGCATGGCTAAGGTTTCGTCACCAAGTCAAGCAGCCCTGCCTGTAAAAAAAATTGTGTGATCCTCCGTCAACACGACAGCTTATTTTCAAGAAGTTGGAAACTTTGTGCAGTGTAACTGCACGACTGCGGGGTCGAAGTCGACTTCTGTCGTAGTCCGACCCGAAATCGCTAACTGAAATCGTCACCGAAATCGTAACGGACTACCACCCTTGTGGCGCAGTTGGCAAGTGCGTTCACGTTTGGGGTGGGAGGTCCTTGGATCAAAGCTGACCTCTGGCAGCGTTTTCCTCGGCCGGCTCCTACCCAGGAGATGGCAGTAACTGGGGAGTGTTCGCTCGGTCGTGGGGATTAACGCTGTGCCAGCCAGCGCCCCCGGCCGCAGGTACACGGGCCTGATCCGCCTTTAAAACAGATCCTTCGGTCCGGTGACATGTCCCGAGGGCACGGCCTCGCGTCATGTCCCGGAGCAGCCCTCTGACCTGCCGGGCCCGAGAAATCGGGATAGCCCCAGCGTGCGCACCAGTGCGGTGCCACCTGGGGTGCGTGACAGGAAGCGTGCGGTCAAGGCTGTCCCGCGTAGCGGGTGCCGAAAACGATTCGTACCACTGCCGTGTATATAGTGTACTAACCCAGTATGAATGTGTGCTACTAACGATAAAAAAAAAAAAATCGTAACGGACTTTGACTCTGAAGTCGGAGTCAACGTACTCTGGTTTTAAGTCATGCTCTTGGCTGGTTAGTCGAAATATCTCATGCCCGTTCGCGTCCAGTCGTGTTATACGGAACACGTGGATGACGATGTGAAAAATTCAACAGTTTCCCAAGGATGGGTCGGATAAGAGCTGGAGATTCTGTTGGCTTTGGTGATTGTAGGGGTCGTGGTTAGACCAATCAAGGACCAACTGAGTAGTAAAGCTTCCTGGACCCTCTCAGACCGGGACGAGGTCCTCTCACACTCAAGCATCAAGCGTTCAAGGGCCATGGTGACACCTACTGTCGGATGGCCTCGAACGGGAGGAGGGCCGTTTGAGAGAGAGCTGAGGGTCTTGACTAATTGCGAATATCCTGAAATGTGTCATCTCTGCAAGCTGTCACCCCATCCTGAGACTTTTGGACCGATATTCAGCCCTTGCTGGATGTGGTCGTCGCCCCTATAGCTGGAGCTTTGGCTCCCTATCGAGGACTTGGGACGGACAGCCTAGCGCTGTACCTCATTGTAGGTAATACATATACCTAATCCTTGAATGTGACAAGAAACGTGCAGTGAGACAAAAGCATCACATCACAAGTTTTTCACCGCGATGCGGACTGAGGGATACCGTAGTCGGAGATGGGATTGGAGTCAGACTCCGAGCGATTTTTTAAAGCCGCGATTTGGAGTTACCAAAAGCCAATCTACTCCGCAGCCCTGTACCTACCTAATCTGTATGCAAGGGCTCAGTGATTCAATTCTCAGCTATACGTATGATTCAATTTGTATATCTGCAATTTCAATAGGTCAATAGGTCAATTTTCATAGGCCACTTTTTAAGTCATTCGTGGGGATATTTTTGCGGGGGACGTCCCCCCCGGATTCCTCGACTGGGGGGGACGCGTCCCCCCCGTCACCCCCGGTTTCGACGCCCATGATTAATGTGATTAAGTTAAACAAACAAACAATTTTCACCTAATTTCCATGATATTAGGGTCACTGTTTCTTGTCTTCAGCACTGCAAATCATGGAAACATCTGTGACACATTCAGTGAAAAAATGAACTGCTTATAAATTAACAAACCAATCAGCATTAAAGCAAACAATTCTTGCACATCCTGCCTCTGTGCACAGGACAATGCCCATCATTCCAGTTCAAGATGTTCCACACATTGCCTGCCTGCTGCACAACTGCATGTCATACCTGCTGTCCAGCCCACTCAATGCTCATGCTCCTGCACAAGGGCATGCATGCTAATTAACCGATTCTGATACTGTCAGGGGGCTGTTCAGTTACTGTATTATCGGCACACTGCTGTTTTTCCATTTAAAGAAGTTCATTGCAGGTGTTTCTTAGCCTCTCAGTGGACCGCAGACCACATGAATTTCACCAATGAGAAACCAAGAAATTACAGCAGGTTGCTAGCCAGCTGGGAAAAAGAAAAAATTGAGCATGAATAGTGCTAATGAAGCTGAAGCATGCTGCTGCTGCTGCTTCATGGATTAAAATTGAAATGCATGGATGGTTTCATCCCTGACTGTTGCTATGCTTTGTCTCTAGTCAATGTATAGTCGACTACAGAATGATGTTCCACTTTTCACAGGCAATTATTTGCCTGGAGTGGTAGGCTGTGCCGCATCACATGGGCTGAGTTCCCAAATTATAGCTTTGTCCCAATGCTCACAATCGACACGCTTAATTGCGTGATAAACGGCACAACTGAGCGCTCCGGTCAACTGATAGCTTCTGAGGAGTGGAACATCATTCTGTAGTCAACTATACTAGTTCTGAGCACCTAACCAGTCAGCAGCCAGCAGGTTCTAGGAGGTAGGAAGGGCTGAGGACTGACGAAGAGGGAGCATTACGGAATTATAGAGGGGCCTACCTTAGTAATTATTAAAGTATCTTATTCCGCATATTGGGGATAATATAAATCATATTTTGGTGCCCACATAGATACTTTACCATTGTCAACGTAGCTCCCGCCCATCGAATCCTGCGCGCACCTTTCGCCGCATTCAAGCTCAGTGACGTGCCAGATACTTACACAACCATTCCATAGGCACCTTCTCCAATATAGGACAAATTCGTATATCTTGGCCCAACGTCGAACACCTGACCCTTCACAACCTCAGTCCCCGGCCGGGTCTCATCATTCTGCGCTCCACCGGGCACAGACATCTTTCCCGCTCCGTTGCCAGCCTCGACTGGCAGCCAGCTGACAAACGTAAACGGCCAGCAGCGGTCAAGGTTGAAAGAATCTTGGGCCAAGCTTGCTTGCTAGCTCGTTTCATGAATGCTTCCATATTCCCAATGATTCAAGGACATTTGCAAAAAATCTCTAGAAAAACCCTCGTGAAACGAAAATGACTTTCCAGGCCTGCCCCAGACATATCAATGATTTCATAGATAAAAAATGATTTAGAGCTGGCCTAGCCGATTGTGATCAGTTATATTAGATTTATTAGGTCATATTGATTAAATGTTGTCCCAATATTTATGCTACTTCTTGCTATAGCAACGAACAAGTGATGCAGACATATTTACATGAAACTTTTTTGCTCAAGCAAGGGGAAGTCAAATAAAAGGTTTCTGGCCGAACATCTTGTGTCCGGTGTTGTGCCGTCTCGCCGGCGGATCCAGGGGGCTCCCCTGCAGTGCCCAAAATCGACGAAAATCTGCGCTTTTTTAGAATATACTAAAGCTTAACAGGTTTAAAACGAAAAGTTTGTACAACAGTGCCGTAGGGCTTTTAGAAGAACTCCTAGTAGGATTGCTGGGGCATTCCACGTCAAATCAAACACCGAAATCCGTCATCCCCTTCGATTTTTCTGAAAATTTGTAGGCAGACTGGGCATGGTTCAAAACTGAGTTACGTATAATATTTTCGAAATTTGATAAAGTATCGCTGAGATATAGGTCATCGAATATAGCCAAAAATGCCACACATCAATTTTTTAAATGTCTTTAACTCTGGTTCCTTTTCTGGTATCAAAATGATATTAACAGGGTCTTGTAGGCAATTGATAAGGCTTTGATTTTTATTTATAAAATTAAATTGAAGTGACCTTGAAATGCATTTGACCTTGAATTAAAACAGAAAAATTTAAATAGCAAAAAACACGTCACCTTCGATTCGGGTAATTTTTACATATTATGTCCGTCACAATGTTCCTAACCATCTGTGAAAAAATTGGAGTGGGCCATTCATAACTCTCGCGGCAAACGCCGTTTTCATGCATCAACATCACGCAACCGCGCGTGACCTTGAAAGACTGAGTCAAGACATGCTTGCTTGTGTACACTTTCTGAAATGAATGATTGCTGATTAGTGATATCCCAAACTCTGCGAGAATGGAAATACATAGTCATCGTAGTCAAGCATTCAAGTTCCATAGTAAAAGTGTCTCAGGCAAACGGTATTTTGCGGTGAATTTTGAGCCGTGTGGAAATGCATCATGAAGCCAAAAATTCAACGAAAACATTATCACGCAACGATATCTTCACGTCTTTTTATCTTCACTATACGAAAGAATATACATTTTTGAGTATGTATGGGGAATATCTAGTTAATCCAATAATAAATATGGCAGTTAGAGACCTGCTAAGAGTAACATGTCGCCGGCTGAGGCGGGATCGGCCGACGCGGGAAACGCAGCAATCACAATTTTGTGTTTACACGTTCATATTTCCATTGTTTACCAACCGATTTTCAAAATTCTTACACCATAAGATTGCCTGTACATTTCTTAGTCTTCTCACAAAATTTGACGCGAATCGAACGCAATCAGCGGTAAGGAGCGCGATGTAAAGACGGAACCGTTCCGTTCCGTCCCGGCACAGTCTACAATTCAGGCGGCGGCTAGCGGTCGGCGCCGGCTGCCGAGTCGCCGCGTCGCCGCGGCGACAGGATGTTCACTTTACACCGCTATTTCTAGACCAGTTGTGAACCGATTTTCTTTTTGATTGCACGATGAGATGTGCAATTCAATTTTGGACAGGCAGCTATAATTAATTTCGCATTAATACTATGAGATATTGGCGAAAAACAGGAGGGGTGGGGCGAAATTCATTCTTCCCCCTTCACTGCGCGTGCTAACATGCCTTTGCATATGTGCCATTTTCTTCAAAACTTATGAATGGCCCATTCTAATTTTTTGACAGGTTGTTAAGAATATGGTAGGCAATAAAAGATATGAAAATTAGCCAAATCGAAGGTGACGTGTTTTTTGCTATTTCAATTTTTGTGCTTAAGAACAGAGTTAAGCAAATTTCAAGGTTATTTATTTAAGTAGGTACAATTCTAAACAAATGCTTAAGAAATTACCTTAACAGTAAAGTTTATTTCATTCAAATCAAACAAGTACAACCAAAGTTATGGTCGTTCAAAAATATAAAGATGCAACATTTTGTAAAAATTCGATGCCCTATATTTAGAAGACCTGTGGTCAGAATGTGCAAAAAACATCAATGTAATGTTCGGGGCGACACAGGAACTCGCTCACAAATTTATAATGAAATCGCTGATGGTTAGGTGCAAAACAGCCGATTTTTGTTCGATTTGACGTGGAATGCCCCTGCTTTGGTAGAATCATTAAGAAGCTGCCAAATGAATAATTCTGCTGATATAAATGTGTGACCTTGAACAGCGAAAAACCAGTCGAGTCGCATTTGTTGACATCGCGCAAACATCGCGTAGGACGGACGCCGGTGAAAACAGGGCGCCGGAGGGTATATTAGTCACGTGACATTTGGAGATTCTCCCCCTTCGTGGGCCTTCTACGTGCTAAACGTCACGTGTAAATTTCACGAACCTTGATCAAATCGCCCCAGGCGCCCTGTTTTCACCGTCGTCCCGTAGGACGGGTGGGGCGGTAGGAGTGCGTGGGCGTTGGTGGGGGAGCAAGGTGGGAGACAAGGAGGAAAGAGATAGGTATCTTGGGTGGGAACGAGATACATGTAAGAAATGGTGGGAGACTTCAAGGCTATAGGGGATAGTCTTTGCACGGGAAGCGGATTTGAGGAAGTGGCAGAGTCTTACATCAACGGCTCTCTCTATCGCCTGGATAAAAATAGGCCCCGCCCATCCCAATCAGCTGCTGCATGACGAGTTGATGACGACAACCACTACTTACCAGCAACCAATCTAGGGATAGCGTACGTGACAGTAATGGTGCAGCGGCTGCAAAATATTACATTGTTATTCAAACGGTTTTTGCTTTTAGGGCCTTGTTAGATGAGGATGAGGTTAGATTAGATGAGGTGTTGATGAAGGCAGGTATTTTTTTTTAAATATTTTTTTTTGACAATTTTTTGCCCTTGTTTTACTTAAGCTGAACCCGGGACCACCTGAAGTCTAAACCTTATTTTATATAACATGTCAATGCTGATGCTGTCTTGAAATGTGAAATTTAGACAATGGTTATAGGAATAATGAATAGCAATTTCACCAACAACATTTTAATCTCTAGGAAGTGCAATTAAAATTAAAATCACTGTCTGCCACACTGCTCCATCCTGGTCATGCAACCAACGTTCATGGGTGGTGTTTCACGGCAGAGCACGCACTGCAGTGCTCAGCACTGCAGTGCGCTGCGTGTGTCAGAGCATTGGGTTTCCATGGCAGTGTCAACAAACTTCACTGTGACGCTAAGCTATGACAGCATCCCAGAACGCTAGCACGCTGCGGTACCAGCACCAGCAGCATGCTAGCAGTATTTGAACTCAAACCTCTGTTCTTGGTACGGTTTTTCAGAACCTCTCACTCTGTTCCAAACGCGATTGATCATAAACTAAGAGATCACATGCAACGTCATTTGAGTGATGCTATGGTATGCCGTAGCTACCAGTGCACACAGTGTCTGGATGGTGAAACAGGGCCATTATTAATCACATTTGCTTTGCTTTGTTTCAGCAGAAACCTGTCTGCACATGGGAGGAGCTCAACAAAAGCCCATCAAGTTCATGCATGGCAGTGGATCTCAACAGGAGAAAACCAGAAAGAACATGGATGCTTGTAGATTGCAGTTGTACACTGCTGTTATCACCTGATGTGCGTGGCTGGCATTGCTCCTGGCAAGAACCACCTGCAAGTGATGAGAATGAGATGGTGCCTCAGTCGTTGAGTGTGCTGCAGTGTGAGAGGCGCCCTGATCTCTACTTTGTGATAGGTTTCCATTGGAGGTTCAACTGAGAAGTGAGAACTGACTGTGACCATGCTTGAGCATGCCAGTGGAGCTTTACATGCTTAGGGCAGCTTTTGAACAGATGCTGACCATGGCATGTCCCATCCAGTTATCACGTGCACAGAATGGTGGGGGGAGGGCAACTCTGGGCTCTTGAGTCAGCCCTACTGCACAGGGGGTACAGATGGCCGCTTACGTTTGGTGTGTCCTGCACTGCATTATCAAGCCCAGTCTGCGCCACAGGCAATGGGTCGGGCTGCACTATATTAAAGGCAGACTATCTTGCAAAGGAGGCTGGCATCCTCTCCCATAATGACACACCAATTGGCAATCATCGCTGCGATGATCACGAGGGTGTCCGCTTATCTAACATGGTGAGGTGGAGAGCCAGTTCAAGCTGGCCTGAGGGATGGTTTTACTTCATCTGAGGCCCCCTTTCCCCGCCTGCCAGGTCCGGTCAAACGACCGCTTCACAGTGAACGACTTGCAGTGGATGCCGTCCCACAGCGCAACGAGCTCGCCGACCAGAGGCGGCGGCCAAGAGGCGGCCGCGCTCCCCCAGTCGACGGTCCCGGTGGACGTCGGCGACGCCCACCGCGCGACCATCAGATCGGCTCGCGACAGCGCCGTCGCCGACTGACCGCATGACTGGTATCTGTTCTTGATGTGGGACCGACTGCCACCGCCGGTCGCGGAAGGGCATCGCTCATCGGCCATCGACGTCCGCCAGCTTCGCGTGGGTCACTGTTCGGGCTGCCACCAATACACCGAATCGGATGGAACCCTGTCGGCGAATGCCGGCGGTGCCCCGACATCGACTGCGCGGCGGCCAGTGCATCGCGTGCCGGGAGGAGGCTGGCACCCCCGATCGGTCATTGGTCACAAACCGTGTCCCAGCTCATGACTGCATCCAGCGCAGCTCTGTGAGATGTTCTGCAGCTGCTGCAGTCTGCCGCGTGTGTTAGTGAAAGAAGAATGAACATGAGAAAACCTCAAAACTTTATGCCTATTCGCAATTGACCAGTATTGGAATAAGTTTGGATTTTGAGAATTTGTGTCCCTGTGCTTGTGCCTGTGTGGAAAGGCATGCTTTACGGTGTACCATCTCAATGTCAAATCCCGGCTGCGCTGTGCGGATTTGTGCGGCTGCTGACAGGCCACCTGGGTGCCAACGTATGTGCGAATCCGCGAATACGTTGTGTTTCGTCAGTCAGTATCGTTCTGAAAATATTGACTGCAATAGGCTATATAGCGTATGACGGTTCAGCCCAGCAGTAATAACTGACCATTGATTGGGCGAATTTTGTGTGGTGGTTCGCTAATACATAACCTAAAGAGTGTTTTGCCGGAATCGTTTAGTAGCAGAACTGACCGGAATATAAGTAGAATGCAATGGTTTGAATCGTTAATTTGTTGAAACGATTGTTCTCTGAGACCACTGTGTAACTTTTGACCTGAGAATCACCAATTATAACGACAATGGGGAAGCAGTAGGCTGTACTGTAGAGTGTAGGCAACACTATATAGTTGGCACACATACGGAAGCACACGACTTACGCAGTGGACATCTGCATCATGCATGTTAAGGTTTACTGGGAAGAGTGAGAAATTAGTCAGAATATAACTGACTAAGGAAAATAGGCGATATTTCCTATTGAGCTGGGGCGGAGAGGGGGAGGGGACGTGTGGTCAGCTATGCCAATAATTCATTCTCTTTATGCAGCTGTGTAAAAGGGCGTCCGTTTTTGGGTGAGACCTTCCCCATCGGCCATTTCCAAGTTAAATCGTGGTGGAGAGTCTGGAGACCTCAGCCTCGGTAGTCGGTACCCTGCGCGCTGCGCCACCTTGCGAAACATAAAGCAGCAGTCCTGACATCTACAGGCGTGACTTTTCATGAAAGCGCGGATGTGTTCGCGCTTATGCGAAAAAAATGCTTCCGAGTATGGTTGATAATGAGATTAATTGTTGTCATTTATTTATTAATTCATTGGCAAAAGTACCCTAATAAATCGGTAAAATAGCTTGAACTGTATCGTATTTCCTTGGGAAAAAATGACGAACTCATCCTAAGACATCCAGATTATTGGATGCGTTCGTCAGTTGTAAGTAGTTCAAGTTTTTGGGAAAATTTGCTTGTGGAAAATCATAATATTTCAAAGATATGCCTATTTTTGAATAATTTATGCATTCATCTGCATTGAAAAATGATTGTAAAGCAAAAGTGCAAAAGATAATTGTCAACTTATTTTCTCAAATCACAATTTACGAACGCACAAAACTCCAGCTTTTAATTTAGTGCGTGTGCGAATTGCGGTCAAGAAAAAATATTTAAACTGTCTATATTCCTCTTAAAACAATGAAGGATGAATGAGGAAAACGCTGTTTTGAACAATTGTATATTTATTTTTTCTTAATTAAGCAAAAGTACAAAATTTTCAACTTTTATTACATTTGCTCTCACAAAATCCATCACTTTTTAGCATGACGTCATGTCAGCCAAATTTACTAGCGCCATCTCTGGAGAGCATCTTTCGAAACCTCCAGACGATAGAGAGAGCCACATCAACATACCGAGTGGGCTGTGCATGTATCAGTCGGGGAAACTATGGTAAAATCTGCTATTTTTAGCAGTCTGCTATTTTTAGCAGAAATCTGCTAAAAATGGGTACGCATGTGACGTCATCGTACCCAAATATAGCAGATTTGGGTACGGCCCCCGACAAAAGCAGATCTGCACCCTAATTGAAGCAAATGCGCATCAAATGCGTGGCAGATTCATGATTAGAATAGTGCTGAGAATGTCCTCTGATATTTTTGTTCAGATCCGACTATTTTCAAATAATGAATTTGAAAATAGTCGGATCTGAACAAAAATAGCAGAGAACACTCTCAGCACTATTCTCATCATGAATCTGCCAGGCATTTGATGCGCATTTGCTTCAATTAGGGTGCAGATCTGCTTTAGTATGGGGCCGTACCCAAATCTGCTATATTTGGGTACGATGACGTCACATGCGTACCCATTTTTAGCAGATTTCTGCTAAAAATAGCAGACTGCTAAAAATAGCAGATTTTACCATAGTTTCCCCGACTGGTATTGATCCAGCGTAATCTACTACTGCGCCAACTGCCGCACATGTTTATTTATAACATGGATGCCTACAGGTTTTCCACTTGGTTTTGTTGTGATGTGGGAAATCAGAGGGCTGTTCGGGTCCCTGCAGAATAGATCTGTGCTGTGTGCGTCATACTTGGGTGACGTCAACTTGAACTGCCAGAATAAGATTTGGAGTTAATCCTGTTGATCAGTTGATGTTTTGAGGGATACTTATATGTTTTACCACCTGTGGCAGTCTTCGCTTCAGCTACTGAGTACTGAATCTGTTCAATTAATATTTACCTAATCTGAATCATGCATCCATTTTCACAGCAACAGAGCGAAGACCAATTTTAGTCAGCTTTTCATCATCTCAACCTCTTGAACTCCTGGCAAAGGTACCTATTGAAGAATATATAGAGAGAAGAACATTCAGCACAAGAATTGCTAGCTAAATTTCTGAGAAAACTGGTTGGTGCACATTGAATTTCACTGAAGAACAACCTATAATTTTTTTTCCTGGCCCCTATTTCCCAGCCTCTCAGCTCGTATTTACCTGTATTTACAACTCCTGACTTAACATGAGCTATAGATTAGCTAGTTAATACATCACATGTCATTTTACATAACAGTACAACATCGGTGTTCAAAACTTATCTGGAAAATATTATTGATATCTTCAATACGCTGGGCGCTAACTAGTTTTCTCCGTAATTCAGCTAGCAATTCTCATGCTGTGTTCAAAAAGATGTTTACAGTGACTAGTGAGGTTCAGATTTAAAACAAATGAACTATAATAAAGGTGTCCAGTGTCTTTGATGATAACCACCCTTATCTTATAAGATGATCATCAAAATTCCCAGTAACTTAGTTAAGTTGAATTGAAGACAGGATCAGGTGAGTTCCTCCTTTTGCACCCTCTAAAAACTGGAGAAATTGATAAAATAAAGACATGAAAGGAAAGAACACACTATTCTCAGCTTGAAACGCACATCAATGCATTGCAATGCTTTTTTGCACAAAACATTAGCAAGTTTCACTTGACCTCACTGTATGACTGCCATAAGGCTAGACTGAATTTTGGACTGATCCATCATTAGGTAGGGCACAGTGGTGACTGCTCACCCACACTGGCCTGACTGGCGACCGCCCACGCTGACTGCTGACTGTCCCGCCTCCCCAGTTGTCTCAGAGGAGCCCGGTCCAGCACTAGCAGAGACCACTGCCGCCATGAGTGACAGCACGGCCTGACCGCTCACCCACTCCCCCTGCCACAGAGGACCCCGGTCCAGCCCCTGCCGGCACCATGAGTGACACGGACAGCTCGGCCCTCCAGCTGGTGGGCATGTTCGCGCGCCGCGCCGCCGCTATCATCGGCGTGTACGCTGTCGGCTACTTGGGCTTTTCGCCAGCCTGGCTGGTAGGTGGCGTCATCCTGTCGGTGATGAGAGAGAAGTGGCGGCGCGAGAAGGCCACCAGCCGCGAGCTGAACCGCGCCATGGCGCTCAGCAGCGAGCACCTGGCGCTGGCCAAACTGCAGGACCTGCCATCCTGGGTGAGCAGCGCGTTATTCGTCGGCATGCATTGGTGTGATATGTCTTATCACCCAGTGTTTTCATTCACGGAAGCATGCGGAGCCTGGGTCCAACCGTCCAACCTCAAATTCGTTACCAATTTATTATAAAGGCATCTCTCAACCCCATCTTGTTTGGTTAAACTTTGCTTATCTATACAGCATGACTAAAACATGCGGGATATCGACGTTAGCTGTAACTTGAGATAAATGACCGATAAAGTGTATTAGTTGCACCATTCCTAATCTTTTCTGTAATATTTGGTATGTCCATTGACTCGGCGCGTTTGGCGATGCACCGCTGACCGATATCCTCGCCCCTGAGAGGACTGTGTCGGTCCGTTCCGGGCGTCGTTTTTACGTCCTGTCTGTGCCCCACAGGTGCATTTCCCAGATGTGGAGCGGGCCGAATGGCTCAACAAGGTGGGTGCCGCGCCGGCCGGCCGCCCTCTGTGCCCCTCTGTCTGTTCCACCGACCGGTGTGCTCGAATTTCTATCGATCTGACCAACCGAATGCATTGATATGTCATATTTTGCTGATCCATTCCATCTGTTCCTATTAAGGCTGAAACAGACTCTTTCCGCGTTCAGGAAATCGCATGCGAGAGCCTATTCAAATACATTATAATTCTTCTCGCATCAATCGCTTGCGGGAGGTGCGTGCGATTGATGCGAGTGTGCTTCCATGTATTTGAATAGGCTCTCGCATGCGATTTCCTGACTGCGGAAAGAGTCTGTTTCAGGCTTAAATGAATGTATGTGCCCGGTGCCGTTGTGTGTTTTCTGTATTTTATTCAATCGATATATGACTCATGACGATGACAAGCAAACTTTGGTTTGTTTTTGCCAACACCAAGGTATTACGATGGTATTTCGATGCCAAATACTTCAATACGTGCAGTCAAGGCTGGACTCCTGCAAGTTAACCCTCGCCCTGGCAGGGCATTTTTCATAACACGGCCTGGCAGGGGGGGGGGGGGGTCGATGCGACCCCCCCTCGCAATTGGCTCCTATGGCACCTAGAAACACCAAATTTGGTAGGTAGGTGGGCCCCCCGGAGTAAATGCAAAAATTTCGCTAAAAACAGGTCAAAAGTTTTTCGCTTATAACTTTTGATCTAATTAAGATAGAGCAAAAAGAAAAGCACCAGTGAACACAGCACGTCAAGGCGCGTCGAATGATATCCTTTTTAGCTTGCTTAAGTGTACTTTAAGTTTTTCTTAAATTTTAAGTAAACTTAAATTATTAAATTAAGTTAAAGTTAACCAAATTGCATCATATCGCATATCATTCGATTCGGCTGATCACCAGGAACACAATGATACCATTTTTTAAGCTCTAGCGTCATTATGTGCCAAGTTATTGGCAAAAACGTCATTTGACCTCAGTTGACCTCATTTGACCTGACCCATGGATAAGTACACCAAACAAAGAAGCACCAAGTGACCTGCTGTTAAGTACTGTGGTTTCAAAGCACAAAAGTGATAGAACGAAGCGGATATCTCCAGTATTTTCCGAATTTAGTATTTTCCCATAGGCTTAACATTACGACGTAATGAGCTCTAACTGACCTCAGGTCAGTGACCTCAAAAAACCCGAACTATATGTTATACAACTCGGTGAACTTAGCACATCCTGAAAGTTTGAAGGAAATCAGTGCAAAACTGTGAGTTGGACAGTAGAGTGTATCGATTTGAGGGTTTTTATTCCAGATTGAGAGGAAACTGTCAGATAAAGTGGCGCTATATATTTGTAAGTAAGAAAAACACAAAATCGATGTCCTGCGGTCAGTATTCTCTGGTCCGCGCCCACTTCTTTGAGACCATCTCGCCGTAACACGGGCCCCTATGGGATAACCTACTAGCGACATCTAGAATTGTAGGTGGCGCTAGCGTCGGCATGGCGTTTTAACACAGTTTGTGGTGTCTGATGCTGATCTTACTCACTCAATAGCGTTTGTTTTCCTTAATTGCCCATAATAATTTGTTTCAGACGTCTAGTTTAACAACTTCAAACGACAGTTAAGAGGTTCCTTTGACATACTTCATAGTACAAAATAACAAAACATACAGGGAGTGTGGAGTTTTAGCTACACATGTGCCTATTTTGCCCTAGTTTTGCTCTCGGCTCTCGGCCTAGGCCCTGTTCTGTCTGGGGCAGATCGAAACCTATCTTATACCTTGGTGTGTATAGGAGAGCGTTACATGCGTTGGAAGGCTTGAATGGACTTTGAATGCCCATATCTGTATCATTATCATTAACAGTATCAAACCGCATCTATGCACTTTTCTCCTACGCTATGTTTTCGTGCTGTTCTCATGTCTCCTGTTCTATGATCACTGTATGTTTGTCTGGGTCACAAATGGCCATTGCTTTTGAGCAAAGTAATAGAAATACCCTAAAAACTAAAGTGCATTGCGTACACCAGTGCCTATCGCGCACCAGCCCAGTTCACCGTCAGTTAGCAAAGAGCTCTTCATTTAGTGCCTGTGACGCTTGAAACGGCTGAGCGGCAACAGAGGCAAAGTGTGTACGGCACATGAGTCAAATAATAGGATTCTGGATTATGTATGAAAGCAATGGTGAAAGGTATTTTATTAACTCGGTTGGCGCGGCGGAGAAGGACCGACGTAAAAGTCGGTCTCGTCATTGGCCTCGGCAAGTGCGCCGAGCAGGGCCCGAACGTGAGCTAGCTACAGCAGGGGTCATATCACGGACTGGTTGACAGTCAATCTGTGCCGGTGACCGGGCTCTTGCATGTGATCCTGTATTAAAACACCGCAGACTCACGAGTCCTGGTTGACTGTAGCCGTCTCTCGCATGCGGCAGTTCAGTTTGGTAGTATGCCTATTCCACCTACATATACGCACCTGTTCGGGTACAGATAGTGCGCTGTTCCGGTACAGACGGCACCCGTTCCGTGCTTCCATCCTCAGGATACTGAAATCCTTCTCCTCCACACCGAAACCCCCTCCGGGCTGGACAGGCAACTTTATCTCATGCGGGCTGCTCCCTTGGAGCGGCACCGCGGCTCCCGAGGGAGCACACCCCGTAGCCGGGTGCAGTGAGTACTTTGGGGATGGGTGGCCTGTCCTCTGGACGGGATCAGCCCCGGTGACTCACTAGGGTGCCTGCCCAGACCAATGTCACCCCCTAATTCCTATCATCCTTCCGGCTCTGAAATGGTCTTGTCGGACCGAAAGAGCCTAACCCAACAAAACAAACAAACAAACAAATACAGACGGCATCACTCGCTGGCCGCGCGCCGGGTCTCGAGGGGACGGTGATGGCACTGTCGCCGCCGTTGGTCGAGGTGACACGGGCGGCGGGAAAGTCACCGGACCTGCACCATAGTGCGGTGAATGGTTGGGCCTTCGCCGGCAGTAACTGTTTATTTGGGATGCGAGCTGTATGTAATACTACCAGCGCACGATATTCACCGTCTTCGCCACGCGGTAAGAGAGGAGCCCACGGCAGTCCGGTAGGATAGGCTGAGTTGTGACAAGTTCTACCCCGAAAGTGACCACCTTTGGGGCACTGAGGGACCGCTTGACGTGGCCACTCGTCGGTTTCGGTTTCACCTACTGGCTACTAATTTTAACAGCAGACCCGCAGACGTTCGGAGACTGCTAAGTGGGTTTGTTCGTTATGCTTGGTTAGAGCCTATGGGTTAGTCTATTCGAGAACATTTTAGGGCCGTGGTATGATGAATAAATGAATTAGCGGGGAGAGGGCAATATCAGAATAAAGTCGACCATCGGGCACCGGCTGTGTGCCGCAGCGTCTCAGTCAAAAGACACCATAATGGCTGCAATGCTCTGAGTCAGGCTATGCTGGGATGATAAAACACGAGAGGGAGAGGGCAATGTAAGGTTCAATCAACCAAGGCTCAATCGGTTCAATCAACCACTGACGACTAGTCCGCTGTACCGCTGGGACGGCATTTCAGCGCCGGGACATACTGTTTTGACGGCAAGTCACAACGGGACAGACTAGAGCATACATTTGTTGAAATGGTCACTCCGAAGCTGACTTCCATCGGTTGTCTGCTAGGCGGACCGTTAATCCGGAACACGGAGAAGTGCAAGCAAGGATGATGGTGAATTAGTCGTAAGATAGGACAGAAAGCAAACTGGCTCACCAGTCACCAGTTAGGTACCGAGCACCTGACCAGTGTCCACTTTGACATTTGGTCGCTGGTAACACAATTGTACCGGCTATATGTAGTCCTTAAAGTACGATGCGGCAGGAGCTCAGTTGCTAATAGTTGCCTAATCTGCTACTTACTTGTTCGTGTTTAAGAGCTCAGGGCGCTAATGCATAGGTAATGTGTATTGTGTTATGTGTGATAATGTGTGGAAAGCTATGCGTTTTCAATGGAAAAACACTTGCAATGGAAAAAACAGCAATATACCAACACCAATGATGTAAAAAAATGTGCATAATTTAATCCGAATGGCTTTTTTACGTTTACAGATGTCTGAAATTAAGTTAGAGACATTCTGAAATCACTGCCATCTAGCGTCAAAAGGGGAGAACTAAAGCTTCATCCTACGTCCGCAGCAGTTGGAATGGGGTTTACAAAAACCGTTCCGGGTCAGTCAATTTTGAGTTTTGAGGAAAATGTTGCGCCCAGATATTATTTTTATGTCCTTGCGCCAAATAATATGCCAGTTTCCTTGCAAATTTCGGTTATCGATACACTCTATTGGACAGGTGCAAAAAGAAAATTGAAATTTGACCATGACCTTGTACCGGTTTTTCTGGCCTGGTGACCTGACCCAAGGTCACCCGGACCTGAAATTTTCAGGTCATATGTAAAAAGGTTGCCCCATAGGCTGTGCCAAATTTGGCGGCGCTGCGCGCCGCCGTTTTTACGCTATCTTCGAAAAACCTTAGGGGGGGGGGGGTCGCATCGACCCCCCCCCTGCCAGGGCGAGGGTTAACATACCTATCACTTTGTGTTCTTCTAACCCATTAATGCAATTAACATAGAGCCAGTGGCGGCGTAAGGTATTCTAGGATAGGGGTGCAAACGATATTGAAGCGCCCCTTCCCGCTGGGCGCCCCTTACCATGTACATACACGGTTGTCGTAACACAAACAGTGAAGAGACGTTTGACAATGTGTTGTACCTGTTAACACGTTCAGAATTACAGTTTTTATGTAACGAGAAATAGTTAGGTACATTCCATAGCGTAAATGTAACCTTCATAATGTTCGTTTAGAAACAACCTCATCACCATATCATAAGATTCTCCGAATAAGGCATATCAAAAAGAGTTCCACGGTTCCAATACTTCGTGTGGACTAGTGAATAAGGCGCCGAATCCATAACACTAACTCGGTGACAGAGAATTGCAGGCCGGTAAGCAGCATGCCGCCTGGGCTGCACTGCATATTGCATTCAGTGGTGTCATCAGTATCACGTCAGCCCTTCGGAACCCGAGACTCTATGCTGAGACTAAGAGACTTCTAGTTACTGCTAACGTGAAGTGAATAGGCTGAGGTTTATGGTGGGGTAGCAGGTTTGTGACGCCCCAGTGAAATAAATGCCGCCTTTCAACACCGATAGGAGCCCGAAATGAATGAATACAGGCAATCAACGCTGGTAGGTGTCCCAGTGAAATGAATGCATCTATTACCACCCAGAGTGCCCCCATTTCAAACTAATACGACGGCGACGCCTCCACACCGATAGGGGCCCATCCCAGGGGAACGGAATAAATGCCGCCCCCTCATTGCCGGGCCCCCTAGGAGAATGAATGTTACACATCAACACCAATATGCCTCCCAGTGAAATGAATTATGAATGACGCCTTTCGACGCCGGTAGGCGCCCCAGACACCAGTGGATTTACTGCCGCCTTAAAACACCGATAGGCACCTCAGTGAAGCGAATGCCGGCCTATACCACCGATAAGCGCCCCGGATGAATAAATACCACCCGTCAACGCCGATAGGCGCCTCAGTGAAATTAATGCCGCCCCAATCTCCGATAGGCGCCCCAGGTGATACATGTCGCCCATCAACACCAACGGGCGCCCCATTGAAATGAATACCGCCCTTCAACACTGGCAGACGCCCCAGTGGAATGAATGCCGCCCCACAATGCCGATGGCCGTCCCTGCACTGGAAAATCAGTTTCGCCCCTATACAGGCGCCCATAGAAGTTGCAGAGTGCTATTCCTGGTCATAATCTTCTCCCCAGTTAAAAAAAAAACGCAAAATACGCCCTAGCACTAGGGATGTAACCGCCCATACGGACAGTGCAATTTTACAGGCCCCAATCTCGGACCTCGCGCCCCTCTTTCGCATGCAGGCGCCCCTCTTCCGCATGGCGCGCTTCTCGAGTGGCTGCGCCCTCCTAACCTTTATCGCCTGGCAAGATTATATTCGACAGGGTCGGCAGCATCTGCCTTTGCTTCAGATAAGGATGCCCTCCACTCTTCAGCATATTAAAAGATACTTTTCCCACGTCATTGCCACCCTCTTCGTGTCACAAGTCACTGCCTTTATCAGTTGCGGTGTCGCACTGCTCAGCTTTATGGCTGCCGCACCTCTTCCTCCTCTACAGATTTTCGAGGCGCCCCTTTCCATAGCTTTAGGGTGCAGCTGCCCCCCTTGCCCCCCTGCTTCCGCCGCCACTGCATAGAGCGCGCAGCGGCGTCACATTTTGTTGTCACTTTCAGATGCTGAAGCAGATGTGGCCATTTGTGGGCGACTATGTGAAGGATCTGCTGAAGACACAGTGGGAAGAGAGCCTGCGCAACACCATGGCCGGCTACAAACTCAACAACTTCAAATTCGATAAAATATTCCTTGGTGATATAGTAAGTTCGGTAATTCTGCGGGGCCTGACCTACACAATGGACTTTCCCTAACGATTACACTAAGGCACGTTATATCCCACGATTCAAATAAAGTTAACGTGTCCCTGGGATAATTATGCGTGACCAACAGTAGACTTCTGATGAGTTCCTGTCGGTAACCTGCCACCGACACAGGCGTTGAGTTGGCAAACGGTAGGCGTGTCGTGATCTCACTAGTGGTTGTTCCCTTTGTGACTGTGACGCCCACTGTGGAATGACAATAAGCGTGATAATACCGATAAGAATAGCCCTTGCCCTTTTAAAAGAATAACGCCGCTCGTTTCGGCAGGCGCCGCGGGTCGGTGGCGTCAAGGTGTACACGGACAACATTCAGCGCTCGGAGATCATCATGGACGTGGAGATCTTCTACGCTGGCGACTGCAGGATCGAGTGCAGCTTCAGCAGGATGTCGGCCGGCATCAAGGACTTCACGGTCAGTGGCTGGGGAGGTCGGGGGACGGGGATCCACACAGTTGGGATACCTCAGCGATTTTTCATGTCTTAACTCTTGTGCTTATCGCATGTCTTGATAAATAGTTTCTTCCCTTCTCTGACTGGTCTGATTCATTAACCCGCGCCCGGCTGGGGGTCCTGGATTTCCACGCCCTGCTGGGGGGCCCCCCCCCCCAGCAGGGGGGGGGGCCAGCAGGGTGTTTGAACACCCCCCTTCTAACTCGGCTCCTGGGCCACGTAGCGATACGCGGAAGGCGGCGTTCGAAAGAGCGTCAAAAATAGTGACGAAATCACTTCGGTCAATTTTTTGGTCAGGTCAAAGGTCAGGTCACCAGAGGTCATTGAAGGCAAAATTTCGCCGATTTCCAGGTCGAATGTCGACAATTTCCAAGAAGTCAACGCATAACTCGGAAACCAATAGAGCTACAGCGCCGCGGAAAAGCGCATTCGATAGCCCTATTAACGCCCTTTCTGAGTAATTGTCTCAGATTTGACCTAACGTCAACGGTTTTGCCTGCAGGGGGCAAAAACTGCAAAAATAGCCGATTTTTTCGGAAACAGTTTTTCTGCAATAACTTTTGACCCAAGCCTTGTACGAGCTTACTTTTACCGGCATCGTGTTCCTCTCGTCAAGACGCATCGAATGAACTATAACTTGACCTTGAAAGGTCAACTTGAAAATTTGACCTTAGGTCAAGGTCATGACCTGACCGGATAGGGTCATGTTGCATATCAGTCGATCCGTATTGTCGAGCTGAACACATCTAAGGCGTTTTCATCGCTCTAGCATGCCTGTATCAAAAGTTATTTACGAAAAACTGTTAGATACCATTCGTGACCTAAGATGACCTCAGGGCATAAACAGGGGTCACGGACACCATTTTCATGTTCAGTGTGTCTAAACCACTTGTAATTCAGTGTTTGGGAGTGTTTATAATGTCTTTCGTCCAAAAGAGGCGCATTTCAATTTTCTCCCATTGACTTATAATGGGGAGGTCGCAAAATTGACCTGACCTTAGGTCATCGATATCAAAATTCTGAGATATACATTTTGTACATGCTATTGCTGTTAGCAATCGCTGATAGTTTCAAAGTGATCGGTCACTCGGTGTAGCTATGACAGACATTGAAACTTTTTATGAGGTGAGGTCACTTCAAGTGACCTGATGACCTGACCTTGAATGACCTTGGTCTGGAATTTTCACAACATGCGTAGAATTGATGTATGATAACGTTTTTGAGATATTCGCGAAAAACCACAAGGGGGGGGGGTGTTCAAACACCCCCCCCCCCCCCCCCAGCAGGGCGCGGGTTAAAGCAATGCTTTCAAATGAGAAAGTGCAGTAGTTTGATGGAATGTTATTGGTTGCGGAAAATGTTCACAACGTTACAACATGATGACCAGGCTTTTTCGACTTGACGGCTGACTCGAGAGCCGCTGCCCTCCGATTTTATCGTACATGACGCTGTACTCGGCTGCTAACTGACCCGCGTGCCTGCCGCCGACTGACCGGCGCCGTGCTCCCCAGCTGCACGGCGTGATGCGTATCGTCTACAAGCCACTCATCAAGACGATGCCGCTCATCGGCGGCATGCAGGTGTTCTTCCTCAACAACCCGGACATCGACTTCAACATGCTCGGCGTGGCAGACGTGCTCGACATGCCCGGCCTCAGGTAATGGGACACCTCAATGGCACGCAAAACTGCGGCTCATGGATGTGGACAGTCTGAGATAGTAATAATGTCGGGCTCTTAGATATCATACCATAAGTCGATCAATGATACATTAGGATTGTTCCGTTGAAGTCCCTTCAATATTTCATGATTCAGAGATATCATGTGCTTCACTTTTATGGTATCACTTTGTTTTGGCAAATTATCTTACCTTTTCAAAATCTCTTTCATCTTCCGTTTTCCATGTTTCTACTTGTGACTGTGTGCTGGTATGCTGTTCCGTAGCCTGCACTGGGGGCTGTGTGATGCGTATGAAAATCACGCTCCTGCCTCATCCCGGCAGCGGAATCATCCGTAACGTCATTCTGGACACGATCGGCTCGATGATGGTGCTTCCCAACAAGTGGCCGATCGTGCTGTCCGACCAGATCCCCACCAAGCTGGTGACCGCCTCGCAGCCCAAGGTCGGTGGTTGTGCCGCCGCGTCGGGTAGCGACAGGCTAGCTCGGTGTCGTAACCGGCCACGTCATACAGTACTGAAGTGCTAGTGATACTGATGTTAGCCTCGTTTGCTGAGTCATTGTAGCGTTGTGAGAGTAATTACGAGGATGGTGATAATTTATTAGGGCTTCCTGTACGCAGTTGCCATTGGAGCGCTGGTGGAGTGTAGATTACTGGAGGCGTAGGGCGTACATAATTGCTGTTCTCTTAGCGCACAGTGAAGAGGCCGGTCCCGCCCATGGCCGGCTGACCAATAGAGGACTGCTTGTGCCCCACTGACCTGTAGAGGGCGACTATATCCAACTGACGTCATACTGACACTGTCTGTATCCTACAGGGTGTGCTGCGCGTCCGCCTGATCGAGGGCCGAGATCTGATGAAGAAGGACCGGAACGTGTTCGGTCAGGGCCGCTCCGACCCGTACGCGCTCATCTACATCGGCTCCAAGCAGTTCAAGACAAAGTACATCCAAGACACCGTGGATCCTGTCTGGAACTACGTCTGCGAGGTAAGAACCGAGAGGCGGATGGGAAGAGCAGTAATGAATGGAAGGAGAAAGTCAGTCTCGCTAAGCAACACAGAGAAAATGTCGCATATGCTCAGTCTTGCGGGATGTGCCACCGTGTCATGTGTGCAATTTAGCTTACAGGACAGACGGGGATGGATTCTCGTTGCTAGACTCGGAACGCCAATCAGACTATGGTACGACCGCCTCGTATTCCGGCCCCATCCACCGTCGTTCCCGCCTGCGTGACTGCTCTGTTGAATAGTCTGATATGAGGGCGTATGGTGCTATCAGTGCTGTCAGGGCACACGTAGATAGCAGATGATTTACAGCTTCCGCGTTGTCTTAATCTGTCTTTTTGGCTTACAATATTCAGGCGATCTACTGTTACACGCGTGGGCAGGGCGGTTCCCTTGTCTTAACTGATCAGACCCCGGTGCTGATAAAGACTGCTATCAGTGTAATGGTGTTGTGTTGTTACCTCCTAGTTTATCGTAGTATCCTGCGTTATAACTTTTTAACCCAATATGTAATTAGTGGAAGTGGACCAATGGAGGATCATTTTAGGTTTACGTTTGGTCGGTCTTCATTGCGGGGCATGAGACCGAAACTAATTCAAGGCAGGGTGTATCATGGGGGGGGGGGGGGGCACGTTGCGTTGTGCTCCAAAGGCGCTGGTCGTTCCCTAGTTATGCTATAAGTTACTTACCTTTAAGGGTGTTGCGTGGATTTTAACAAGCAAAAGGAACAGTACCCCGGCTCCGCTTCTCCCTGAACAAACGTAGCCTACTCGTAGCGTAGTGTCGCCATTTTTCGCTGGCAATGTTTTGTTAAAGCCCTTTTTGCGTTTTGCATACTGTTTGTGCGCCCAACCGAGCCAATCAAATGCTGCTTGGCCGCCGTCTCTGTAATGTCTCGGCGTGCCGTGTGTGCCGTGTGTGCGCCGTTCCCGCGGTCCCGTCGGCCGCCGAGAGCCCAGCTAACCGACCGCGGCCCGGTGCGCCCAGTTCCCTCTGCTGGAGGCAGTCGGGCCGCGCCTCTGGCTCGAGTTGTTTGATGCCGATGACCCGGGAAACAAGGACGACAAGCTGGGCAGGTGAGACGGTACCCAGCCGCCCGCTGTCGCCGCTAGCTGCTGCTGCTGAACTGCGCCTGGCTGATACTAACTCGCTCCTCCCTCCCGTCACCTCTGGGGGCCGCGCTGTGGATGGGGGCGGTCGCAGAGGGGCGCCGCCGCCTGTCGGTGGAGGTTTTCTCTGCTGTAAAAACGCTAACTCGCTCACCAGAGATGACCGGTTGCTGTATAGTGTACATAGTCGCACACTCATGCCAAGCGTCGTAGGCTGGGGAGTTTGGGCGGTCAGTGGACTGGTGGACCACAGAGGTGGATGGGTCACTCGGCACAATGCTGAATGCTCTCCCAGCTGCTAACACGCGCGGGAGATAACCAATTGTTACCTGGACGAAGATTTAACGGAGCTAACAAGTACGGGGACTTTTAGGTGCTGGTAAAATGCAGGCGGGAGAATCCTCCCAATCGTATAAGAAAACCATTGATGCCCGAGCCCAATGTTTCGTCTTTGCGGTTTTGTGTCCGAGGCCGTACATGTTCGAGGTCGTGTCTACCTCCGTGTCTGTGTCAGTGTCCAACTTCGTGTCCGTGTCCGAGTCTTTATCTTGCGCCCGATGCCGTGTCAATCTGGCCCGTGTCCGTGCCCTAGCCCGTGTCTCCCAAGACCGTGCCTTTCTTCCTGTCCGTGCCATTGCCTTCCTCCTGTCCGTTCCCGTGCCCTTCTCTCTGTCCGTGCCCATCCATCTGACGCCGGTGTGTATGTGCCGGACACAGAGTCCTCTGGAAGAGGTATTCGGAATGCGTTTGATCGTGGATGTCAACGATTACGACATGGGGCCCGGAGACGATGATGACCTGGGAAGGTAACGTTAGGCCTGTTCAGACCGGCATGGCGGCTGCTCCGCGCAAGGACTGATTGCGGGAGCTCGGTTTTGCTGTCTGGATAGTACGGGGGCTCGATTTGACTGTCACGACAGAATTATAGCGCACGAGGTGTTGGCTGCTTCTAATCGGGTCTGTTTTATTGGAGTGTATCATTACTTTGACATAATGGGTTTCGGTTTTTCTCTAGGTTTTCGGTGTTTATTCCTGTTTATTTGGAGGAGAACGTTCTTTGATGTTCTGATGTGGTTTGTACTCGAAGTGAAGTGTTTTACAGTTTCGAAGCCAGGTTACTTTTTCATCAGTATTTTGTCGTTTGGTTTTCATGAGAAGAGATTGAGGTTTTGCTCTTTCTTTCGTTTTTTTTGTGACCTGAGTACGAGTATATGCTTCCACGTGTAGTGTGATGCGGTGGAGCGTGAGAGTGACGTGTGGTGCGGTGTGGGCTACCAAACTCTGATGGGCTTACGATTGAAAATGGGCGGGGAACGTCAGAATGGTGTTACCGGACCCATCATTCGGTTTTATTTGCACGCTTAGTTTGATATTTGTTTTATTTTGTGGCTGTTTCCGGGACACTTTCATATTCCTCCTTTCCTGTGACTGTTTTCTTTAGGCATATGTGTCAGTCGTTCCCCATGCCTTAGCCATGGGTACGGGGATCGGATTGGATCAGGCCACTGTCAGACAAGCCACCTGTGGTCGCCGCTGTGTGTTTGTACACTTGTCTGGCACGGCACAGAATGATTAAAAGGAAAAACCGCAGAGGTGTGCCCCCCCCTCCCCTCCCATCTCCACAGACTCTGGCAACACACGTGAATAAAGTGCCAACCCCTCAAATCCAACCTTCCTTACAGTGACGGGTAGACAGATGCGCTCGTACGATCAAAGCAGGCAGAGCCCGGTCGACTCTGTGGTGCCCCTCTCTTGCCCAGTGTCCCGCTGTTTGACTGACTGGGGGAGGCTTAAATTGTACAGTCAGCCATCTAGTAGGTGGTCGTAGATCATGGTCACCCTGTCTTATTTAGCAGGTGCTTGATCCTGACGGGCGCTTCTCCGCATCTTTCCTATTATCCGCGCTCGGTGTTTTCCCATTTAACCATGCTCCCGCTCGTAGGTCTCTCTGATGCGGCCCGACGGCCTGCGGGCCCGCATCGACCTCTGGGACTGGGACGCCAGTAGTCTGGACAAGGACGATTTCCTGGGCAGGTAGCGGCAGCGGCCAGCGGGGCTCCCGCACGAGTGGCTCGCTTCTGTCTGTGTCTGTGTGGCCGTCCGACCCCGCCCCGCCACGCGGGGGCGTAGCTCCGTCTGTCCTGCGTAGAGTCTGTCCGGGTGACCGAGAGACCGGTCTCACCCGGCGCCCTGTTGTGCTGTGGAGTGACCCGACTGCACATCCCTTAACCCTCACCCTAACAGGAATGGCCGCACCTGAGTTTACAGGTCATAGAGTCGGCCGTCTTGTTTACGTGTATGTAGCGTGCTATGCGCTGCTGATGCTGGCGCACAAGTGCATTGTAAATAGCTTCATTTGGGTTGTGTTGCGCTCAAGGCAGAATGTAGAGCCGTCTTGGGTTTCGCTTGGGAAATATGTTGAGCTGTGTTTTGAGTACCCAGATGACCTTTGTGTCTTTACCCAAATGGCGATATGGGCATTGAACATCAGCATGTCCCTCAGCAATAACGATTCCTCTGAGTTATCTCGCTATTTGGAGCCACATTCACCTATTGTGTAAAGACGCCGAGCACCTCTGCTATATAATACTCACCACGTCACTGGCCCTGCGCTGCTCACCTAATTTCGCTCTGCTTCAGCCCACCAGCCAGACACGGGCGTTCCTGCCCGACCGTTGTGTCCCTCCTTCCCCTGCTCACCTTTGGCTTCCACTGACCTCACTTCCATCGTCGGGTTGCATGGCTGAACATCAGCTCTGATCTCGGGGATAGCTTAGTGCCAATTAAGCTTCGTAGGTAGTCCCGTGCTGGAACCAGCGCAACTTACGTAGTAAGGTATCGAGTGGGTTTATTTCAAAGTTGAAATTACGTGCTTCTTGCTAGTGCTGCTAAACTCACGTTTAACATGTATGTAACAAAGTTAACTTCTGTTAGGCAATTGTGTAGTGTATGTTTTTTTTTTTTTTGTCTTGTTTTGGGATGCTATTCTATTTTTGTGATCGTAAGTCGTTACTGACCTTACATTGCTCGCTGATATTAAAGCTTACGTCAACACCAGAAACCATACACCGAGGCACTGCAAATGAATACATATGAGCATGATGGGGCGTGAATAACTTTTTTCGTCTTCCCCTATTTATTTTTGGCATGAATTTGGTATTGGTTTTAAACGCGAATAAGTGATTACACCAGTTATTGTCTTAGAAATGGACGTGCCATTCTATTGAACATTTTGGTCGACCGGATACTATCGTTGTTCTTTAGCAAGACCTGCTGATTTAAACCAGTGTCGGCATCTCTTAATATTTCTTGATTTCAAGAACTTTGATAGCTAACATCATTCAGCCTTGCTCAGCAGCATAAGTGATCCGCCTTGTGTCATGCTGATCCCCTCCCCCTCCCTCTGACGGCGTCCTCAGATGTAGCCTGGACGTAGCTGAGGTAGTGGCCGCTGGCTCCCAAGATATCGTGAGTACCCGGGCGGAGCGGTGGATCGGTGGTGGGAGGCTCGTCGGGTGTGGAATCGATGGTAGAGCGGCTAGGGCTAAGGGATAATCCAGAGAGCTTTACGAACGTCATCATAGTTAGGCTGTTTCTAAACCAAAAATGAAGTTAGGTTGAAACTCATATTAACCATGCCATCATTTTATTTTCTAAATGGGTGTTCCTGTTGGCTGTTGTGTATTTAAGTGTTCTCGGTGGGCTCCTGTGGTCAGAATATGTTCTCCTGTAACCCTAATGTGCTCCCGTGTGTCCACAGTGGGTGCCTCTGGAGCAGGCTCGCAGTGGTCGGATCCACCTGAAACTGGACTGGTTGAATCTCTCCACTGACGTGGCCAACATCAAAGAGGTAGGCGCCAGCGGGGCTCCTGGCTGGTGTTCTACCCCGGTCATAATAAGAAGGGTGAACCCTGACGAAGGCAGAGGTGCAGAACACTTCAAAATCAAAGATGGGTCTAGAGGCGTCAGAGGAGCTACTGTTTTACTCCGGATAGTGAGCTAAGTCTGTCAAGAACATAGCCAGATAGGACTGTAGTGTCTCCTTTAAGTTGATGATAGTTGAATACGGCTTTATCGAGCTGATGACTGGTGACAGTATCGTAATCACAGTGACTGTTGTGAGTTGCGCCGCACTGCCGTTAGTTGTTCCCGTTGTGTGTTCGTGCTGTGATGTGAGTATCGTCTTATATTTCAGCAACTGAATGAGATCGAGGATCTGTCGGCGTTCGACCACTCCGGTCTGCACTCGGCAGTGCTCACCGTCTTCATCGACTCGGCCACCAAACTGCCGGTGAGAGAACGTACATACCAGTCTTGGTGTGACATGCGGAGTCCAGAGACGAGATATCGGGGCACCTTGGGCTCCTTGACAAGGATATCATTCTGCTTATTAGTGGATTCGCCAGTCGCTAACGCCGCCACAGATGAAGGGTCAGAGATACGGAACTCCCAAACAGAATGTAGAAGCTCGATCAGAGGGCAGGTAGATGCCTGGACACGGGAGATAAGTTGTCGTAGCCACTAGCCATTGTCCCTTCTCGCCGTTGCGATGGGCTGCTGAAACTGACCTGCTATCACCCGTCGACAGATGGCGTCTCGGGCGGCGGCCGAGCCCAGTCCTCTGGTGCGGCTGGCTCTGGGTAACACCAAGGAGGCCACCGGCTGCAAGTACCGCACGCTGGACCCAGTCTGGGAGGAGGGCTTCAGCTTCCCCGTCTCCAACCCGCTCACACAGTCGCTGACCCTGGAGGTAAGGGGTGTCCCAGGGCCCTGGGAGGGGGCTGGAGGGTTGGATTATAAACGAAGGAGGGTGAGCTCACGTGGACTGTGCCATCTTTTCTCACCCGTTCCGTCGTTTCCATCCTCAGGATATACAAATCCTTCTCCACGCCGCTGAATCTCTTCTCCGGGCTGGACAGGCAACTTTATCTCATGCTGGCTGCTCCCTCATGGAGCGGCACCGCTGCTCCCGAGGGAGCACACCCGTAGCCGGGTGCAGTGAGTGCTTGGGGGGCTGGTCGGCCTGTCCATTCGGACGGGCTTAGCCCCGGTGACTCACTAGGGTGCCTGCCCATACCAATGTCTCCCCCTATATCCTATCATCCTCCCGGTTCTGAAATGGTCTTGTCAGACCGAAAGGGCCTAACCCAACACAACAAGTAAATCAATAAATGTCAAACTCCAAAGGCCGTTCTACACAGGTGCCATGTGAACACAATAATTGTCTCTCCCTGGTGTCGGGCTTGGAAGCAGGACGAAGAGTTAAACACTGAACAGACGAATGGGCTCTGAGCTTAGTCGGACACCCATTCGCGATTTCTGGACACAAATTATAATTGGACGTACTTTTGATCGCAAGTAACCAAGATGGTATCGCTGTAATGAGTAGAAATGTGTTTACTTTGCAATTTCTTTGCCGCTTACGAACTCAAAACTATGAAAAATAGCCGTAGTGGAGTTGGTACATTTCACGAGATGTTTCCAAGACCCAAGGAAACAGACATTTATGAACAAACAGAAAGAGGCATTATGACTTCAACGGTCTAACATAGGCCACCCGCCTTGTCAAAATGTGATTGATGCACGGGCACTGTAACTAACGGTATGCATGCTGATATTATACATATAATTCGTCTGAAGGAAAGAACCAACGAGCGACCGGCGACTAACGTCTTCTGTTAGAAATCGGATCAGCAGGGCTGTGCTGGGAATAGTGGGAGAGCGGTTTCTGTTCCATACATCTTTACTTAATTCTAGCTACCCGCTGTGGATACAGTTAAAGATGGATGAGTTGGGGTTTAGTTCGTGGAACAATAGCGTTGAACGTTATTGGGCCTCTGTGGGCCGGCTGGTGATTTATCCCCCTCATCCATCAGCGGGTAACGTAAATGTCTGTTTCCCAGGGGAACAATTAAGTATCACGATGCCAGGTACGGTTCTTCTAATGCATTTTTCTTGTGTGATGGAGCGCTTTCCAATATCCTAATGCGATTTATGCGTCGTTTTGTGGTTTCTTTAATTCTTTAATTGATTTCTTACATGCCTGGAGCGTTCCTGGGGATTGCGTGCTAACTGTGTATCACAACTGCTGGCAATTCCTGGGGAAAACATTAGCGTTGGTCGGTCACGTGAGGTCAAGTTTCTGTGACAGGCCAATAAATACATTCGCGAGTCAAGCGGTAGCCGCTGAGTAGCTCCCCCCTCCCCTCCCCTCCCCACACTCCTCGAGGACTACCGCGCTACCATTAGAGCGTTTGCTGAATGATGTCGCAGTATATATTTGGTTTTCAACGGAATCAAACATTGATTGATGTTTATTTTTATTAACTCTGTCGCCAAAGGGAAAGCCTTATCACAAAGGCGTCAATTGCAAAAATGCCAACGGTGTCTCGAATAACAATAAGCATGGACGGTGTGCGTATGCTGGTATTCCGACTTTTTTTACTAATCTACCTTTACGCTTCTGCGTCCCTAAAAATTCACAAGGCCTGGATTTCGTATTGTTTGCGTCAAACAAAGCGACTCTTTGGGGACGGCGCTCGTCGTCTGTTTACCCTGATCTCGGTCTCCGTTCCTGTTGCCATTCCTCTCCGACTGTCTCGGGACCCTATCGGGCGCCGAGCGTGGGCGAGCCGCCGGTAACCGCCCTGTTTGGCCGCCCTCCGAGGGCGTTGGCGTGCAGGGAGCCGGGGCTCCGCTGCGCCAGCCGACAAACAATCGCCGTAATGGCGGATGGTCGGGCGCGCGCTAACAGGCCCGGCCGCGTGACATTTCGGCCAGACAACTGAGTTGTCTGTGGTCCATGTTGTCTGTACGAACTACGAGTTAGTGGGATAGGTGCTATATTTGGTCCGGTTTGCCCGTACCGGAACGCTGGGACAGTTAATATTTTATGCAATTTCGCAAGCTGTACCAAGTTTCATGGGTCATATACCCTGCGCAATTTTTTAAAAGCGTAGGTGAATGGGAATTGGTTTTTCTCGTGTTATGTCTAGACGTCTGTCTGATTGTGGAGCTTTTTATGAAAACTGGTCACTTGGTGTACTACCCCCCAATCGCAGTGTCTTGATGTGTTTTGTGGTCTACTTTTGACGCTATGTCTCGTCTGTTTTAGCTCGAGGTTTGTTTCCAGTTTCTAACCACCGCGCCGTCTCCCCTCTACCCAGATCGTGGACAGCACCACGGACCGCCGTCTGGGACATCTACAGCTCGAGGTCAAGGACCTGCTGCGGGAGCAAGACCTGCAGGTGCACGAGACGCCCTACCAGCTGAAGGACTCGGGACCCGTCTCCAAGATCATCCTGTCGGCTCAGCTCAGGGTAGGTGGGGCTCGCTGGCCGCTGCTGCCTCTGATGGGGCACTGTTGCTGCTGCTGAGTGTGTTTTCCGGCTGCGTAGCGTGCTGTTAGTCGTAATCCTGGATATTCCTGGTCTCAAGGGTGTGTACCGAGATACAAAGAGACTACACAACACCCGTGATCGGGGAAAATGCAGTCGCAGTGGGCAGATGTTTAGAAATGAGTGTGTCACGATACGGGACATTGGTTGCTATTTGAGGCTTGAAGATTCACGAAATGACCAGCTCTGAAATACGATTTACTTAGAGGAATGCATTCGTAGATGCACGAATTTTCCTCCACTCCCCTACGTTGACGTTAAAAAAGTTCTTACGAGCATTGGGATGTTTTCCAAAACGTTTCAAAAATGGAAAAATAGTAATTGTACTTTTGTTTTTTGATGCTACTGTTCGGTGTCTTCACTGATCCATGATCCATACCGATCTATTTTCTATCTGTTCGGCGATTCGAACTGCGTTGTTCAGTTAAATGCAGGGGGTGTTGTTATATGTTGAGATGCCGGCTGCAAAAGCTAGACTCCCAGGCCTACGTTGTCCCCGCCGGTCAGTCGCTAAGCGCTGACCCGGTCCCACGATCCCGCGCCGCTCCCCTCACGGTCACTCCCGGCTCCACGGACCAGTATCCCCTGGTACTGTCTGTCTCCGACCGTCTCCAGCCCCCGGTGATGAGCACAGCACCGACCCCACCAATCACACACCGTGTGTTCCCACCACCGGTGTCGGAGACAGGCGGGACCAATCAGCGATATCTCGGCAGTGGGAACACAAAGAACCCGGTGCGACCCGACCGGCCCGACTTCGTGTGACGCCTGCTAATGAACAGACCGCCAGCACCAGCTCTGTTCCCATAGAGAGCTGGCGTGCTGACTGCGGCTCTTTGAGAGCTTACACGAATTAACATGTTTGCTATAGACTGACCGCTCTACAGCGGTGTCTTTGGAGCGATAGCGAGTATATAGACCGAGTATAAACTTCGCTCTAAGGTAGACATGAAGTACAAACAAATGACTACACAGTAAATAGCAGACGTTCCTTCACTCCTGCCTCTATTCATGTACATATGTCTCCGGCTGCGTAACTAACGTGCTCTTCTTTTGACTCGTGTGTCTACAGATTCTGACCCACGACAAGGTGGCGGCCAAGACCGACCCGGATGCCAGCCTGCCGTCAGCCGTGAAGGAGACGCCCCTGGCACCGGCGTCCACCACCACGGCAGGTCAGTAGGGGGGGGGGGGGCTTAGGTACACTGATATTTGACTGTTCGGACGCACACGGGAGCACATGGTGTTACCACACTGATGCATGCTGCGCTTTGGGAAATTTGACTTCGGAAAGCCTTAGTTAATTCTGGCTTTCACCCGAAGTACAGGTGTCGCGGGTTTTAGCGGTAGGTTTTGCACCTAGAAAATTTAGTGTAGGTACTTCAGGCTATATCTTCGTCGTCTTAACTCGCGCCCCGTAGGGGGGGGGGGGGCCGAAACGGCCCCCGCTGTCCTTTTCGGTCGATATCTCCTAAACGGCTGGAGATATCGCCACCAAACTTTCAGGACCCCTCCGGGCATCAATTTTACCATTGTGACCAAAAATTTTTCCAGAGGCTATGATAGGTTGGCCACAAATGACGTCAGAGTGACGTCATGTTCTGTCATTTTCGACCGAAAAAAGACCTTCGCGAGAAGACCTGTCAGGACTACAGCTTTGAAGATACAGAAAAATGATCAAGACATAAAAGGTGTAGAATTGACAGGGCTACAAAACTGCTATCTCGAATTTTTGAAATTTGTGAGTTTTGACCCCCAAAAATCAAAAAAGCATTTTTTTGGATATATTCGCCAAAAAATCCAAAAAGTTTTTTGAGTTTCGAAAAAACCGGAATATATGTGATAGTGCCTACCGTCTTCTATCTACATACCAAATTTCAGATCGATACCTCGTTTTTTGGCCAAGTTATAGCGAAAAAAAACTGTTCAAAAATGATGACGTCAAATTTTCAAACTCAATTTTTGGCAATTCTAGAACTCGTAGAGCAAAACGAAGACCACCATTAGACTCCCCGTGACGAGCTGCATCGAATCGATACCCATTTTATGCAAAAATATCAACTTTGAAATTTGACCTAATTTGACCTGACCTTGACCTGACCTTCACAAAAACGTGACCTAGGCTGGCCCCAAAGGCTGCCTAACCCACATAATCGCATTTGACATGTAAAATGGACCATAAAACATGTATCACACGACACATTCATATTGTGACCCCCGGTGACCTGACCTCGCTGTGACCTGACCTGGTATCAGTGACCTCAGATAGCAAAGTATGTGTTTGACGAACAATGTACCATCGATGGTTTTCAATGAATAACCAATTTACTCGCTTTCACAGCACATTTCTTGAATTGCCTGTGAACGGTGAAAATCTGACCTTTGACCTGACCTGTGACGTCATCGGTTTGACCTAGGTCAATGAAATTTGGTCACAAGGTAGTTCCCGGGTGGGGCTATCGAACGCCGTTTGAATTTTGAAAATCGGCCGGTAACTTTCCGAGATCTTAGGGGGGGGGGCCGAAACGGCCCCCCCCCCCCCCCTACGGGTGGTAGGGTCCGCCGGTAGCCCTACGGGGCGCGGGTTAACCCGCGCCGGGCCGGTGCTCTGAGATTCCGCGCCGGGCCGGGGGTGTCTGAACACCCCCCCCCTTCTAACTCGGCTCCTGGGCCACGTAGCGACACGTGGTAAGCGGCAATCGAAAGATCGTCCAAAATAAGGACGAAAACACTTCGGTCATTTTTTGGGTCAGGTCAAAGGTCAGGTCACCAGAGGTCACCAAAGGTAAAATGTTGACTATTTCAACATTTTGGAAACTGCCAACGGCTATCTCGGGAACCGATGGGGCTACAGCGCCGCGGAAAAGTGCATTCGATAGCCCTTTTACAGACGTTTCTGAGTAATGTTCTCAGATTTGACCTCAGGTCAACGGTTTAGCCTCCAGAGGGCAAAAACTCCAAAAATAGCCGTTTTTACGAAAAACGTTTTTTTCGGCAATAACTTTTGACTCAAAAGAGCCATGACATTACTTTTGCCACCATCGTGTTCCTCTCGTCGAGACGCTTCGAATGAACTATTATTCGACCTTGAAAGGTCAACTTGAAAATTTGACCTCAGGTCAAGGTCATGACCTGACCGGAAAAGGTCATGCTGCATATCAGTCGATCCGCAACGTCGAGCCGAACACATCTAAGGCGTTTTCAGCGCTCTTTCACGTCTCTATCAGAAGTTATTAGCGAAAAACTGCTAGATTCTGTTCGTGACCTGAGATGACCTCGGGGACATCACGAGGGGTCACAGTTGCCATTTTTCGGTTCAGTGTGTCAATTTTACCTACATCTCGATGTTTGAGAGTGTCTAGAATAGCGTTCGTGCAAAACAGACGCTTTTCAATTTTCTCCCATTGACTTATAATGGAGAGGCCGCAAAATTGACCTGACCTTAGGTCACCGATATCAAAATTCCGAAATATACATTTTATAAATAATTTTGTTCTTATCAATCGCTGAAACTTTCAAGGCAATCGATCAATCGGTGTAGCTATGACGAGCATTCTTAATTTTTCTGAGGTGAGGTCACTTGGCGTGACCTGGTGACCTGACCTAAGGTGACCTGGGTCTGAAATTTTCACAACATGTGCGGAAAAGATGCACGAACAGGTGTGCCAAAAACCGCAGGGGGGGGGGTGTTCAAACACCCCCCCCCCCCGGCCCGGCGCGGATTAAGCTTTTACGTGTTGAAGATGTGATCGACTTGTTGGGCAACAAGCCGGCCATGATCGTGTAAAATGGCCTCATCGTAGGTCGATTGGTTTCTGAGATATAACCGGAAATGTAAGAGTGCAAAACCTACCGCTTAATCTCGCGAGAGCCGTACATCTTTGCGGAAAATGTTTTGTTGATGTCGGAGAGAATCATTTATTTACTTATTTTCAGCTCCCACAATTGCTTGTTTTAGTTTGACGGCGCATATCCACACGGATATGCAAGTTTCGAGCTACTCTCCTCCTGTAATGTATTCTCCGCAAACACACTGATATGAGCTTAGCGGTAGCGTCGTGCTGTTATCGCAGTACCCTTCCGGCCTTCACCACTTAGCTCTCAACTGATGCATTCCTGGAACTCCCTCTCCACGCCTCTCTCTCTCTCTCTCTCTCTCTCTCTCTCTCTCTCTCTCTCTCTCTCTCTCTCTCTCTCTCTCTCTCTCTCTCTCTCTCTCTCTCTCTCTCTCTCTCTCTCTCTCTCTCTCTTCCTCTCTCCCCACTCTCCCGTCATCAGGCGTGTGTCTCCGTCGTCGCTTGTCGCCACCAGCCATAATCTGGTTTCGCTGCCTTCCCCACGGAGCTGGTTCCCTCGGCTGCCGCGGTGTCGGGCGGTGGGGCGGGGCGGGTACGGTGGACGACTGTGCCTCGTTCCGGCCACGGGGACCGGTGTGGTTGTGACGTCATCCGATCGACCCCGTGTGTGTGTGTCGGCGGCGGGTCGTTGCCATGGCAGCGAACGGACAGGGCCGCCGTGACCGCCCATTGTGAACGCTCGGTGTGTCAGGGGCGTCCGAAATGGGCCGGCTCAAACTCGCCGAGTCGGGGACGGCCGACCGACCGGCTGGGGAGGGCCACACCGACCGCGGCCGGTCGCCGATCGTTCGTATTGACACCCGTCGTTGGAGGGCAGTGCGTCTCTGCTGGACAGGCCTGCGACACGTAATGTGCGCGGTCAGCTCCGACTAACGAGCACCTCTTGTTTGGCTCTCAATGATCAGGGCTGCCACGTCATCACCATCAGGTGGCCACACGCTGCACTGACAGCTTCCTCCCACGTCACACTTAATCGACCACCGCAGGAAATCCATCCATAGACTGGAAATACCTGGCCATTGTGGCGGACTTACCAGCTCCTTTCCGATGAACGTCAATCTGCATAAAGTTTGCAGCGAACGTCTCGAAATGTGTGCGGCCGTGGGTGGGCGGGTGGCCTCGGCGGACACGCCTGCCGATGATCTCGGTATTCGGTGGTAGCCATTTGTCAGGTTGTCCAATTCGGGCCGGCCGAAATCTCGCCGGATGCCGGGGCTCCCAGCGGCGAAGGTTTACCGCTCGGAGGCGCCGGGCGGCCGCCAAAGTTGTGCGTCTGTGGCCGCTCGACCGCCGCTGCCTCGAACTAGACTCCGCAGGGAGCGAGCGAAATCGGCCGGCGGGGAGCCGTTGTCGGCTGGCTGGCGTTATTGCAGTCTGAGCAGCGTTATTGCAGCCAGGTCTGCATTATTGCAGCAACCGCTGGCGTTACAGGAGCCCGATGGTCGTTATTGCAGCCTTGGCTGACGCTATTGCAACCTGAGTGGCTGAGTGCCGTTGTTGCAGCCTTGGTTGGTGCTATGGGAAGCTCGGTGGCGTTTTTAGGCGCAAGTCCGCATTATTGCATAGAAAATCTGCGAAATTTCAGTTAAAGTCCGCCTTTTGTGACTTTGTCTGGCGTCGTCATTGCGGCCTTGACCAGTGCTAAGCAGACTGAGTAGTGTTATTGAAGCGGACGTCCGTGTTATTGGAATGCTGCGTTATTGCAACGCACTGTAGCTCGCGTTACTGCCTATTGTGGCTTTGACCAGTGCTTTTGCAGCCCTAGAGGAACATGAATATATCCGTTGCCAGCGCTAATGCAGCCCCGGCAGTGGTATTGCAGCCACATGCAACCTTGGTAGGCGTTATTGGCAGACCAGGCTGGCGCTATTGCAGACCCATTCGACACCATTGCAGCCACGGCAGTGGTACTGCAGCCCCAGTCGACACCATTGCAGCCCCGGCAGGCGGTGTTGCAGCCCCGGTGACTTATCGCTGCGGCAGCGGGCGGCGGTCTGCCCGTCCGCCGGGCGTCCGTCCCCAGGCACCTCCGGGCTCGGCGCACCGAAATGACGTATGGACGGTGATGCGGGACGTCCCTGGGAGGTCATAACGCTGACCGGATGCCGCCGCCGTGCGATAAAATGGGTTACTGCCGGCCGCCGCACCTTTACGTACAGACGGTAGAGCGCTGGCTGCTAACGTAATTTGTAAGTACGCGATCGGGGGGGGGGGGGGATTTCTACGTTTGATTGCGTTGCGAAGTTAGGTTTGCGAGAGATTAATTTGTTTGATGTGGGCCTTACACATATTCGTCGAACATAAACGGCCGTATAAAT